GGTAAAGGTATCCATTGATCAACAGGAACAAGCGGGGAATAACCGTCATCACGGTGGATAACGCGGAGACGCCCAGTCTGCGCCACTTGCCTGCCGAACTTGCATCTCTTCTACTGCGTAGTTCTAGGTCTCCCTCGGAGATCCAGACAACCAGAGAATATCTCCGTCGGAGCTGCTCTGTTGTTAATGCCAGATGTGGATTCTCACGTTTTGCGCCACTACGAAATCTAGTGCACAGACAAATTGCCGTCTACACTATGTAGGTCGGAAGATGGAGAAGCGGATGTGGTGTAATGTACTGTGTACGTGAGGATTAGCGGTGGATTTGGAGTTTGTGGATATCGGGGTTGGCAGTTTCTTGAGAGTGTAGAGTTTACAGTCTACTGACGGGGTGGACTTCTTTTCGTCTTCATGGGAATCTTCCGGGTGTCTAGATGTTCTCATTTAGACGAACACCATTTTGGGTAGATTTCGGTAAGTTGCCTCTTGTATCTCTTGGTTCTCGGTAGGGTAACGTCGTTTTTCCGAAATCGTTGACCTTTATATAGGTATCCGAGTAAAAATGGGGCTGAGGGCGTCGAAATTATCGATGGTATGTCAGGTCAACAGTTTTCGTGAGCGCTGACGGAGCCATCCAACTGTGAGACTGGAATGTGTCGTTGACATGACATGACCTGAGGTGCGTGTATGTGTATGTGTTTGTGTCTTCTGTCCTCTATGTTAGGAAACTGACTGAAATCATTGCTCACGTTCGCCAAAAGTGGAAGTTATCGAGTCACCTCATGTGTGTGTCGACAACGTGATCATCTCGTGAGTCTGGTACCATGTCTCCGGGTTTTATACCTAGAGATCGCAAACGGCCCTTCAAAAAGGCAAAAGGCACAAACGATGAAGTTCAAGGAGGGTTGCCAGCTAAACCTTTTGTATCCGTGTTCATCTATGCCACTGCTTGTATGATGATCGTTAGATGATCCCTGTTCCAGAGTGTGAGGCGTGTTTTGTGGTCATGATAGTCGTTGATCACGCAATCGTCCACCAGGAAGTTCCGAACGTAACGCATGCGATAAGAGGAGGAGATATCCCGTCTCCAGTACAGAGTAAGGCTGAGTGATACAGCCAACCCTGTCCATTTGATTTGACATCCCCGGCGAGATGGATGCTTCAGTTGCTTGCTTACTTGCTCATATCTAAATACGGAAAGAACCGAACAGCACCTGCCATATTCATATGCTCCTGCCTCTCTCTGGCTCGGTGCTTGCTGCCTCTTGCGTGTAAGGCGTACCTACCTTTACTGTAATGCCATGTTTCCTTGCTTGCCTTGCCTTACAGACGGGGGCCAAGTGATGATATCCGTCTTGTTAAAGATATCGTCAAGTAGTATTTCGACTCGTTGATGAAAGTTTCCCGGCCTTCCATTGATAGATCTCTATGATCCATTCATCCCGTCTATTCTCAGCTACTAGCGACTATCGTCAAGAAACCAAAAAGAAGGAGATGTTATGAAAAGATGTTACTCGTCATCGGTTATCTTATACGAAGGGGAACGAAATCTTGCCGGATCACAATTGGATGACTGTTCATCGATGTGAATGTCTTCTAAGTAGCACCGCGTGCTTGCTTGAATTACAGCACCTGCCTTTGTTCCTTCCGGCTTTCATGATGAACAAACGTCAAAGAAGGAAGGAAGGAAGGACCCTTCGTGCAATTGGCGTATGCAAGATATACCTCTATCTAGAGGTAGTGTATGGATCATGTATTGGGCCTGTATGTCCTGTACTCCATAGGAGTTCGAAAAACGATTGTCAGAATGTAAATATCAAGTCCCTTGATGAAAACACAGGCTCTCGGCGTATCCGTCCCCCAAGAACATGCCAAAAAGACAAAAGAAGGATTGGAGGCATCAGATGATTAAAGGTATAGTTGCCAGTAAAGCTGCGTTCTCCCTCCACGTGTAGAACAATACGCATGCTCATGGACTTTCAAGAACAGCGAAAATCATACTCTCATTGGAACTTCGCATCGGGCCCAAAATAGCCAAGGCAGTCCAAGCATTACTTTGGCTGTATGCTATATCTCAAAATAGCAGGTGGAACAGCCCATCATAGAATGAGACTCTTCACCATTCCCGCTTCGTTGACGAAGACGTCCATTGGGCGTTGACATTAGCGAGTAACATACCCTCTTTGTATCAAGATAGATAGATAAGATTGATATCGCTCGCTGCTGGAAACCTCAAGGGACAGGTGTAGGTAAGAATCCCTGGAGATAGAAAAAGGAATTGCAGATAGTGTTTCGCCAATTTTGAATGGTTGTGAACTGCCAAACGTCTCTGCGTCCAGGTGGTCATGCGCTGATCGGCACGCTGTGAATGGTGGACGGCCATTCCAGATCCAGCGTCCGCTTGCGATTGTGTTGATAGATGGCCCTGTGGCCACCAAGAGATAAGGGAAATCGCATCCTATCTATCTCTTTTGACGAACCAAACAAAATTGCGATGCCAGCAAACGATGGACGTGTGTTGGTACTTTCCTTTTTGAACAAGAGAAGAAAGGAAGTAAGCCAAGTTGCCATTAGTTATAAAGCTCGCTGATTCCCTCTTGGTCTTGGATATGGACAGACAAGTCTCAACAGTTCCAGCAACACTTTGACTTCACCAACTCAACCAGGAAACATCAATGAACAACACATGAAACCAGCAAAGCATGGGATAGGAAAATGAAGGTTCAAAATCAGGGTTAGGGGTCACTTTGGAACGAGGAGGACCAAGAAGGGCATGAAGTCAACATCCAAACAACAACCACAGCATCAAGGAGAAAGGCCAAGCAAAGACAGGTCAAAACAGTCGCGAGCCACCATCCATCCATCCATCCAACAACAACAACAACAACTACCACTACAACATTGAGACCAGCAACGGAACGAACCTGTTTCCCAGCACAGGTTTATTGATGATCATCGGCCCGGATCCTTGGGAAATTTGGCCGAGAAACCCAGCTTCGGCTCCGGCTGCAGTTCCCTCAAAAACACAACACAGCCAACCTCTTTCAACATTTTGCCTTCGTCCCATCATCAAGACCGAGCGAGACCGTTTATCGAAAGGAGGAGGGATCCAGGATCCAGCCATTGCAGAAGAAGACGACGACGACCTTGACCTTGCCTTGCCGTTTTAGTTCTTCAAAACCAACGGAACCATCCATCCATCCATCCATCCAACCCCCCAGCAGCAGCCCCTGTCGACCAACCAACCAACCATCCCTCCTCACAAGCCTGTCGTCCCCCCGCGTCCGACAACCACCCCGTGCTCTCGCCCCTGTCGGTCCCACATCGCAACCGACCACCACCACATGCTGCGGGGGGTGGTGGTGGTGGTGGTGGTGGGGTGGGTGGTGTGCCTTTGGATCTGGGTCTTGGGGTGAATGTGAACCCCCACGTCGAATTTACCCCCTAATTGGTAGGTGGCCGCCCGCCGCCCGTCTTTTGCCCGCCGCCCGTCTCGAAAAGAAAGCGAACCAAAAAGAAAAAGAAAAAAAAAAAAAAAAAAAAAGACTGTCTAGGGTTTACATACCAGCAGCCGCTTTGCTTTCTGTTTTCTGGTTTTTCTCGCTGTCTGTCCGTCCAAAGTTGCCGCAAGAAAGACGAGGAGTAGGAGCGAAAATCAACAGGAAAAATAAGCAAAATGGGCGAATAAACAACTTGCTTGCAGTTCCAAGATTGCCCGATAGAAGGGAAAGAGGCCGGGATGCGACTGACTGACTGACTGACTGTGACTGCAAAGAGAGCTGAGAGAACTGAGTACAGGATGAAGGATGATGACGCTGAGGGCCGCCGCGTGGTGGTGCTGGTGGTGGTGCTGGTGTGGTGACAGTGGTCACCCCCCCAAAGGGAAGTCAGTCGTCACTACCCCGAATGAATCGCTAGCGTGCTCGGCTGAGGTGAAGCCTTCCATTCCTTCCCCCTCTAACTTTTCTTTACAATCCGCTTCTGGATATGACTTGCGCAGCCGCGGTATGTATAGTGGTGTGCACTATAGTTCGATCGAACGAACTAATTAGGTTGTTCGTGAGTACTTCTCGTGAATGAAGATGGACGAACAGGTGGAATGGCGGCGAGCACTTTGATTCCTTAACCTCCCCGTCTGACAACTTTCAAGTTGTCTCTTCGCATTCTTGTTCGTTCCATCATCCATTCCTACCGCACCCGTCTTGTTCGGGGAACACACCGCCTGCCAGACAGACTGGTGTCTATTCTATTCTATTTTACAGTACGTCAACCTGCCACCTCAGCCAGCCAGCCAGCCAGCCAGCCAGCAAGCCGTTCGTTCGACAGACAGTTCGACATCTATCCCGTCCATTGACCCTACCTACCTATCAAAGGAGAAGGACTGAGGGACGGAACGAAGCAACACCACAACACCAACAGCGTTGTTGTCTGTCCTCACTCAAATCTCCGAAGCCGGAGGTCTCCCCAAGTAGGTTTGGCGCTTGTCTTCCCACCCGTGCATGAGAGTTTGGGTTCACAAAGCTGGCAAGCTGGGAATATGCCCGCCCGGTCGCAGACAGATGGCATCACAGGTGAGACCACATCGATCATAACTAGCTTCCCTTTACCTATCTCCAATCTATCTCTATCTATATTGCAGTTACGGTACTATCTCGGCAGAGATCAAGGGTTGGACAGGGAAACGCGCAACCATACTGTGACTGTGTAGCTGTACGTCGGAAGCTTGAATTGTCTTGGCGACCAGCGGGTGGTTACCTGACCTCTAGTGCATATGTAGTAGAGGTCAGTCCGAGATCGCTCTCTCAACTGATATCACCAGCAGCTTTGTGATTGGCTTTTTGACAACACATTTTCGGGTCGTACGTCGAGGGGGGCAGCAGCTTCCGTGTCATTCTCTTGTGGCAGGGCCCGGTTGCGGCGGTCTCGATTTAGTTGTCTTGTCAGTCTGACATTGAGTCTCGACCGGGAGAGCAACAAGTGATTCCATCGTTTTTGTCGAGATGCATGAGAGACAGCGTCAGCACGATGCTTCGGATCCTAGGTCCTGTCAAATGTCCGTCCGTGTTGACGGGAGCCGCATCGACGGGCGGCTTCGCTCCGGAGAACAGGCACGATGGATCTCACACCGGACCCTAGTGGACTTTCCGTCTCACTGTCTCTAGCGCAATGCAGCGCTTGGTTGGTCTGGTTTAGCGCTCCAACAGTAGCACCGTAGCTGGGCATTAGTGGTTTTCTCTAGTGCATGTTACCTGTCTCTTCCGCAGCACCTAGGAGGAGGAAGCAAGGGAGGGATTCCGTAAAAATCCACAGCATCGGGAAATGAAGGAACGAAATTGAGGCTAGTGAGCCTCTCTGTTCCGATAGCGTATCTGCGGAAGTTTGATAGGCTCTTGATAGGGTCATTGAAATGTTTATGACAGAGACTCCAAGAGTGATGAATGTGAAAAGGACTCCATACAGTATCCGTGTTTTGGAGGAGCAGGCTGTGTCCATGGTGTTTTGGTGCGCGGCTCTGAGCGCGGAAAGAGGTAAACACCTCCGTCTTCCCAACCGCCATGATGGAGTCGTCCGTTCAGGACAAGGCCTTGCCCTTGATGATCGAGGTGGCCCATAAAATGTCATGCAGAGAGAGAGCTCTTGGCGGATGGGCGCGGGACCGGACCCATCAGGCTTTTGGGATGCTGTGATCGACTTCACGAGGCCTTGATGAGGCTTCAGCTCCGCGTTGGACGTTTGCGCCGCAACGTCGCTCCGGGACCAGACATCAGGGCATTGATGGCATTCAGGACAGCTTTGGCCACTGGATGATCATGACTTGCATCCAATATTCAGGATCAACTGTCCAGCTGCCTTGGGCCCTTTTCATTTTGGCCTTCTATGACGCGTACTGCATACTGTGCAGTGTATACTGCGTACTTCATGAAGCTTCATAGCCGGAGTGTTTCTTGTTGCTTCTGGTGGCGCTTGGCGGCCGATGTCCGCCGGCATTGGCAACAGAGTCTCTTGGGTCGGCAACAACCCCGTAAGACCGTCAAGCCATAACACTCTATGGACTTGAGGATAGCAACTGCGGCGATATTCTTGATGTTTGCGAACAGCGAGTGTAAACACTCCCGTAGTAATCTTGATTTTGTGACGTCGAGAGAGCGTCTTGGCAACAAAGCTGCAGTGAGGAGGAACCAAAGGCTTGGCTTTCGCACTGTTGATGCCATCCCAAGGGTCTGGTGGGCTCCATTTCGATGGCATTGTCCAATGGTCATGAATGTTGGGCGCGGTTGCCCCCGGCCAAGCCTTGGAATTACATATATTCGTACCGTAAGGCTCTTGATTGATATGTGTCTGCCTTTGCTCGTCATTGCTGAGCAGAGACGAGTTCTAGAATCGTGCATCATGCCCCCTGGTAACCAAGTTGATGTGGTGGAGACGAGAAGGTGCCATTGTGCGTGACGGGCTCTCGCGCGCGCAGAAGCCTGGATGAGGCTCAATTTCATGGTGGAATCCTCCCGTCACCAATGGCTTGTCGAGATTGAGAAAGGTCAAGCCAAGAATGGGGAGTTTTACAATAAGCCATGACAAAAGAGGACTGGGCTCTGTATCGTGGTGCGAGGTGTCCAAGTCTCGAGGAAAACGGCGTCGGAGAGAAAGAAGGCTTTCAGATGAAGGAACTGACGGGAAGGGAAGTACATTAGAATTGCCCTTTTACAGCGCTTCAGTGCCTGCAGCCTCTGAAAGTGGATGCATTTGCGCCTGCCAATTGGACTGTTCAGTGCCTGTAAAGTGCGCGGCAGCGGCAGGGGAAAAGGGACTGGAGCGATGGAATCCTCCATCTCTCAGTGGGGGTCGCCATGCAGCTCGATGCACATGTGCTTCTGCTGCCGGGTCCGAAGTACCCGGTACATACTTCGTCCTCCATTTCACAGGCATCGCATATGATAATCCCTGTCGACCACACACAAGTGGAACTCAAAACCCCCCTCGGTCTCTCGGCCAATCTGGCCGTCTGCGCAACAAAGACGTTGTTAAAGATGCTGACACTACTCAAAATGTCAAGCCGGGCAGATGAGGAGCGCCACTTGAGACAAAGTGGGAAAGAGGTCACATGTACTCGCTTCCTTCCTCAGCCCGAAGGCCGTCTATCCAAGTCTTATTTTTACCACACTTTCATTCGTTGGTGTGAATCTGGGTCAAGTTGGCAGGGTGGGAAAACCATGTGGTTGCCAAATCTGACGATGAGACACTGTGACGGTGGTTCTGGTGCCGTGGTGTGTGAGAGGCGTGGGGTGGGGTGGTTTCAAAGCGGCCGCGTCCTTTGAGGAATTCCCTGCTGGGACGGATATATTGGAGTTGTTCGTTGAATAGCAAAGTAGTGTAGGGTAGCCTCGCTTGACGACATGCAGTGGAAGCCAAGGTGTTCCGCTGATGAGGAGAAGTTGAGTGAAGATGATGGGTCTTCAGTAATGTCGGTACTCAACTCAATCAACGATGAGGCGGCAGAAGAGGTGTCGATATGATATGTCAAGGGAAAGCGCTCGGGATGTCTCCTGTGCCGCATTGCAGTTCATCGTCGTAAAGTTCCTGTACTTGGCCTGGTCTTGCTGGCCATCCAGTGCGTCCCCGCTCATGCCTATATCTCCTGACCTCGCCAGTGACAGGTGTTGACACCTCCTTCACCACCTTAAATCGAACATCAGACGCTCGACGTTGTCGGGTTTTGTGGCAGGGACCTGCCGTTGCCTTTTTGGATCTCGAGTCTTGACCAGGCTGACAGATCTGGATCATGCGGGCATTGCCTTCATGGCAACATTTATTTGTGTGACAGCTATGCGGTTCTGACCATACTTAAGGGTCCTTCGCCATAAGGTATTGTACATACCGAAAACTATTCTTCGGCGGACACGGATCTGGTACAATACCCGACTCGAAGCTCTGGGCGTCGAATTTGTTTGGATGGCAGTTCTGTCGATCTAGGAACGCTTTTCTGATCTTTATCTTTCAAGGTCTTTACGTCCATCTCGGCCTTTCAAGGTGCTGCCAGGCGTCACATTGCGTCCGCTCTAGGTAACCACCCGGGCCGAGACCTCGAAGGTATAAACGCCGTCAACATGTTCCCCTCAATAGCAAATCGGACTAAAGATAATTACAAACCCATCAAAATCACCCACGCACTCAACGTGACCAGGGGCAAGCGGCTTCATCCACAAAGTCGTGAAATCGTTGTTGCTTACGCGGTCGCGCGGTTTTGCCGTTGCATGGTGGTTAAATTGTTAGTGACAGGGCTGCAAGCATGGCTCGGTTGAGGTCCCCACTGGCCTCGTCAGCTCCCTTGCGCGTACTAGTTCATAAGTGGTTTAGGCTCTGGAGTGGAGTCACATAGCCTCGACTTTTGCACCGACCAATCTCGTTACACGGTCTCGCTTTCACGTTCACGGAGCAGTTCATGATCCTTCTTGAGTCCAATGTCATTGGGCATTGATCTCTTCACCTCACATCCAAGTAAACAAGGGCCTACTGCGTACAACTGCCCGTCTACAGTCTACAAATATCTTTTGCTCGGTGAATCCGCCACGTCATTCGGTATGAGCCGATGGCTTTGCACTTTTACTTCTCATTACGAAAAAGGAGTGCAGCTTCCAGACAGCTCTCTCACTCTCACCGACTCCCGTCGCATGCACTGCTACTACAGAAAGGTGCTGCGTTGTTTCAGTGAGGATTCTGATGCTGCTGCGCTTTTTGACTAGTGCCAGTTGGTTGCGCAGGGATTAAAACTTTAAATTCAGGGCCTCTTTGGCTCGTGGAAAACGCCCCGTCGAGCCGTAACAGGCAACCTGGACCTGGGCGACCACCACGATGCTACCCAGCAGGTCGGATTGCCAATGTCGAGAAGTGGGAGAATGAATGGCAACTGTGTACATACACAGAACTCTACTCACTACTCTACATACACTATAGGATCTAGAATTTCAGCATCTTTGCCACACAAGGACGACATGCGCAAAGGGCCGAATTCTGTCGCGGTCTCGTAAAGACGGCGAGTAAGAGACGGGTGCTGCTGATGAACCAAGACAGGCGGCGGCCAGGCGTTGCGAGAAGCCAGAAGGCCACGAACCACAAGTTTGACAACAGCCCTTTCACACACAGAAAAGAGCATGAACGCTTTACCATCAGGATGTTGAATAGGTACTTGGGCGGGAATAACTCTTGGCCGACAAGTCCGCCGAAGAGCCGATGGCCGAAGCCTTTGTCTTTGGCAAGTTCATTTACCGCTAACAAAGACAAAGAGGGTTTTTTTCTCTGAATTCGTCCTTCCGATATCACAGCGAGTTCGGGCGACACTCTAGTTTAGCTGACGCTAGTTCGATTGTTAGTTGTTTCGAGGAGATGTGGCCGGAGCCGTAACGGGAATCAAGACCGTGATTGTCTCTTACAAAGGAAGGAAAAGCGAGCCATAACCCCACCAAAATACTCGTACCAACACTAACTCCCTGTTCACGCTGGAAGAAGCCGAGGCCACTACCGCGTGTGCAATCTCGTGGGACACATCCACTCCTTCTCGCTCTGCTGACAGAGTTAAACCCAAGAGGGCTGTTGCGTCGGAGGCCAAGAGCTAAACAGAGACAACTACACAGTAAGAGTTGTTGTTTGAGACTTGATACTCTCGAGATCATCACGTCAGGAGCCTTCAATACCACCTAGGAAGAAAGTCCAGCCCCCCTTTGGCTCGCATCGAGGCGTATTGGATACTGGAAGCGTTGAACACATACCCCTCTTTGCCTGGCCGAATATTCATCTCCTCCCCCCCCCTCATCGTCGTCGTCAACTTGACAAAGCACTTCCTGCAGTCTGCCTTGCCTGAACCGAGTCTGGGCATGGTACGGCGAGGCATGGCATGTACATAGCAGACTACATGGGCAGATGTTAGGTGCGGACTATTGCGGGCAACAACACAAGGGGTTACGATTTCACTTTTGAGTTTTGCCGTAGACGACGTTGACAGACACGGGCTGAGACGGGCTGGCCAGGACAGCAATTCCCCGTCTCCGTCGTACCTGGAGCCGAAGGGGGCCTGAGGGGCTTACACTACTACTACATATGTAGTAGACTCTAGTGTAGCTAGAGTGGAGACGGGAATTGACGACGGGATGATTTCACTTGTTGATTGCACGTCTCTTGAACAACGACATGCTTGGGTGCTGCTCGGGAACAGTTCGGGCAATTAACTTGCCTCTATAATGTAGGTTGTAGTAACTAGCAACAAGGTCTTGTCGTCACATTCGCCCTCATCTTCATCATTTCTTGTCTTGTTGCTGTTGTCGCCGCTGACTTCTGAATGCAACGCCCGAAAGAAATCCATCTGCAACCCCCACAGGTAAAACGGCATCCCGGAGCCGGCCCTGGAATCTCTTCAACCCACACAGCTAGAGATCCAAGCCAACCTCACCTTGCGGCCTTTGACGGCTTCGTTCGCTCCTCAGAGACACAACAAGAAAGAACCCCGGTCCAAGGCTCCAGGCAAACTGTAGTCAGCGCTTATACTATCAAATCTTTCTTTGGCATCTGTTTCACTTTGATACGGATATTTCCATGCCCCATGTCCATTGTCAACTGCGAACAGCCAGTCATCCGAAGAGAATGATGACTGAACTCGACAAGAACTGAAAGTGGACAATGAGCCTTCTGTGTACTGTGTACGTTTAGTCTAGCGGGTTCCGACAGGGGCTGGCAAGTACCGTGTACTGTGTACACTGCACCATGGACCATTTGCACTTCCTTCGACTGGCGAGGCTTGGGACTCGGTTCGCTAGCGTCCCGGCGTGCCGCACTTTTTCTCCAGTGGGCATTCCGTTGTGGAGTAGTCGCGGTGGGCAGCGCAACTTCTGACTGGTCTGCTCCGAGTTGCCGAGTGGGCTTTTTTTTTTTTGTGGCCGGCGGGCGTGTGCGGGCGCATGCGTCCCGAACATTGTGAGAAATTGGAAGCAGTGGGTGGCTCCGGCTCTGCAGAAGAGCAGCAGCCTGGGCAGTCGAAGAACTCCTCACAGTCAATTGAGCCAGAAAACGATGAAACCTCACAATGGAAGGCTGGCTGCCCCGTGCGCTGAGCAGCAAGCACTGCAGTCACCACCCGAACGTGGGGAAACTTTCCCTTCCACAACTAATCCACTTTGTGCCTCTACTCCTCTTAGTACCCTGACTGGACCGGAGGAGTTCTTGCTGTGGTATGGTTCGGCTGCTGCAACTGAGTGCTGCCGCTGCCGCTTGGCTACCGTAATCCACGTTCCCTGCTGAGCCGTCCTGGCAACTGTGCGTGCTGCTACACGCTACCACTACTAGTTCCAACGCCCCAAAAGTTTTGTACCGACGACTACGTACCTCTGCTGGAGCCCATCGCCTCCATCTTGGAAGATCCAGGAACCTCCACTACGACTGAAAGTCAATTTCACACATAGTCATCGGCTGCCATCTACTTGGTTGTCCAAACTATAGCTGGAACAACTCCTGTGGTCGTCGTCGCCGTCGCCGTCGCCGTCGCAGTTCACAGTCACGTTCCAATTCACGCTGTTCGAGAGAGAGAGCGCAGTCGAGACTGACCGTCCGTGACCGGCTTCTTTGACCTCTCCTCGCCTCTAGGTCTTTAGTACACTACCTACACTACCTAGGTTGGAGCCCACGCCCTTTCGCTGTCACCTGTCGGTCCTTCCACCCCACGACCCGGAATCCCTTCCCCTCCTCCACCTCTCAGACTCTTTCCCTCAGACACGCAGGAGTCAAGGTCAACCGCCAACGTCTCATCCTCCAACCCACCCCCGGCAGGTCTCGCTCCTCCTTCCAGTTCCTCTGTGCGACAATGGCGGCCAGCACCACAACCCCAACCGCCACGACAAGGCCGTTTTTCACCATGAATCCCACGACAACAGAGCACGACTTTCGCTTCCCGCGCAGGCCAGGTGATTCCATGGCCGGCACCGGACTTGGGGGTGCCGCCATGTCATCGTCCTCAGCCAACAACAACAACCAGCACCACCACCCCATGAGCGCATTCAACCACCACCACCACAATGCTGCTGGCAGTGCCCGTGGCCGTGATAGCTACGGTCGCCCCAGCAGCAGCAACACCAGCAACGGCTTTGTGGCCAACATCAACCACCAGAGCAGTAGTCACAACAACATTAGTAAAAACATACCTCCTCCCACCAGTGACTACCACAACCAGTCGGCATCCAACGGCGCCGCAGCCTATGATCTGCTCCGCTCGTCCGCTTTCCCGCCTTTTCAGGACGGCCTGGCTGGCATGACCCAGAGCCCGGACGAGATGCAGAAACAGGACCCGCTGGCTACCCAGGTCTGGAAATACTTTGCTAAGACCAAGCTGGCCCTGCCCAACCAGGAGCGCATGGAGAACTTGACTTGGCGAATGATGGCCAAGCCGCTGCAGACCTATCGTAGGCAAATGGAGACTGACCGGTATGTTTTGAAAAGAGAGACTATTTAAGAGACGTCGTGTGTTGTTCGCGAGCGTCTGGCCAGCAAGCTAATTATAATTGCATGTGTTGCAACAAAAAGGACACACCGTTTTTCGGAATCAGCCCCTCAAAAATCGACAAGCGGCATCGCGCGATTGCGCAAGTCCTCGGAGCAGACCCAATCCCAGGGGTCTGACCTCATGAACCTGGACGATTTCATCAACGGCGAAAACATAAGCACGCCAGCCGGCCTGTCTCTTGCGCCTTCGCCCGAAACATCCTCCAAAATGGCCGACGACCGAACTGCTCACCACTCCACGGCTTCAGCTATCCCTATCAAGGCTCGCAAAGACCAGCAATCTCAGCACATGATCCCTCAGTCCGTCCCTGCGGCCCTGCACCACCCAAGGATGCAGACCGAATTTGGCTACCTTCCTCGACACCTTCGCAAAACCAGCATCGACGAGACTAGCAAACGCGTGAGTAGCTTTTTGTGTTATCAGTCCCGCCTGCTGATCTGGTGTAATCTGGTCTGATATAATTATCCTTTGTCTAGAACCCGAACCGCAAACGCCCTGCCGATTTCTCTCCCCACGTCTCCGCGGTGACTCCTAGCTACGTGACCAACGGCCTCGACGCCGATACTGATCTCCATGATTACTCGCTTGATCATACGAGTCATGACGGCTTGCCGCCGCAAACCGCCCATTCTTCGGTCCCCTACGCTCTCGATACCGTCGGCCTCGATGCTGATAACTTCATCACCTCTGCCGGTCCCTTCCAGCAGAACTTCTCTTTCTCGCCGTCCACGTCACCGATGGTTAGCCACGATCCATTTACGGCCATGTTTGGCCCCAACAACTCTTCTATGCACAGCGGCCCTATCAATGGCAACAACTTCTACTCGCCCCCTGCCTCCGCATTCCAGTCGACTGCCTCTACGCCTCATCCCATGAACGAGGGGGGTGATAACTTTTACTTTGGTGTCGACATGCGCCGCGCTCGCCAGCAGCCTTATCAGCCAGGAAACCATGGCATGGGCAACGCCATGGCTCACCAGTTCCCCTATGCCGGTAACGGCAACATGATGTTCCCGGCGTCTTCGGCTGGCCAGGATCCGACGCCCTCCTTTACGGCTCCGAACTCGTTTAGCGGCCACATTGACCCCACCCAAGTGTTCCATAACGAACAGGCAGTCCGATCACCAGGCATCAGTGTTTTGCAAGACAGTCTATTTACATTCGGAGCAGAATCTGATGGAGACGAGGAGGATGGTGGCGCATTTGCCGATCGCAACCTATCAATTTCTCATGACTTTTCTTCTCAGGGCATGGAGGAACCGGCATTTGACTCGCCGTCTATGGGATGGGATCCGTCTCTACCTGGAAATTTCAGCACGCAGGCGGCGAGGTATCCCGGTGGCCCCCCGCGAAAACAGGTTACGATTGGCGCTACAACAACCGATTATGTTGATAACACTGGAGAATGGGATGGAAGCGGTCTTCCCAGGTCTCAGTCGCAGTCATTCCGTCAGAACGACCTGCGTAAAGGGAAGATGTCTAGGACGGCATCGACCCCAGGTCTGTCCGCTAGAATGAACCCGTTCGAGAGACTTGCGCAGTCTGCCTCCCACTCGCCACCTGCCGACGTAGGTCGTTCGTCTGGTCTTTCCTCGGTACCGGCAAGCCGGCCTTCATCCCCTCCTCCTGGAGCAAAGCAAGGTTCGACAACGAACTTGCAGGGCGCAGCTGGAAACTCGACAGACACACCAACAACTTGCACTAACTGCTTTACGCAAACGACCCCATTGTGGCGCCGTAACCCAGATGGACAACCCCTCTGCAACGCTTGTGGCTTGTTCTTGAAGCTCCATGGTGTCGTGAGACCGCTAAGTTTGAAGACGGATGTCATCAAGAAAAGGAACCGCGGTTCGGGAGCGAGCCTGCCTGTGGGCGGTACGAGCACGCGGTCCAAGAAGAATGCAAGCATGAGTGCAGCCGCTCGGAAGAACTCGACTTTGTCCATTACCTCCAACGCCAACAATCAACCACCCGCCCAGGTGGCGACACCTCCGGCTCAGCAGCAAGTCCGTGCCAGCAGTGTCAACGAGAGCGAAAGCCCTGCGAGTGGCCCCGCTTCGGGTGGTAACACTGCGGGTAGTACCCCCACGAGTTATCACGGGAGCACGGGCTCTACGAGTGGTGCTGTGGGTGGAAAGAGTGTGATACCCATCGCGTCCGCGCCGCCCAAGAGTGCGCCGGGACCTGGGGCTGGTTCAATGTCTCGCCGCGACACGATTAGCTCGAAACGCCAGAGGCGTCACAGCAAGAGCGCCGGAAGCGATCAGCCTGTCAGTGCCGGAGCTGTCAGCAGCAGCGGAATGGACGTTGATAGTCCCGCCAATTCGACGGGATCTAATGAAACAATGCCCACCTTCAACCCCGGCGGTGCCTTTTCTGGGCTTCCCCCAACGACTCAGAGTAGCCTTGGCTTCGGCAATGGGTATATCAACACCCCCCGTCCCATGGTTGGGCCTGGCGGTATGATGGGAATGCCAAACGGCCAAGCTGGTCAGATGATGGGTGCGAGCAGCAGCAGTGGGCCTGGTAGCGGCCCTTCTCGTACTGGAGCCGAGTGGGAATGGCTCACAATGAGTCTTTAATGTGGAGGCCACGACACATGCGACATCGTTTTATGTTTTATCATTATGACACGCTTCTTCTCGCGATATATTTCATTTTTGGATGGCTTCCTCTGTCAGTCTCTTACGTTATGGATTTTTCTTTGAGAGTTGCAGCAATCGGGGACTTTGGAATTCACACAAGGCAATGGGGCATTATGGTGTGGCAATGGCATAGACGGTCTTGATTTTTGCTTTTTACTCTGGCCGGGGGAAACGGTACGGCCGTTCAAGCTGTCAAGTTTCGAACGACAGCTTTTCTAAACATTTCTCCCCCGCACGTCTCATTTCCTGGTACACAAAGCGTTGATAGAAGAAGGAGGCGGGTTGATGAGGATGGGACGAGAGGCCCAGGAGGGGCGGGGAAAGATGGAGATGGGAAGCTGGGGACGCGCACCTGCATTTCAACAAGACACCATTGCCAGCGATTGTCGGCCGGGAACTCTAGCCTCCCGACCATGAAAGTGCTATGTTGACACCCGGCTGTTGAACGGAGAAGAGCGCGATGACAGCAGAAGATAAAGGACAAACCAAGGCAACTTCGGGGTGGAGCATACATCTGCTTTGGGCGTTCTTTGGTGGACGAAGTCGACAGTTGGAGAGAAGAAGAGAAGGAAGCAGATGACATGATGGGGATGGGTCTTGACGGAACGAGCCTCGCCATTGTTTATACCGACTTACTAGCGATGCTCGCTTGATGCTCTCGATGATGTGGATGGCTGCTGGGCTGAAGTTTCAAGTCCCGCGCGTCTACGCTTTTTTGTCCATATACGAGAAAGATGATGATACCCGGAATTTTTCTTTTTCAAGCTTGGCTCTTCTTTCCTGGCTGGATTGTTGTTTACGATAGGCAGATACCATCAATGGAGAATACTAAGCATGCAAATCTAATGTTGCCTCTAACGGTCACCACTGCTGTTCAACCTGACTACCAAAGATTCACAAGGGTAAAATGGTCACGGTACGTGTTTGGAAAAGCTTTTATGTCAAAAACCACAATGACAAAGTCCTGACCATAAGTCAATCAATCTGCAATGAAGAACAGGGTGATTGGGGTTTGCAGAAGATGCTCTTTTCTTGGTGAATCTGAGCCCTTATGTCCCGCCCGGACATCTAGCGAAGAGACGGCGAGTTCCTTCCGAAGCCGCAAAAAAAGTCCATAACTCCATGGCATGGTATCACTTAGATAGTATGAAACACACAGTGAGAACAAAATGTGAACTGCTACACCGCCCGACGAAGGTGTCCATGGTTGGAGGTTGGAGGTTGAGGCATCCGGACTTGGAACTGTGACGGAGTGTGTGATGCGTTGCGAGCACGGGAGATCTGTTGTTTTTCGGAGCGCAATGAGGGATGTGCTGTGTCCGGCCGGGGCTGTGGGCTTGGTTGTTTATCGGAAAAACACTGGCTTTTAGTGGAAAAGGGCTATGCTTCATCATGATCAATGCTTCATACTTCCAAACCCGTCTAACATAAGATGCCACCCCGTCACCCCGCCCTTGATCAACTACCTCCCCCTCCCCTGATGAAGCCATGCAGACCCATTTCGTGAAAAAAACCGCAAAATCATGCATGCATATGCAACCGTAACAAATAATGGAAAGGGCAAAAAGCACATGAACAAAGACAAACTCTCTTGAAAGATGTGACGATACCCATCCTAAAATCAAACACATCAAATCCTCTCCAACCCCCAACCTGCCCAACTCCTCCGCACTCTACCCCCCATTTCCCTCCAAGTCTTTTTCTCCTTCCACCACCCCTTCACACTCAACAGCTTCCTAACCTGGAATCTTCTCAAGCCATCATCTCCCTCTCCCACTACCGCAGCCGCAGCCGCTGCCGCTACCTCAGCCTCCGAGCCCTTCATCACACTACTCATCTCAAGAACAACGCTACGACGAACAAATACCAAACCAACCATCCCCACCCCAAACGTAACACCCACAAACACCACCAATCCCCAGTATCGTCCCCGACAGGCAGTGACGAGGTGCGCACCGATAGGTATCCCAGCCATACTCGCCAGACTAATCAAGGTGTATAAACTGCCGAAGAACTGCCCGAATCCATCATTTCTGTTGTTGTTCTTATTCTTGTTCTCGTTCTTGTTGGTGGTGGCAGTGGCGCAGACAAGAGAAGAAACCAAAACAGGTTCCACCCCCAGAACCGCACCGCTAGATAAACCAAAGAGAACAGCAAAGGCAGTGAATCGCGAAGGAGACATGCCTGTTCGTCCTGGATGCAGGAGGGGCGGTAGCAAGATTGCTAGGAGGGTGAGTGTGGCGAGGAGGGAGAAGAGGATGGTTGTGTTGAAGGGGCCGAGTCCTCTCCCGCCGGTTTTGGATTTGGATTTGAGATGCGTGGTGGAAGAGGAGGGGAAAAAGGGAAAACCGGAAGATAGGAGTCCGGCGAGAAGGCGGCCAAAAATGGAAGAAATGTTGACTACAAGAGTGGTGGTGCGGAAGGTGGAGGAGAAGGAGTAGCCTTGGGAATAAAGAGAAGTGGCGGAGAGGTAGGTGGTTGTTGTGTAGATTGAGAGGTGGATTAGTAGGAGAGAGAGGAAGAGGAGGGTGTAAGAAGGAGAGAAGAAGAAGGGGGTTAGGGAGGAGTGGATCGTGCTGCTGGGTTTGCCACTTGTTGTTGCTGTCAAGGAGGGGGTTGCTGATGCTGATGTTGATGAGGAGGGGCCGCCAGCCATAGACGTGGTAGAATCAGCTGAGCCTGGCTTCTTCCCCTTCTTCCCCGGCGAAGATAAAGTAGGAGATGTCGGTACCGAAGGGGCAGGTGATCTCACAGAAGGAGGAGAGCGGATCAAGAAGTTGGCGATGACGGCCAGGAAGAAGTAGATGAGTCCTAGCGTGCGGATAGTCCATGGCCAACTGACCTCGTGAAAGAGGTTTCGAGTGGCATAAGGGAAGACGATGCCGGCCGTGGGACCGGCGGTGGTGGCAAGGCTGGTCGCAAAGGTGTAGTATTCCGGAGAGCGGCCGAAGAATTGGTGGATGGTGACGAGAGAGGGGATGAAGAGGAAGGTGGATGTTAGGCCGGAAAGGATGGCGAAGGCAAGGAGAATGGCCCATGTTTCTGTTTTGACCATTGTTAGTGCCATGTCATTTTTACTGTCCTGTCCATGATTCCCGTCTTTCCAGCCCTCACTTCATAGTTTTTCTTCCCTCGAGGTGATTTGCGACTCGTCCTCTCACACCTCCCACGCCTCTTCGAAGCCCCCCACCCCAAGCAACAGAAAAAGAAAAAGAAAAAGAACTCACCACTCCTACAAGCCAGCACCACCAATCCCACCCCCAAAAACACGGTCCCGCTCAAGACCATATACCGCGCCCCAAACCGATCCGACAACGGGCCCACGTACATCCCCAAACCCAAACTAACCACAAAGTAGAGAGAGAAAACCCAAGCGAAGGTGCCGTCGCTGATGCTCGCCACTTGCTCGTTTTCCCCCGACAGATAGCTCTGGCATATCGACAACACGGTCAAAAGCCCAAAGGAGGAGAAAATGGCCAACCAGGCGCCGAAGACGGTGAGCCAGGATCGGAGGGCGTATTTTCCCGTCATGAGGGTATCGTCTTCTGCGAAGTTGGGGTCTTCGTGGTGATGGTAAGAGGGGGGGATCACACGGGGGGTTAGAGGGGTGAGGGAGTCGATGGAGGAGGATTGGTGGTGGTGATTTTCATCTGATGGTCGGCTGCTGCTTGCGTTACTGCTGCTAGGTTCAGGGTCATCGTGGCCATCTAAGAGTGGGACGACTTGGGCCTTTCGCGAGGCGGCGGTTTCTGGCATTTTGGGTTTGATGTCTTTTGGGGTCGGGTCTGTGGTGCTGCCTCTGGAAATGGAGGCTGTTGGTGGTGGTTCTGTGATCGGCACTGATTTCGAGTTGTTGGGTGAGGTCTGTTCGAGATCCAAAGTCAACTCTGAGGTCTTGTTGTCCGCGCCTGGCGGGCCACGAGGGAAGGAACTGTTGGTCATGGATGCGGTGATGAGTGGAATGTTTCCTCGACAAGACAAAAGGGCAAGAAAACGAGAACGTCTTGTGAGGACGTCCCTATGTCGAGTTCACAGGCTCGAGGGGGACAACCAAATGCTGAAACACTTTAAACAGAAACGAAACGGGAAATGGTTGTTACCTGTCACAGCACGATAGAACGAGATCAAACACGGCTGTTTTGTTTGCTCTATGGTCTAGTCTAGTACGTAGGCAGCTATGAAGAAAAATCTCCACAATATCGCGCCGCTGACGAGGGGAACGTGGTGATCGGCAAAGAAAGGAAGAAAAAAAAAGGGTCCAGAGCTTGTATGCGCCCACTTTGGATACTCCCGTTGGTTTGAAGACAATGAATGACTGATGTAAGAACGTGGGCACATGTGGGCTCGACCCGTTGTAAGTGGACAATGGCTCCCTCAGGAACCCCTGCAAATTGGTTCCCGGACTGTGAGCCTAAGGCCTTGTTTGGACAAAATCACTAGTGAAACGGAGTCAAAGTCTTCAACACTACGTAGGGGTGCAAATCACTGCTAGGTATGAGGTGCTTAGACAGCCACAATATCAACCAACTCCTCTTGCACTTGCAGGCACTGACAGTTTGAACGATGTAACGATTTGTCCTGTCATTGTTACTCCGGGAGGGGTTTCCAAGTCACATCCGTGTCACCAACCGTCACCAAATGTGAGATTATGTACTCCCGTTGGCGACCCAGGGGCACTTTGGACAGATGCCAACGGTCCCCTTCCCGTCATCTTCCGCATCTTGACAAATGATACTTGGAGTGAACCCTTGCCGAGCTCCACGCTCGCTTGCGGGGATGGAGGCTAAGAACTCCGCTGCGTAACTAAGCCTTCGGTGAGGCAGTGTTCCTCACCTGGCTCCGTCTGTTGGAGCGATGCTGCAAATTGGCATTGACAGTATGTTTCGAATAGCCTTCAAGCTGATTCTTGAGACGAAGGACCCTAACGTAGCGGCAGGGAATTGTAGAACACGAGGTTGAAGTATCTCTGCGCCCATGCTTAATCGCAACGGCGCTAGGGCTTGCCGAATGGCGGGAACCGTAATGTGCAGCAGGAAGCGTCGGTATGACTGATTCCAGTCACTGGCGATGTCCCAATTTACCCTGGTGGTGTTCTTTTGTTGTGGGCCTGTCGTGATGGGTCAACGGTTTCTTTTTCTCCACGGTAAGCCATTTGCTGGGCTGTCCGAGGAAATTGGCCCTGTCCATTCCCTTTTCCGGCTCCAAACCCAACGAGCTGTTTTACGCTGAGCATGACATCCACGCCGGTGACTCTGAGAAGCGTGTGCTGCATCGGCTGTTGATATCAACGCGGTGCGGCCAAGCAAATATATTGGCCTCGGCTCTCGAATGCCAAGGCGGAGCTTAGTCCATCAGCCTGGTTAGCCCCAAGGTTCTCGGCAGTCGTTGTCGCATCGCCAAGGCCGTCGCCAAGTTTGATATGACAGCAGAGGGACCAGGCCTACTCACAAGGTGGCTTGGAAAACACGGGCCGAAGCGCTTGCTTTGAGATGTAATGTAGGTGTGATGTCGATTGATGAACCATAAAATCCCAGACTCCTATTCGCCGCCAAAAAGGGTTCGATGCGGCCTCTAATCTTCTTCTTCCGCCTCTTCCATGGTAACTCCACGTGGGCCGGCGCTCTTCTCGACTTCCAGCCCATGAGCCGATTGTTCTGCCGGCTGGGAGGTCTTTAGGTAGCCGGCCCTCTCGAGTTCGTCGGCTTCTTCTGGTTCCATGAGACCCCCCTTGCCCTTGCCCTTTTCCAGCTTCAGCCGGACATTGGTCGGTACGAATGCGCTCACGGCCTCCTTTCTTAGATCGCGGACCATAGGCTTGGCTTCGTACACGGTCTTGACCTCAACCACGGGTGTCTTTGGCTTCTCCATCTTCTGGTCTTCTTGTTGCTGCTGATGTCCTCTGCCTTGGCCGAGTGGCTCGTGGTTCGCGTTTGCAGCCCGTTTTGCCCTGCGCTTGGCATACCATTCGTCTAGGACGTCCTTGGGAATTGGCGGGGGAGTGTCGCGCGGCATCGGGATCCTCTTGACATCTTCGGACACGTCGCTATCGCTAGACTCTTCGTCTTCCCGTCGTCGCTTTCCGAGGGCTCCATCGCGTCGCGGACCGTGGCCAAAGGTGGGCGCTTTGTCGCCTAGTGCCTCTCTGGCCTTCTTGACGGCTTTGAGATCCTTTTCGAGGGCCTCGAGGACCTGCTCTTGATGGGAGGAGAGCTTGCCGTCCGTTTCCTTGATCTTTTTTAGGTCGTCGATCTGCTGCTGGATCTTTTCGGGATTTCGTTTCGCGAGCTGTTCATTTCGCCTTGCCTGCTGCTGCGCCTTGCCTGTGCAATGTGAGGTTATTGTTAGCATATCGCTTGCGGGTAGGATCCGAATATCGCCTTGTCTTCCTTCTTCCACTTGCCCTTTTTGATTTCCTTTGCCTTGTCAGCTTTGCGCTGGGCTTGGACTGGGTTGTAGTTTTTCTCCTTGGGCATTGTCGGTCTTGCTTATCTCGATGGGTAGAGTGGGTTCTTGATGTCTCGACAGTGGTGATAGCGCAGACAAAAAAAAAAAAAAAAAAACATGGACAAACAAAGGACGGATCGTGGCACCGCAATTTAAACGGATGGAGCTTTCTGGAGCGGAATGACGCGTTAAGATAGTGCACGGCTCTGCCAAGAACATTTCACAGCGCGGTCCATGGAAGGAGTTGCGATTGCCAATCCGGTCTGGCACCTATGGTAAGACGAAGACCCTTCCGGCCCCCCTTCTGACCCCGCGATTTGGGGCCATTGGGGAGCCATTGACACCCAAAGGGCCACTGTCCGTACTCCCGTACCGTACCGCACCCACTGACACCCAATTCCCTGGCTCTTTAGATAGGTAGCATCGGTGAATGGCTGCCCGCCCGTTGCCGGGGTTTTTGCTGCGACTGCCCATCCCGCAAGGTTGTTGATATTCAACCTGAAAGTTGCCCCGCCTTTTTCCCTTGGACCTCTTGCTAGGTGCTTCCCGCTCCTGCCCAACTCAGTTGCCAGGGAGAACTTGTCTCAGCAAAGGTTCGGTGGCTGCACTTGCCCGTCGCTGTTCATAAAGGAGGAATTGCATGATTTAATTTTCGGTTTCCCGCTGGCGACCAAGATCCGTTTCTGTCCTCTGACAACAAAAACAACAAACTCTTGACGGCAGTCAGTTGAGTGTCCCTTTTTTGCAACACCACGGACAACGGCACCGCGACGAGCTCACTCCCTCCCACCAAGAGTCAACAACTGAACAGTCAACACAGACCAACAGCTTTGTACACAGTACTTCTACAACTTACCTACCAAGACCACCAACCCCCCCCGGGCGCCATTCGAAGTATCGCGGCCGCCCCATCCATCTCAGCTTGTTTTCAGCTGCCTCTTGCAGTCCCGTCTCCATAGCTATCCACCTGGAATCTGTCTTGTTGCATCTGACAACTCGGCACTCTAATCTTCCATTTATCCTCCTGCATCATTCATCCAAGCTTTCCCACCGCGGCCCTGCTTCGCTTGTCTAGCCTTGCAGCCGCGCGGACAGTACAGATAAAGGAGACGAGACGACTCCAGCACACCGACTGACTTGACTCCCGCCTCGCTATCCATCCCCACGGTGTTCCCCTGCCCTGTACCGCTACTGCAGGTGGAGGCTGAGATCGCCCAAGCAAGTCAGCCCTACCTTGTTCTGTTTGGTCTTTGGATCCGTGCCCGCCAGGAGCACATCTCTCAACACCACCTCAGGAGTACTTTCTCCCCTTATACGTGGTGCTATCTGGCATAGCTTCCAGTCATGTCTAGCTACTTGACAAACTTCTTCCCTAGCGGCGGGAAGCAGGATGGTACCAGGCCCCAGACCCCCATGAGGCCGGGCACCTCGAGCTTCGTCAACCCCGTCAGCACACCTCAGGGGAGTCCCAGCAAGAGGACCCTTCCGCCTGGCGCCAATGAGCTGCCTGCCGCGTTCGAGTCTATGAAGCTTTCAACGCCTACCAAGCTCGCGACGTCATCCAGACCCGGCACCTCATCCAAACTCGGGACCCCAAGTGCCCTCGACAGTCCCATCAAGCTCGGCCGTCCCCAGAGTGTGGCCACGCCTCTCTCGCCTGGAAAGAGCAACCTCAAAGACGTGGGCGATGATACCTTTGAGGACCTCACAGGCAATGGCAGTGCTGTTAGTGTCGTCCACAAGCAGGTGGACAAGAACTTGCCGAAACCTTACCCTGTGCCCACTCCCAGGAGAAAGGAAAGGGATCAGAACCAGGAGAACACACCACCAGTCGTGACCCGCGATCCCCGCGACCCCCGCGACCCTGCCACTGAGCCAACATATCAGCGCAGTCATGCTGCCCTCTCCCGACAGGAACTATACCAGACAAGAGAGCGCGCCTCACCCACGGTCAAGAGATTTAACACGTCGAGAGGCCTCACTCCCGAGGAGCGCGAGCTACTAAACAAGCCCAATGTCAAGCGACTGGTCAACGTGACGCAGCTGTGTAAGGATCATGTTATCATGTTGCTCTTTGCTGGTGCTAATTGTTGATAGACTTCCTTGACTACTACTTTGACCTGCTCACCTATGTCGGACAACGACAAAACCGTCTGAATGCCTTCAAGGCCGAATTCCCCCCACCACCCGAGACCGACGAGGAGACGTACAAGCAGATGTGGCACAAGTACGCTGGTCGGGAACGTGCTAATCTCCGCAAGCGACGAGTGAGACTGCGCCAGGGCGACTTCCAAATCCTTACCCAGGTCGGTCAAGGTGGATACGGACAGGTCTTTTTGGCCCAGAAGAAGGACACCAAGGAGGTTTGTGCGCTCAAGGTGATGAGCAAGAAGTTGCTGTTCAAGCTGGACGAGGTGCGACATGTGCTGACGGAGCGAGACATCTTGACAACCGCCAAGAGCGATTGGCTGGTACGCTTGCTGTACTCCTTCCAAGATGACAGGAACATTTATCTTGCCATGGAGTACGTGCCGGGAGGCGATTTCCGCACCTTGTTGAACAATACTGGCGTGCTCTCAAACCGGCACGCTCGCTTCTACATTGCCGAGATGTTTTGCGCGGTCGATGCCCTTCATCAGCTGGGTTACATTCATCGCGATCTCAAGCCGGAGAACTTCCTAGTCGATTCGACTGGCCACGTCAAGCTCACCGATTTTGGCCTGGCGGCTGGTTTCCTTGCCCCTGCCAAGATCGAGTCAATGAGGATTCGCTTGGAGAAGGCATCTGAGACCTCGGTGCCGTTTGGCAAGCCGATGGACCAGCGAACCGTTGCCGAGAGAAGAGAAGGCTACCGGACAATGCGTGATCGGGATACCAATTACGCCAAGTCGATTGTTGGATCTCCAGACTACATGGCCCCGGAGGTGCTGAGGGGCGAGGAGTACGACTATACTGTCGATTACTGGAGTCTGGGCTGCATGCTCTTTGAGGCTCTGACAGGTTTCCCGCCTTTCGCAGGATCTACCGCAGACGAGACTTGGCGCAATCTCAAGCACTGGAAGGAGGTTCTCAAGCGTCCGGTCTGGGAAGACCCCAACTACTTCCTCAGCAACCGGACATGGAGTTTCATCACGACGTAAGTATAGTGTGACAAGAAGATATGGAGCGTAGATGCTAACCAGCTTATAGTTGCATCAACTCCCGATCGCGGCGCTTCAACAACATTAAGGATATTTATGCCCACCATTACTTTGCCGAGGTCGACTGGGCCATTCTGCGCGAGACTAAGGCTCCGTTCGTGCCCGAGCTGGACTCGGAAACTGATGCCGGCTACTTTGACGACTTCAGCAACGAGGCTGACATGGCCAAATACAAGGAGGTGCATGAGAAGCAGCAAGCGCTTGAGGGTCTGGCCGAGCGTGGCGAGGAGATGAACAAGAGTTTGTTTGTCGGATTCACGTTCCGTCATCGCAAGCCGGCGACGGATGATGGCGCGAGTCCGAGGAAGCCAATTCCATTTGAGGAGAGCAACAATTTTGGTACGATGCTGTAGAGCCAGCACCGGCAACAACAGGATGAAGAGGAGTGGCAGGAGCCATCATCGCAAATTTTGTTTCGGCATGACGAGGGCAAGAGTATTTTAATTTGTGGAAATTGCGGTACGGATACATGGGATGGTCGATACCCGTTGTCGAGTAATATGGAAAGCCCTTCGCGCCGGTCCCGGTGGACCACGGCAGATCGTCAACAGATGACGTATGCAGGGAGAGAATACGACTTGCTGTGATTGACATGAGAAGGGATGGATTCTGTCAGAGTATCAAGGGAGGCCGAGTAGGGAGGGGGGTTATCACCATTATCTGGCTTACAACAGAAAGAGAGCATAGCAAGCAAGCAAATGATAGGTAGTAGAGTAGGGAGTATTGCAGCAATGAAGAGCCTCTAGTTTACAAGGCTGAATGCAGTAGTGACTCGCTTCAGCCTCGAGGGTTGGTAGGACAGTAATGGACCGCGTAATCAGACGTCCGTCAGGGTACACCTAAAGCAACAATTGGGAGGCATGGGATGCTGCAAGTAAGCCTTTAGCATATCCCAAAATGGCATTGGTGCCACGAGGGCGGCAAGGTTGGAGGAAAAAGGATTCTCGGGACCGGGCCGTTGGAGTCGTCGTCAGCGGTCTCGATGTAGCTGGTATGGTAGGGCAGAAGAAAGAAAGAGAGGAAGGGGATATGATCTGATGAATAGACGGAACCCTGCGAAGATCCCGTCCAGGGAAGTTCAGGCGTTGAAACGCTAACACACTCCTCCTTCAGGGGGGGGTGTTCAGCCCTATTACGTGATGGCTGTGGACCTGCTCCAGGGAAAACGTCCTCCACTATCAACCGCATTCTGTGCATTAACAAATACACGAAAAACCCGAGCTCGAAAACGACATGCTCCGGACGCTTCAAGACACCGATGCCCGATGAAAAACGAACCGGCAGGACATGACCAGACGCGGCCACCTGAATTATTCCTGCGCAGCGTCCGCCGCTGACCGAGGCTAGGATGTCTTGCGCCCACGGTTACGGACATTCCCCAACTTACCAAACGCCACCCACTCACCCACACCACAGCCCTGGAGGTTGGGCTTTAAACCTCCGGGGCCCCAGTTATGACGCTCTTACACCACACCAGCTGGCATCAGAAACCTCCCATTGGATCTGTGCCAGCCGACCCTCATCATCTTTTTCTGGGGTCCTGAGCGGGCCCCCCTTGTTGTTACCCTCCCGTTCCGTCCCTTCGGTCCCGAGCTTACGGCAAGGGAAAGGGAAGTGTGAAGAGTTGAGCCGAGCCATTCATCACATACCACCTCGTCCTTGACAAACAAGGGAAAGCTGCTGATCCCTTGGAAGAGTGGCTGTTTCGGGTAGAGGGGGGGTTACGCGTCTTCATCGAATAATGCTCTCGTTTGGTGCAGTAAGCACTGTTGACAACTGACAACCATCAGCATCTCCAACGGCTGGCATCATGGGTTTCGTTTCTCTCTCGGCGCCGAACTTCTTGTAGGGCGGTTCTTTTAGACTCTGATGATTTCCAGAATAGGAAGCAAGATCTATCTGTCTGTCTTTGGCCGATCAAGTCTCGTCCGAAAGTATTACCCGCCTTCTTTTTCTTGCGGATGTACAAGGTGGAAATCCGAGAGGGAGAAGCACAAGCATATCTCTCCCCATTCCAATCCAATCCATCCTATCTCACCCCTGCCGTTTCCGTTCTTCCCTTTCTTAAGCTGTCTGTTCAAGTTAGGTAGTCTGAGCAGGCATGAAGACATGCCCCAGAATGAAAAGGATAATCGGATTCTTTTTGAAGTCCTCAATTCCGATTCCGAGAAGACCTTTTTGCTTGTGGGTAAGACGCCGCGCGTCTGATCTCATACCACATAGCTAGGTATGCCCGTTTTTACCGACATCTACAATGTTCAATGACGGATGGGAGTGGCCAAGGTAAGTAGGTAGGTACCCCCGTGCCCTACGTACAGCTGGGCTTGTACCTAACATTATGCACAGTTGACTTTTGGAAAGGGATATCTGGATGTACACGCAAGTGCATGCCTTATGTCCATGTTGTGTACCATGACACACTCACCAGCCCCATTTCATACAGCTGATGAGCCTTCCATTGGTGTTTTCCCGCTTACAACTCGGGTTCTTTCAGTATGTATGGTTGGCTGTGACTTAGTACTGATGTATAATCTGCTGTATGTCGGGCTGCCAGGTACCTAACCCCCTACCTGACAGGTTTCCTCGCCCTTGAGGCGCGGTCCATTGTAAACTGTAAGCAGGGTCCCGAGACATGTTGGTCCGATGTATAAAGCGGCTCGGCTGTGCTACTCTCTACGATCCCGTATCATATGTATATATATGTCGAGGATGCTCTATTACTTCCATTTGCGTATCTTGGCTTTTTCTTGTTTCAGACCAGCCTGACAATTTTTTATCATTCTCCTCGAACATCCTCACCATAAACACTACTTGCATATATTCTTCTACCCTTCACAGCGCACAACCATCAGTCAATCACCCAGCAAAGACCAAACAAAATGGAACGACATCAGCTCCGTCCCCAAATCCTCACCTACACCTCCTTGGTCCTCCTAGGCATGCTCGGCCGTACCAACGCCTGGTGGGGTGCCGGAGCCCCCGAGTGCGCAGTAAGTCCCCCCCCCCTTTTCTCCCTCTCCTCAACCACTCAGATAAGGTAACTAACGCTTCACACCGACAGCAACCCTGTCTCTCCTCAGCCTGGTCCGCCGCCAGCACCACCTCCTGGCCCGCCCCAACAGATTGGTGCGCGTCCGACTCCTCCTCCGACATCCAATCCCGCAAGGACGCCGCCTCCTCCTGTCTCGTGTCCGCCTGCTCCGCCACGCCCACCGTTCACTCCTCCTACTCCTCCCTCTCTTCCTCTCTCTGCGCCCAATATTCCTCTTGTTCCTCCGCCGGCTCTACAGGCGTTTACACCGTCTCCCTCCCTGCTTTTACAGGCGCCTGGGACGGGGGTCACGACGGCGGTCCCATTGGCGGCTGGTGGCAGGGCGGCGGGCACGGAGGTCCAACAGGGACAGGAACAGGAACAGGACAATGGGGTCCCCACCATGGCTGGGCCGGTACGGCCACTTGGACTGGTGGCGTGTATACCGTCACGGGATGTGAATGGGATGGATCGCCGTGGGCCGGCGGGCCGTGGGGATGGGGTCATGGTTATGGTCACGGTGATTATGGTAATGGCCAAGCTAATGGGCCTTGGGGCATATGGGGCGCGGGATGGACTTTGACTAGCACGGGGACGGAGACCGTCACGGCTGTGCAGACCATCACGAGGGATGCGACGGGTGGGGATGGGAGTGTCACGAAGGTGATGGAGTTGACGACGAGTACGGGGTTGGCGACGGTTGGGTATGCGGTTAATGAGGAGAGTAAGGAGGAGGCGACGACGGTGTTGGGGGTTGTGCAGGCTGCGGCTAGTACGACTGGAAGTGGTGGTAGCAGCGGTGCGGCGAGAGTAGGTGGTGCTGGTGCGGGTATGGGAGTCAAGGTTGTGGCGGCTGTGTTGGGGGGTGTGGTGGTGGTTGCTGGATTGCTTTGATTTGGAAAGGGATGAGGTCAGGTTTGGGGTTGCAGGTTGATGTCTGTATGTTCATTTGGAGTTTGGGTGATATGATGTTTGTGGAGGATACTTTTGTTCGAAATTCCCCTGGTATGGGGAAAAGCTTACTTTTAGTAAGGAAGTGCTTTGCCAAGTTTATTTCATGATGTGACGGGTTTGATAATTTCGGACCCTCCCTCTGTTTTGTATTTAGCTTGTTTGTCGCTGCCTCTTGACGAGATACCATCTACCTGATGCTGACGACCGCCTGCACGCATTATCGTTCGTGGCGCAACACCCGTTCAACGTAATGTATTTATTCATTTCTATCCAAGTGGGGCATGCCCTCTCCTCTATTCTTCTTCCGGCAAGCGTCTTCTTGCTGCGGATGGTTTGTATTCGACCTACTGACTTCATACTCATGCCATTTAGCAGACAACTTTGGGGGCTGTGCAAGTACTAAGCCTACCTATTGGGACCTCCTCGATTCCGTTTATGCTACCTACGTTGGCCAGACACTCGCCAATCCACACTGCAAGTTTATAAAGGCTTTCTCCTTCCCATCAACTATTTGTCACCTTCTTCAGATGCACTCGGTGTCTGACATAGAAGGTCACCAGAACCAAACGTCGACAATAAAATCAAGCTCTCGATAAAAGATGGAACACCAGCTTGGAGAACAATGTCGCCTATTTCCAGCGTCTTTCTGGCTCGCACCGTACCCCGAGGTCGACCTGGAGGTGAATGTAAAGGAGTTGGAAGCAGAGGCCGGAAAGGACTGTCATTTCTGCCAATTCCTTGCTGCGTGGCGAATGAAAGGCGACATCTCGGAATTTTGCTCATACAAAATCAGAAAGCTTGACTGGAGTATGCCTCTCGGCGGTCCCCGCGGCTTGATATACTTCGGGTTGAGTCTCGAGATAAGAGACCCTTGGCCTCAATTTCTCGATGAGGGCGAGGATCTTCATAGTAGGTGCTAAGTTGTGTTGTGACATGATATCCGTTTGAGGATGGTTCTCAAGCTCATATACATACCTTTCTACGACAGAATTGATTGAGTGGCGGCGTCAGAACACCTCACAAAAATGTGGAACTCTGTTCAGCCCAGTACGCTTGTCTGCACACTTTGGCGAAGCAGCTACTAGGTAAGTGTAGATGTTAATCTTCAAACTTTACGTTTCTAGGTAGCTGACAGTGACTGTAGAAGCTACCCGTATCAGCTCCGCTTCGACGTGACGGACTCACTTATCTGGCTTCGAGACACAGAGAAGAAAAGCCCTGGAAGAAGTTCCTCTGCGTCCTGTGAGGCTATGGAATATAGCGTGGCACTCATGAAGATGTGGATTAGTAGATGCGAGCAGAAACATGGAGACGCTTGCCGCGCAGCGTTGACCGCTCAGGACTTCATACCCACCAGACTTCTTGATCTCGAAGCATTCAAACGTGGCAAGCCATTTACTTACAGAGACGACATCAAACTCGTTAATCTACGACTGGACACAATAGGCCACAATGACAGACAGCCGTCGTATCTGACCTTAAGTCACTGTTGGGGACCCCCCGAAAAACGCCCTGCGACTACAACGAGGGCAAGTTTGGTGGCGAATATGAATAGAATCCTATTCTCAAGTCTGCCAAAAACTTTTCAGGATGCGGTCGAAATTACACGAAGATTGGGACAGCGGTACCTTTGGATTGATTCGCTCTGCATAATACAGGATGATGAAGCAGACTGGGCGCACGAGGCATCGCTAATGGCCAAGGTATACACCCATTCTTATTGTACTCTGGCGGCTCTTAGCTCCAGCGACAGTAGCCAGGGGCTCAATATGGTACGGCCGGATTTCCTTCTGAACCACGAGATACGAGGCAACCAACACGACAAGTATCGGGTGCAAGCATGGAAGGGAACAAGGTCAGGATGGTCGGGAGAATATTACACTTCAAGAGATCGGAGCCCTCTTCGATACCGAGCTTGGACGCTCCAGGAACGGGAACTTTCAACAAGAACTATACATTTCGGACATCAGCAACTACTATGGGAGTGCATGGAGGGAAAAGCATGTACCCAGCACCCTTGGCCCTTGTTCGATCGAGGCCAAATGACATTGAGGAAGGCAATGGCAAGTACGTCCGAGATCGTGGTGTATCAACCAAAGGAAATGCGAATGAAATGGCAAAACCTTGTCGAGGAGTACTCTGGCCGATCATTGACAATACCAACCGACAAGCTCATTGCCCTCTCTGGAATCGCACAGTCCTATCAGGTTCTCTTTCCTAACGCAAAGTACGTGGCTGGACTCTGGAGCACCCATATGCCCCAATGTCTGCTCTGGGCCAGTCCTGACAGATCCGCCAGGCGAGCTTCAGAATACATTGCACCAAGCTGGTCTTGGGCATCGCTAAACAGCTCCTCCTCCATCAAGTTCTTACCAGAGCTCTTTTTTCAACCTGATAACGGGTTTCCTGAAGTTGAAGATATGAAGGGATCACCAAAGCATAACGATCCTTATAGCGCTCTTACCGAGGCCACATTGACGCTGCGTAACGCTCTGCTTGTGCAATTCGATTCTGAAATCAAGCGTCTCGACGAGGTTTCGCGTTTCAGCGGAGGGCCTGAAGAGGAAGATAAGAACCTAGGAGTCCTGACCAAGTATGACGTTGTTGCTGGGTTGGCATACCTTGATGATGCGGATGAGCTGCTTCATGGGACGGGAGAACTGGTGTGCTTGGTGATTGGCATCGAGGATGTCGGTGGTGACACCAGGAAAACACCTGTAGAGCATCATTATGCAGGGGAATGGGAATTTTGCCTTGAAGGACTTCTTTTGAGAAGGGTTGTACAAGATGATGCCTCTACATGTACATATCGTCGGGTTGGCATTGCTCGGTACATCCCAGAACATTTCAGAGCGGGCTTGGAACCCGGAAGAATAACACTGATATAACACACGGAAATATGATAGCAAGTAGGATATATAAGAGGTACACATGGTCAAGCCCTGCTTGATGTTGTTGTTCTTTTTCAGTTCCCTAACAACGGCTTGTTGGCAGGAATCAAGAATACCTACCCGACATTGACACAACACCAACTTGACCTCTAACCCAAAATAACATACCTCAACACCAACTCACTACCGTCACACAAAATCAAATGAAACTATGAGGGTCCCCAATTACGCCTACTGCACAATTTGAGCCTCGCACTTTGTGGCTCGAACAGATGCAACGTAAAAGTACACCCAGACCGAACCACCATCCGAATGGTCGTAATTGAGAATCAACCGAACACGTCGTTCAGTCACGATTGATGATTACATCCACACACAGGGTAAGGTATTCTCCATCACTCATCCAAGTGTCCAGTATTCTTTATACCTTATCTTTGAACCCAACCTTCCGGCACTTCCTGGGGGTAAAAATTCCTAAGGACCTCTAGCCGATATGTTACTGCGTTATTGTAACCCTTTTCACAATTATATAACTGCTTTTGCGAACCATAAACGAGCGGTAATCGAGTGGAAGGAAGGAAGCCACGAGGCGGTAGGCAGTAGGCGATATGAGCATGATACCCCCTAAATTGCGGAGGTCTAGTTGGTTCAAGTGTACATCAAGCGTTGCAAGTCATTCTCGGCTCTTTGGAAGCTAGACTTCTTTTCGGGGCTGGGTTGTTTTTCGCGAGTGTCGTTATTTGTTTTGTTTGTTTGGTTTTGTTTTGTTTTGTTTTGGTGTTGGCGTGACATGGTGCGTTTCTCTATACGCTGTGATCCACCAAAACCGCTAGATGAACAGTGCTGCAGGGCGCTCTTGGCACACTAATAGTAGAATAGGTAGGTACCTAAGACTAGGGTAGTGACGACGAGTTGACGACAACACGCTATTTTGGAAACGCGACTTATCGTTGTGATCTTTCAGTTCCTGACGCAAAACCATCACAATCACCTAAAATCACCTCAACTTTGCAAACCTGCCCACGGAAACAACAACAATAAAAAAAACACCATGCCTCCTCCCAGGCGCGGCGCGGACCTGACTCTCTGGGACTGCTTCCAAATCGCCGATCAACATCGCGTCGGCCCCTTCGCGCACCAATACTACTCGCCCAACTACGTGGAAGAATACGACTGGAACCAATTCGATCCCGACTACTTTTCCGGGCCTGAGTTCCAGTCGCTCCCCCTTGAGGAGCAGTTTTGTCATTTTCCCAGGGGCATTGTGGAAAATGTGGACAACTACCTCGACGGCAGAGCCTTGAATAAAATGCTGGCTTACATGGGCGAGTCCAGGGACGACAGATACGTGAGCTGGCTGGTTGATCATCAGCGCGAGGCCTGGCGCGTTGCGAAGCGGTTCAATTTGAGACTAGAATCAAGGAGGTCACAGTTAGAGAGGGAGTTGGGGGAGGGGGAGGTGGAGAGGATAAGGGGGGCCATGCAGGCGGCGAGAGAGAGGAAGAAGGTACGAGAGAGAGAGAGGAGAGAAAAGAAACTTAGGGAAGGACGGAGGGAATTAGCAATGCAGCGGGCGGAGGAACAGCAAAAAAAGCTACGAGAGGAGGAAGAGATAAGGAAACAAGCCAAGGCTAAAGAAATGAGAGTTCGCCGGGAGCTCGTTGGAGACTTGAACAGCGGGGCTTCGACTTTGAGGAAACAAATTGCAACGTTCGCGAAGGGCGACGAGTCTGTGACTATTGGGGAGTGTGAGGCACTCATCGCCCAAATTGGGCGGTTCATCCGGCTCTTTACGCGGCGTCTAAAGGCGCACGTTGAGTCGCAGAAGGGGGAAGTCAGCTGGAGGGTGGTATGGGCAGCGGTCGGGGGTGTTATCAGCGTGCTCGAGCTGATCTACTATGACGATGTCACGGAAATCCAAAGAAACTCGTACGTGGACTGGAGGAATCTAAATGTCCTGTTCCACGTTGCGACGAGCGGTGCTAGGGAAGAATGGGGTTCTTTACTGCGCAGCCTGTTGTTTCAAACCGGAATCAACCACATAATGCAATGGGTCCGCACGAGAGATGACATCCACGAGAGATTGAGAGCAGTACTTGTGAACATGGATAGGCATGGAATGAGTGGCGCGAGGGAGATGGCGAGTGAAATTTGATAACTCAATGCGACTTGAGAGAGGTGGAGGAGGATATATGTCTGCTTGGAACCCTCACAAAAAGAACCTAAGTTCTTGTTCTGTCCTTAACACTCAAAATTCGTATACTGTTTCCATGTCCTGGAGCTGCCTCCGTCCTCCCACGTAACAAGTCCTCCTGTTCTCTGGTGCCGTTGCTTTCTTTCGCGAGGTGGTTTACTCGCGGTTACTTTGACAAACTCCCAGCGGCAGCACGTACTTGTTGATCCACTCCATCTCTTCATCGCTAAACTCGCGGGTAGAGTCGTTTCCGTTCCAAGCGGGTGAATTCAGACGGTCAACGACATCCTGGACGTCGATGATGTAAAGGTCTCTCCCTCTGTAAATGCTCACAGTCTTCCTGGCCGGAGTCTCGGGCATGCCGCGAGCCGCCTCATCCTCAACCAGCTTTGTAAGTTCCCACTTGCGCCTGATAACATGATCGTTAAACCGCCTAGCAATTGTCCAACCCAGACTCCGGTCGGAAGGAACGGCAGAGGCAAGCATGTCAAGGACTGCGAAGGGGGGTAAATGAGAGAGCATCAAGGACACAGTGGCCGTGGACAGATGTCTAAGTGGAGCAGATCTGGCGAAGGGACCCGGGAGTGAGTTGAGACCCTCGACGTCGTTGTTTCTCATACACTCGAGCTTCCGTGGGATGATGAACTCGTTGAAACGCTCGGCGATCTTCCAAGCTTGAGATTGATCATCGGAGGCTGCAGATGTCAATATGTCGATGACCATCGAGAGGGGTAAATAGGAGAGTATGAATCTGAGGTCTTCGGTCGCAATGTGGCTTTCTGGGCCCATTTTGATGGGTTTTGGGAGGGCCGCGAGTTGTTCAGACGCAAACTGGTTGGCGCCAGAACCTGCAGAGGAGGCTCGACGCCGCTTGCAAGGGACCACGGGTGAAGTCATGTTGAGGGGTCAAAGGCCCGGCAAAGAAGACGAAGATCTGGTGATGTACTGTGGGATGTGGGCGGCACGATGCTCTCGTCGGCGTCGAGAACCCTGCACGCAGGGAGAAGGCAAATGAATTCTTGTTACAACGGCAGCAATGACCCGAGTCAATGGAAACAGAAATAAAGAAAAAAGGTCTAGAAAACAACTGTAGTTGAAATCTCAGCTGTTCACTTGAAGGATCGCTGTGAAGGGGTACAGGTTGATGAAAGGAGGGAGAATCAGGTCTCCCCAAAAACGAGTCCCGCCAACAAACGGCCCTTTCATCTGAACCTTGCTTGTTGGATCCTCTGTCCAGCGCAGTTCTTGAACCTGAAGTTTGCGTCCCCAGGGCAGAGTGCTGTTCGAAGGGTGAACTATCGGACTGCTGCAGACCTGCCTCGTACCTGCCTGTACTATCAACTCTCTTACCCCACTTCGAAGGAAGACAACAGCAGAAGGCCCATTCTGTAAAGTGGAAGGAAGTCATAACGGCGATGGCTGGTACGGAAAGAGCTCAGGACTGCCGAGGAAGCTATTCCCAAGGCGACTTACTGATTGGGAGCAGTTGGCCACGAGAAGAGGTAAGTAAAACCCAGGTCTCCCAGGTCTTTGGTCAGTTTTCTCTACTCTTTCCAATCTTGTTAGATCCCAGGGATCTTCTTCTTTGCATGAACGAAATCATAATCATTCAGCTTGCCAGTGCTCGGCCATAAGTACCTCCCAAAATGAAGCAGATCAATGTGAGAGATGTTGATTGATTGGTTGTATGAGGAAAGGAAGAAGTGGACTGCCAAATCCATCTCAAACATCTTCCCAGGAAGGAAACTTGGGCGAGTAAACGACATTCCATTGCTCTCGCAGCTGCCCTCCTTGTTGAAAACCTTACAGTTTGATCCCGAACGGCCTAGCAACCTTCTGCATCCTGGCCCTGTCCATCCCAGCCTGAGTCATCTTCTCGAACAACATGCCCAACTTGCGATGTAAATCCTTCTCTAACTTTACCCATTGGACCAGCTCCATTTTATCAACTCCCGTCTCAAAAAAGAACTTCAGCAACAAGTCCCCAAGCTTCTTTTTAGCGCCATACATCTTCAGCTCGCCCGAAGCTTCCATAATCTTCAAGTGTTCCTGCCCCGACTCTGTAACAACCTTGAGCTCCACGGGCAAATAAACATACTCAAGTACGTCGACAACCCCCATGACCGCCGCCTTCCATAGTCTCCAGTCAACCACCTTTTCCCACCGCATATGTGACTTCAGGTCTCCATAGGCCTTGCGGATGGACCCGTCAACCCGCTCGCCAACATCCTTCATAAAGTCATTCAAATAGGTTTTGGTCTGGTTACCCTCCTCGCGCATCGACTCAAACTCCACGATACGTGTCTTGACATCCTCGAAATATACAGCCAAACGTTTGATACACTTCATCAGGCTCTCCTCCTTGTATTTCTCAGTGTATGAAACCTGCGGTGGAGGAGCCTCGACCTTTGGAACCGTCTCAACCTTTGGAACCACGCCAAACTCCACTTCCGCCTCCTCCTCTCCCTGCTCCTTATCCATTTTCCTCCTCTTTCCCTCCCTCTCTTGCTCCTCCTTCTTCTCCTTCTCCTCCTGCTCCTTTCTCTTTCTCTCCTTCCTCTTCTCCACCTCCTCCCGCCACCGTTCATTCGCCTCCTCCTCCCTCTTTCTCCTCGCCTCTACCCTCTTCCTCCTCTCTTCCTTCTCCACCCCTCTCAACCGTTCTATTCCTTCCCGGCTCATCTTCGACAACACCTTAAATCTCCTCCTTTCCAACGCACGATTAAACCTCTTTGCAATCCCCCACGCTCTATTCTGTGTATCCGACACCTTCCTCAGATACTCCTGATCCTGCGCTTTGGCGTGGTCCCCCAACCAAGTGAGCATTTTCTCCAGGTCGCCCTCAGAGAGGTACCCATCCGTGTTTTCGACGATGCCCTTGGGTAAACGCAGGAATTGTTCGGCGGGCGGCAGCGCAGCAAAAGAGAGATCGAGCTTGTTGGCATAAGAAGGGTCGAAGGAATCAAAGGGGTACTTCTCGATATAATCGGGAGAATAGAATTGGGCGGCAAAAGGTTTGACGCGGGCGTATTCCATTTTGCCCCAGAAGGAAGAGGGGTCTTCGTCGGAGTCGTCGATGGTTTTCATTGTTTTTGTGGGTGGGTGGGTGTGTTGGTTGGACTTATACTGTGTAGGGAGATGTTGTTTTGGAGAGATGGACCATTGAATGAAAGGAATACTTATAAAGGTGAAAGAAGGAGTTGGGAAAACCCCTTTTGTGTAAGTCGTGGAATAAGAAGTTTCGTTGTCGTTGGCGGCATTGTTGATATAAAAACCACGCGCTTCCTATGGGACCACACTGACGCAAAAAAATCGTATTACTTCCGACTGCGTATAATTCAGAACTGCAACTGTAAGATAATAGGCCTTGGCAGTTGACAAGGTAACCGATGCGAGAATACGTGTTGATTACGCTGCGGGAGGCTGAACCGACAAAGCTGCCGTGCATCAAATCAGTCTACTTTTTGTCTCTAGACCATGTCACACACTCTCACATCTCAATACCCAGATGAAGCTCTTCCCAGAGAAGAATAGGCAGGCTCTTGTTTTGTCCCAGTTATCAGACCCAAGCTACAGTTATCATAACAACAAGCCGAAACGCTTCCGACCTTGTAAAAAAAGAGAACTCTAAGCTTTTCTCCTCTCGGGCCTTTCGTAGCTCCGCACGTACGTCATCATTTCCCTTTCGTTTGTTTTTGTTGTGTTTTGGAACCAATCAAGCTTTCCACCAGTTCATGACCAAGAAGAAACAGGAGATAAAGCAGAAATAAAACATGGAGAGTTCAGCCTGAGACAAACTGGTGACCGAAAGCCCTTGACACATTATCTATCCTCAAAACACGCTACATACTGTCCTATCTTTGATGAACCGTTTAGGAAGCCATGTAGGTGGAGGCATCGATACCTTCCTTGGGGAACTCACTATAGCGTGGTTAGTATATGTTTGGTGGACGAAAAAGGTGTGGCGAACTTACGGAAGAGCAACCTCGAAGCGCTTCTCAATGGCCTTGAGGACCTCCTTGTCCTGGTCAGTGGTAACGAAGGAGATGGCAAGACCCTTGGTACCGAAACGACCAGCACGACCGACACGATGGAGGTAAGAGTCGGCGTCGGCGGGGAGATCGTAGTTGATGGCAAGGTTGATGCGTTCGATATCGATACCACGACCAAAGACGTCAGTGGCGACGCAGATACGCTTGTTGAATTCCTTGAATTCCTTGTAACGACGGATACTATAAGGAGAGTCAGTAGGCGCCCACACAACGATGTCGGGGCAGGTGTACGTACCGTTCCTCTTGGCTCACACCGGAGTGGACAGCGATCGAGGGGAAGTTGCACTCGCGCAAAAGCTTGTCGAGCTCGGTAGCACGGAGAGTGCTCTTGACGAAGATGATGACCTGGTTGAACTGCAGCTCGTCGAGAAGCTCGTTGAGCTTGCGGTTCTTCTCGCGCTCCTCAAGAGGAATGTAGTATTGCTGAAGACCGTGAAGGGTCAACTTGGTGTCTTCGTCGACGTAGTGCTCGGTAGGGTTCTGCATGAACTTGCGGCAGATAGGCTTGATCTCGTCCGACAGGGTAGCGGAGAACATCATGACCTGCTTCTGCTGGGGAGTAGCGCGGAAAATCTCCTGAACGTCGCGGCGCATGTCTATTTGGGGGTTAGTGACCATCGGTCGGCTGTTGACTACAACGGGAACTTACCGATCTGGTCGAGCATCTTGTCGCACTCATCGAGGACGAACATGCGGACGCTTCCGAGACGGAGGTGCTTGTCGCGCACCAGGGCGTTGAGACGACCGGGAGTACCGACGATGATGTGGGGATGGGTCTCCTTGTTCTTGAGAACCTCGGCATCCTTCTGGATGGGGGTACCACCGTAGAAGACGCCGGTCTTGATGTCGGGCATGTACTTGCTGAAGCGGTTGTACTCGTTGCGGATCTGGAAAGCGAGCTCACGAGTGTGGCACATGACGAGGACAGAGCACTCGCCGGCGACGGGCTCAACTTGCTGAAGAGTGGTAAGGACGAAGACAGCCGTCTTACCGAGACCGGACTTGGCTTGGCAGATGATATCACCACCAAGCATGGCCTGGGGGATACATGTCTGCTGAACTGTATTCGAGGACCGGATTAGAATCGAGTTACGTAAGCTTTGAATTGGGCACGAAGAAGGACAGGATGATATCGAGAGCGAAGGGCCCGTCCATCGTCGCAGCAGCAAAAAGACTTTTTTTTTTTTCGTTAATCCGTTCCTCCCGTCGTAGGTGCGTGGTGCCGACATCATCTTTGTTCCGAGCATGGATCGAGTGAAGAGACGCGTCTCGTGATGGTGTCACGCATTGTAACGGTTCCATGACATCACCAGTCATCAACGACTAGTATAAGGCGGTCGACGACTCTTTCGAGACCGCAGGGGACAAAGTCTCCCTTGACCGGGGATCCCCCATTGAAGGGCCCAAGGGTGCTTAGCCCGAGGGTGAGCCTTTTGGGGTGATCGCTCTCCGCTCGCCATTGTGCCATTTCCACCTCGGCACCGTGATCGTGGTCGCGTGTACCGGGGTGCCAAATTCCAGCAGCGCTCAGAGGCGCGGACAGCCTACGCTCGTTTCCGAGACGCAAAGCGTGAACAAAGTGATGATGTAGGTCGTGGTGGTGGACGCTAACCGCCAAAGCACCACGTTCCCTCCCCAAGGCGTATGACGGCGGCGCGCGTTTCGGTGCTCCTCTTCCGACGTGCCAAGTGCCCATGATGACGCAGTATAGTCTTTTGTAATTGCTTGCGATGATGGACGGAACCCGATGTTTGAGGCAGGAGGTGTAACGATAAGCTGGGGGTAAAATTTGTCAGGACTAACCCTCCGAGGGATGCTCGAAGCCGCAATCGGCAATGGCGCGAAGAAGTTCGGGCTTCAGCAGAAAGTCGCGGAAGCCAGTCGAGTGGATGCCGACATAGGAGCCCTTCTTGGTGTCGACAGTCTGGCCGGCGGGGACAGCCTCAGCCTTCTTGCCGTTGGTGGGAGCGGCGGACTCGTTGTTGAGCTCGTCGTCAGAGTAGTCGATGAGATCTTCCTCGGCGGACATGTTGGCGGTTGTGGTGTTGGTGGTGGTAGTGGTGGGTGAGTGGTTGTGATTAATTAGTGAGAGAGCGTGTCAAGGCTGGAATGTGCGGCTGACGACGACTACGACAAAGGCGACAACAGAAAGCTGGGGAAGAGAAATCCGGTCAAAAGAAAGAAAGTGGGAGATTGCTGGAGTCGAATGAGGTTGCGCAGACCAGTCGAGGCAGAAGGCTACGTGATGCTGCGGAGAAGAAGTGGAGAGGAAAAGAGGCCACGCGCTGATGGAAGTTGGAAGATGTTGAAAAGTCGGAGGGTGCGACGGATCAAAGGTCCCAAAATAAGCAGCAGATTCAGGTTCCCGTCGCTGCTCCAGTCACGCACACGCACCCGGGGGCGCTGCACCACCGGCCACCACCACCAGCCGTGGCCCGCCCGTCGTGACTGTTGGCGTGACCTGGACGAGGCGCAGGCGTGGCCGCCCCGCTTGTTGCAGTCCAAAAGCCCAAGGTTTGAGGAGGACGCCAGCTGGCAGTCCGCCTTGTTTCATGAGGCAACTGTGGCTGAGCACCCATGTTGGCATCATACCAGCTGCCCCTGCTCTGGCGGCTCCCGGTCCATGAGTGACGCACTGACCCTTCCGAACACCTTCAGTCACTCCCTTGCAGCGCCGCCCTCATCCACAGTGAATGCCAACTGCATGCCAGTCTTGGCACCAATTGCAAACGACAAAGAACAAACGGTCTTTCACAAACCGTGAATGGACAAAAGCAGCACTCAATAATACCAGCCAAAAAATAATACCCCAACACAAGAACAATAGAAAACGAGACACAAAACTAGCAAAAATGGCCAAAGGCGGCGGTAAAAACAACGGCGGGGTCCAAAACAGGGCAATCTACTCCCGCGTCTCCTTCCTCCAGCAAGCCGCCGTTTTTCTATCCCGGCAGTCCCAGTCACAACACCAGCAACAACAACAATCACTCCCGTCTTCCACATCGTCAGCCTTGGCTCCCCTTGTTCCACCACCAACGTCCCTAGAGGGCATGTCCCGCCGTCTAGCCACCGACCTCCGCTCCGTGTCCCTCAAGACCCGAATCCGTCTCAGTCCCGCCGTCAAGCGGACCATCTGCAAGTACTGCGACTCGGTTCTTATTGACGGGTCAACATGCACAGCGTTCATTGAGAACAGGAGCAAGGGCGGGCGCAAGCCGTGGGCAGATATTTTGGTAAGGAGATGTCATGCGTGCAAGAAGGAGAGGAGGTATCCAATTGAGGCGAAGAGGACGAAGCGGAAGACGGAACGTGGGATATCGGAAGAAGACGCGGCTGGCGGGGATGCTATGGAAGTCGATGGCCCTCCTGTTGCTGGAAAGGGGAAGGGGCAGAAGCAACAGGGCCAGAAGCAGAAGCAGAAACAGCCGCAGGGTCAGACGGAGGTGGAAGTAGGGGAACAGAAAGGGTGAATGAGATCGAGGCTGGACGGCGCTCGACATGAAAAGAGCGTTGGTCTCAAACTAGACTTATGCCCAAATAGCACGACAAGCATCATGCTCGAGTTGGTCGGCCAGGTGCGTTGGAAAAGCGCCGACGAGGCTGCATGTCCCTCTTCATTGAACACGCCAAGGCCAGGAGAAAAGTTGAAGAGCCTAGCCAAGGTGAGGATCTTGTGTATGTCGACTCGGGTCAGTCCCGAGGACATGGCCTGTCGGAGAGAGTCTGGCGAAAACATACCGATGGTAACCGGTTCCGTAACCTGCCGTGGGGTCTCGCGAGTATCGAGTCGTCTTTTACGGTGAGGTGAATTTTCATGACCCAGGGTCACGACGAGGGAGTGCATCCGCTTCAACATCTCCAGACTGGCTAGTAGCGAAGATCAACTGAGGACGTTTTAACACCTACAAACCTTCCAGCCCGAATTGGAGGAAATCGCAAGAACACGAGTAGAAGCCGTGCTGCCGTGTTAGCTAGACGAACCAAATCAAAACAATATCAGGAAGCCGACCTTTCACACATATCTACAACCTCCAACAACTAATCTTTCATGTACATACATGGCATGGTATAATTCGTTGCTCTGTTACGCGTAACTCTGTGTCCCGTATCATCGTGATTGCTTTGACCTCCTGTTTCTCCTTGCTCCCGCTTGTTCAAACTGAATGTTTCCATAGTCCACAACCCAACCGCAACCTCATCCCCATTTTCCAACACACCCTCACCTCTGTTGCCCACCCTGCCCACCTTGACCACCTTGACCACCACCCTGCTGCTGCTCAACCACCTGCTGAGCCTGCACACTCTGGACACTTTCTTCTCCTAGGACTTTACTTGCTGCCATGAATCTGTATTGTGTGTATCATCCATCTCCAATCAGTCTCTCAAAACTCTTCGAGCTGGTGCAGTGATTAAGGAAGAGGGAAGGGAAGGCAAAGAGAAGAACACAAACGGGAAAAAGAAGAAAGAAGGAAGGAAAGAAGGAAAGAAAGAAAAGACAACAACTTACAATCCACCATGCCAACTCCCCAGCCCCCTCATGCACTCTGCCTGCACGCTGGTCATGCGCAAGAGGTTCTCGGTGTCGGCGAGGTTATTGGATAGTTGCGTTAATTGAGCGTGGAGTTGGGACTGGTTAGTCAGCTTCTTTCTTGCATTTGTTCTTCTTTTTGTCTCTCTTTTGGGAAAACGGAGTAAGGAAGGTAGCTTGTAGAGTAGAGCCATATGATACACGGTAAGGGCACAGGATACAACGACCACGATGAAGAAACGATAAGTCTAGGAATCAGAATGCAGTGCAGTTAAACACCCAAGCATTCCTCTCCATTATTAAGCAAAGGTCGAAAAGAAACGAAACGAGACAAAGAAAAGAAAAAGAACATACAATCTGCCTAGCCTTAACCGCCGCGCCATTCTGTCCAGAAGAAGTCGACAACGAAGAAGCGCCGGGGGCGTGCATGGACTGTCGTCCTCCGCCGTAGCCATTACCACCGTTACCACCACCACCGTGCCCAGCTCCGCTGCTGATTTGCGTGCCGAAGATGGTGTTGCGGTGGCTAGCCATTGCTACCTCTCTTGGAGTGGTGGGTGGGTGGGAGTTTGTTCGCTCAATCGCGTAGGTAGGTGTGAGAGAATTCCTGTGTGAGGGATACCGGTTTCCAGTGGTCTCAAGTGGTTAGACGTCTTGTTGGTGCAGTGCTTGCTGAGTGTCTTGTGAGTGTTTGGTTTCGTTTTGTTTTTCTTTGGGCGTTTGTTTGGTGTGGAGGTTTGGGATTACCTATTGTTGTCAAGTTAGCCGGTACTGAGTTGCTAAGCAGCGGAGGCATGTAGGTTGGGGGCGGGGGGGGGGAGTTAGTGCATCCCCTGAACGGTCGCTGGCTATTACGAGGGAGACGTCCATCAGGCCGCTGTAGCGCGTCTTTAGCCATGGTGAATAGCAACTTGATTGCTACGCTGGGCACCCTGTTATGTCAAATGCTGCTGTCCGCTGCGCACGTGCACTAACAGTTTGTGTGTCTCGACCAGTGCAAAACCTCAAAACAACAACACCTATTTCCCATCGTCCTCCAGTCTTCTAGACAAAACAAGATCTGGGCGACATGTGCCCGATAATCCGCTTCTACCAAACTCTACATTCCTCACATCTCTAAAATGGGACGAGCCAGCAGTGCATTTACGAGCTGCAACAGCGCAGGGACCCTCCCGTCATATCATCTCGAGCCACAGTGTGGCATGCATCTCAGACTTCGTATCTTGCAAGCCCTCCGTGCCCCCGGTGCCGTCCCTCCCGAACTCCCGGCCGCCGGGGTCCCAACACCAACTCATGCACACGAAACGAACAAGACGAGACGGAACCCGAGAATAGGTAGCCAGAGTCTGAACACTACCCTTGATCATTTTCACATTACCCTGCGTGCCCTACCTACCCCTGCCATCATGGGAACCAGAAAGCCCAGACAAGAGAGTAAGTAAAGCAGCGATGCTCAGTTCAACACAACTTCAGGATAGGTAGCAAGGAAGGTGATGTTAAAAACTATCATTACGATACGGTCAATGAGCTAGGAAGCTAGCTTCTGCCTTATGCTTTGAGTGGTTCGCCAATATCTACACTTCTCTCTCTCCGACTCATGTCAAACTATACAAAAAGGGGGTCAATAGAACAAGTTACGCCAATCCGCCTTTATAGGATGAGAAACAAAAACCTCGAGTTTTGATGAGAAGAAGGAGAAACAAAACAAAAGAAAAATAGACCAAAAAAGAAAAAGACGATCTGTTAAGTCCTGGGCTGCTTTCTCTGTCCGTCGTCATTTTTCCTTCATCCTCGTCTGATGAGTCTGATCCGTGAGTGTTTATTTTCCGCTGTGTCGTCCCTTCCATCCATTTCATCCTGTCATCCCCGCTTCTGGCTTCAACTCCCTCCATGCCATCCTCAGTGTGCATCGTTTACTTTGCGTGTGCTCAAGAAGCTGGCAGCGACGTGCGTCCGTTGACAGTGACTTGCCCTCAGGGTCCAAGTGAAAAACGTGTTGTCGTTGCATAAATCATGCGGGATTTGAATTGTGCATGGAAGGAAAGATGGCGAAACCGTAGGATAGGATACGAAAGGTAGGATAACTGCTTGTTTTATTCGCGTCTCGTCTCGTTTGTTTGTCCAGTTCGATGAAAAGTTTAACAGAAGAAAACCTCGGGGAAAAGAAAGGACAAAAGAAAAAGTTGATAACCGCCGCCTGCCAATCAAGTCCATAATGATCCTTCACGCGTCCCTTTCTTTCATCGCACACGATACACGCCTTTTCTTCTAACCAAATAGTGTTTCGTGTCCCCCACCCATACGTATCATTAAGTAAACTGAATCAATGCTTTTCTTCGCCTCCTCTTCTTCTTTCGTCCTCCGTCTTTGGCTGCTGCGCTGAAAAAGGGGATATCGATAAGGGGGACTAAATTATGTTACCTGATGAGAAGGGATAAAGATTCGGGAGACAAAAGGGTAGTAGCCAGTTCGTTTATAAATGGCAAATGCTTCTTCCACCACCGGTACTTCTCACGTAACAGACTCCTCATCAAATCCAAACCCCGTTCCGTATGTGCTTAACGCACTCCAATGGGCGGACGAGGTCCAAGGCTACTCTGGCTGCTGTGCGCCGAAGGTTCCGATGACTCGAGCTGATGTGTAGAATCACCACTCGCCGCGCTGGCGCTTGCACTACCAGTCAGACTTCGAACATTTTTGGACATCATGGTCTCTGGTGGGTGAAGGGCGCTCACCCCGACATGCTGTTCCACATGCTGCGGCACGACCGCGTTTCCGTGTCCTGGGGGATAACGGGGCATGGGTTGCCGCATTCCATCCGGAGGCGACGGGCGCCCGCCGCCGTTCATGTATGGCGCGCTGTACCCGTTTGGTGGAGAAGGGCGACCGCTACCGCCCCTCATGGATGGGCTGTATGGGTTCCCTGGTGATTGGCTGGCGCGCCTCGGCATGCCTCCGAGTGGCGGAGGGCCCTGAGTGTACTGCAGCTCATCCAGACGGGCGGCCGTCAAGGAGTTTGTCCTCGATTCCGCATGTATCGCTCTCCGGTCCACTTCGCCATACCGATTTGAGGTGAAGCTCATCAACGGATCGTCCAAAATGTCGTCGTGCAACCCCGGAATTTCGGCAACAATATGGCTCGATCGGTTCCGCCCAAACTTCGGCTTGAACCTACTACTCCTGGAAACAGGCGCACCAGACTCGGGGTTCTTGCGCAATTGGTGCACGTCGCTGGGCGCTTTCCGGGTTTTCTTGGAAGTGACGCTCATCATGTCAAAGTTGTCGGGATCGATCAATGGCACGGGAGGCGCAGAAGCCGGGTCATAGTAATCGTCGTCATCATCGTCATCATCAAAACCGCCGTTAAACCTCGGTGGTGGAGGGCCCCTTCTGGATCCCGGCGGGGGACCACCACCAGCAGCAGCACGTCTGAGCCTCAGTTCCTGCTCTCTCAAGGCGAGCTCCCGCTGCCGCAGCTGCAACTCCCTTTCCCGCAAAGCCAAATCGTGCGGCGAATAACCACCCTCGCCAGCTTCTGGAATGTCGTCGTATAGCACCAGGTGGCTAAACTCTTCCAAGTCGGCTCCTTCCATCGACCCCCTCCTCGACGGCTGCCGGCTCCCACTGGTTGGTGGTCTGGGGTATCCGTTAGGTGGCGGTCCACCGCCGTTCATAGTAGGTCTGCGCATGCCGGGTGGCAAAGGTCCCAACTGCGAAGAGCCCCTAGGGCGCATCCGTGGCAGCCCGTTTCCATTGGCCATGCCGTTGGCTACTGCACGTGGAGTGCCTGGCGGCCCCCGGGGCAGAGGGCTGCCAGAAGGCGACGCTGGCTGTACAGGGGGAGCCAGAGCGTCCGCCTTGGGTTTGTTGCGGTTGGCGATATTGGTGTTGTGAAGAAGGGCGTAAAGCGTCTCGATTCGCGGAACTGACACCCCGACTTCCTGGGCTAACCTGATAGGCGAGCCGAGATATGTTTCAACCTCCATCGGGCGTCTTGCAACGTAATCCTGCCACATCATATTCTCCGCCGTCGTCCTCCCGAACTCATCAATGGTGTTTTTCTTGAAATCGGGCGGAAACTTGCAACCATGTGCTTCGGCCACGGCTAATAGCTCGTCAATGACATCTGATATCAGCTTGGCCACGCCCACCTTGTCGAGGAGCTGGCCATAGTTAGGGGTTTCGAAGAGCACTGTGAGAGGATGGAAAGCAATTGGGCTGCGATTCAGTTAGCATCTCGATCTTGACCTGACTGACCCAGCGGTGAACAACATACCCAATAACTCTTTCAAACTGCTGTTGCCGAATGTTACTCGAGACTTTGCAGTCGACCTGACCAGTGCTGAGGGTCATAGCCAGTGCCTGCGCCATGTCTTCCTGTATCGAGGCCGGAATGTTGGAGCCTTTGTTTGCGGCGCCAACCCAGACTTCTGTTGAGCTCTTGTGCTCGAATTCGCTTCCTCCAAGCTGAGTGAGCTCGGCGCCGCAGACCAGCGAAAGAACTACATTAGTGGGGAATCGTTCTTCGATGGCTGACTCGAGGCCGAGCGAGTGTGTGGTATTAACAAGGATGCATGTGTGCTGCGGAGTGACGACGGAATCGATCACCGAGGCCAGGTCGTAAACATCGGGAAGGGCCTTGATACAGAGAATAACATAGTCGAATGCGCCGCCCTCTCTGCGAGTGGCAGCCTCTTCAGGTGTCCGGACCACTGCGTCATAGCATTATACTTTAGCACAATGGTTCAACGGTCGAGCGCACCACGCAAGGGCAACATCCTGGAGAACACGAGACCATGATGGGAAAGACTTACCATGACGAGGCTTGAAGCGCTCATTGCCAAAGACCGGAGACCTAGACCCAGCAACAACTTGTCAGCATTGATATCCGGATGCGTGGGGATAACATTATTTGCGACTTTGTTGCGCCCGGGAAACGAGGAATCGAATTGGGAATTGTCAACGTACTTGAAGGAAATTCCGTATTGCGCAACGTGCTCGAAGCCAGTCTTCCATACTAGAGTGACGTCGCAGGCATTTGTTGCTTGGAGTCGCCATGACAAGAAGGCAGAAACCGAATTTCCGCCCACTGTAACAACTTTCATCAGCTCATTACTCTCAGACATGTCTGGTTTGCGCGTGTTCGAGAACCGCAAGCGCAGCAGCTGTCATCCAAAAGAAAATAATCAAGCAGGAAAAAAAAAACGAGTGTGGTGGTGACGGCAGGGTCAGTCAAGCAAAAGTTGTTTCTGATCTCGAAAGTGGGAAAAAGTAAGTTGGACAAGTGGGAAGGCCGTCAAAGAGATAATAGCGTGTGTGTGGTATGGTTATGGGTAGGATAGCGTAGCCCACTTTCTTTCTGGTCAAGACTGGCTGGTCCCGGAAAGCTGGTGAAGCACTAGTGAGAGAAAAAGGTAGCGGGTACAAGGGATAGCATGGACACGAGAGCGGAGAACGTGGGAACTGGTACATGGGTGAAGAGACAGGGAACACTCGTTGCTGACTGTTGAAGTCAAGGCAGAGGGCCGGCGCCGAAACGACTTGACTCCATCCATTTTTTTTTTCGATGACCTGTACAGACCCAGTACCCGTATCGTAGTGGTATCCATCAAACAGTGCTGAATATGAACTGGCGACTTACCTGACAGGATCTTAAGTCGGGGCGTCATGGGTGCCATTGCGGAGTCCCGAACCAGGATGATGGGCTGTTCAGGTTTCGAAGCTGCAACAGCGGCAGCCTTCTTTGGTGCGAATCGCTCAACCGAAAAGAGGAAGGACTGGCAGAATTAACACCAACCTGAAAATCTGTCTAACCAAAGCGAGGCCTGTTCCACGAGCGAGCGCAACCAAGACCAAGTCCCCTGTGGCTTGATTACCTCAGTTGGTTGACGTGGGCCGGTGTGCGTGGAATGGATGATGCTGTCTCCTTTTCTTGTTATTTTTTTCTTTTCTTTTTTCCCTTATTCTTTTCCTCTTTTCGTAACTCTAATCTCGAATCGAGTGTGGCTGTTACTCCGGTATCTTGTTTCTGTCTCTTCTTTTCTCCGATGTCTCTTGTTCGCTTGAAGATGTTATCGCTTCTCCCGGGGTAGGCGGTCTTGTTGTTGTCTTGGAAGCGGCGAGATCTATACACTCGAGCACAGCTCGCTTCGCTTTCTTTCGCTTCTTCTTTGTCTTATTGTTTGTCTTATTGTTGTCGCTGTTGTTGTGGTTATGGTTATGCGGGGATACTGTATAGACTCCTCTTCAACGCGCCTCGAACGAGCGAGCGAGCGAGACAGCGTCACTCAACTTGACAGGGACAGTCGTGACAACGCAACGGCGGCAGCAGCAGTCAGCGACAGCAGGGGCAACAACAATGATAGTGACAGCATACAGCAGCAATGCAGTGACCAACAGCAAAAGTCGGAGGAGCGATAAGGAATAGTCGCGGTTGTAGCTGGGAATAGGCGATCCTGGGTGCTGGGCAGCGCTAATCAAGGCCTTCTTCTAACGGCTCCCAGTAGCGTCGGTCGGGTACATAGACTAAAACGAGCGTGACGCCTTGGCAGTGATGAAATGTGTTTTTGAAGAGCGAGAACGAGGCGACAGATGATATTCCAGACTTCCGATCTGAGGACCCTTGAGAATTGATCGGAAGGGTTCGGTCGAGAAGAGGGAGCTGAGGCTGAAATTTGAAACGGAACACGGCGAATGTGGTTGCTCACTGCTGTGACAAGACAGAGATCGGGGTCAATGGTACTGGGCCACAGCCACGATATTGAAGAGGGTACCTTAATCTGGATAAGGCGCGACGACCGACGGTTTCGACTTGTGCCTTGTTCGACCTTGTGTACCGCGTGGAGCGAGCGTGCGTAGTGTATGTGCCTAGTTTCGTAGCGAGGTAGGTAAATGGGAGAGCAATGTAATGTAGGGTGTAGCAAGTCTTTGTCTAGTAGCCGTTCGTAACTTGTAGTCGCCGGATGGATCTTGGTCCAAATGGTGGTGGTGACGAGCCGCTCGGAGCGTGGTGTGGTGTGCGTTTGCATGTGCCGCAGAGAAGGTAAACATGTAGTGCGAAGCGGAATGCACTAACAGCCGAACAGCAGCATCTGTAGCCAGTGGAGGCGATGAGATGTGACGATGGCGCCCGGGAGTGGTGAAGCTAGTAGTGCTAACGAGCGGACTGCGGACGGAATGGTTGAGCAATGCTGGTCGTGGTCCGTTGTCGTGTGGTGGATGCTCGCTCGTGGGTGGATGGCTGGATGGGCGATCGGTGTTGCACCTTGCCTTGGCGGTTGGTCTGAATCGGGCTTGGTGTCGCTCCGGCGTGTTAGGCCGTCCCTTTTGGCAGGCTGGTTCCGTGGGTCGCTTGGGGTCCTGACAGGAATTGCGAGGCCAGCACCTGGCGGCTGGGGAGGTCCCGTCCTGGGCTGCGGCGTTGGGGCAAGGGCCAACCAAGGTGTTGTGAAGGGAAGGCGCTGGGCTTTCGGGGCTTCAAGCGACTGGTGGTGGCATAGAACGAAGGAAGGTAGAAGGAAGAGAAAAGTTCGAGACAGCAATGCGATGACAACAATACATGAAGCAAGCAGAACACAAGCCATATTACTTACAGAATGAATGTTTGTTCAAAAAATAGCATTCCAGGTCTTTCCTTTCTCTATGTACACCTCTTTGCGGTCGGCTGCCGGAAACGACTGGGATCTGAATGGCGTTGTTTTCTCTTCCCGTTTGCTTGGGTTGCGGTTTTGGAGGCAGGGAGGCTCTCAATGGCATGGAAGGCAGAAACATAGGAAACCCCAGAGCATGTCGGATAAGTCCCTTCATCCAGATGTGTTCTCGCTGCACGTCAAGCAAGAGTCTACCTTGAGGTACCGTACCTTACTTGATGCCCGTCTGAAGTGTCCAGCCGAACCTCCAACTGTCAACTGATGCTGGTCGGTTCTATCGGTGAAAGAACCTGCAGAGGGGACGTCTGTTCTCGTTCTGATATTCGGGACATGCGATGCCATAAACTACGGGGATATTGTGCAGAGCATGGCATGTGAAGGCACCTCTCACACTTCGTTTCCCTTGGAACCAACATGACAGAGCGGGAGGACAAGGTCACTCTTTTCTCTGTCTTCATAGTTTTACTTTTGAGTCTCTTATGAGGTAGCGATGGCGATTGATCGATATGCGCTTCCCACCGCTGAATTGTGCTCAACTACAAACCATTGAAGTTGAAGACTTGGCAGGAAGTCGATAACAAACATACAGGTGCGAACGGGCGGTGGGCAGGCTGGTTCGTGTTAAGAGGTTGCTCTTTGCTTCTCGCTTCCACTCTTGGGTGGCCTGAGGCGTCCTGTATCATTCTTACCTTGCAAACTGGCAAAAAAAAGGAAGAAGACTCTTCTTTTCCTGTATGCGAGCCCCGGCTCTACTAACTCGTAGTAAAGTACCTGATATTGGTGTCTGCTCCTCGGGTCTACATAGTAGAGGTGTAATTATTACCGTAAACAATTATAACAGAGCCTCGATCGGGATCCAAAGCGAAGGGAGAAAGGCATTACCCTGTCCGATTAAGTCCAGGCCGTTACAGTACACTCTGGGGCTGCTTAGAAATGCCCTAAAGAGCTGAACATGCCTTTGGTAGGCAGGCCAGCCTGGTACATGATGTAGCCCTCAGGAATAAGATGGCATAGCATAAAACGTGGGCATAGGGAAGCCTCGTTTAATGAAAAGATGGGGGAAATGAAGGCGTCAAGGACACTTGGGCGTTTCCTTGTTGATGGCAGTGCTTCTTCTCGTGAAATTTTTATTCCCTTGCCCTGTGTTGACGCTTTCAGCAGACGGGATGTAATGTTGCTGGCAGCTGCGAAACTCGGGGGGCGCTGGACGCCGCTGTAATGAAACCTCCGTCAAGGCAGGGTCGGCAAGGCAGGGCGGACACAGTGCGCATCGGGAAGGGCGCCAAGTGCCAGCCCTGAAGGATACGTGTATGGTAAGGTAAAGAGGAGGTGGGTCGTTACCGGTGCATGAGCTTCGGGAAAGCGGTAAGCTCCGTGCACTAACTTGAACCGTACATGCAACTTTTTCAGCTGTGAACGTCCTGCACGGCGGGGAGAGGATGCTTAACGAAGTGAACTAAGTGTTGCATCGCACACGAGCTACACATATTCGCACTATATCGATCAAAATTGTTCCTACTTCGATTCCGGATATCGATTTTATGCCTCCTACCTACCTATGTGCTTCTGCTTCGAAGGAACATGGCAAACCCTTAAAGCCGAGGTAACTGAAGTTAAAAATGGAAAACGGCCTTTTGGAGAACGCCGTGGCCACCCGGTCCACTCTGCTTGTGGTGACTTAGACAGTTGGGAAATGATCCACCTTTGTTGCGTGTTTCTGTCGCCGGTTCCACTGAGCACCACTTGGTTAAGGTAACACAGCCCCGATCTCTGAAAACCAAAATCCCGTATTTGAGAATCTGTAATTTATGGTTCGGACTTTATAAGACAACAAGACTGAAAAGTGAAGACTACCAAGATGAAGAACTGGAACCGGCACTCAAGTACAGAATAGGCTTGTTGTCTTGAATGTCAACTCCCGTGGCTAGATTAATTCGCAATGTTACAAGTAGAAACTTGGCTTGGTTCTGTACATAACGTGGCGTCGTTGAAGTAGGTATTCATTCACGTTGACTTCCCGGAGTGTTACAAAGTCTCGAACCAGCGGCAACGGTTCCAAAGGCTTTGATACTCTGTTCATGATCCGTGCCATGGTGCCAAGCTCTCCCAAGAATTGTCTTTCCGCATCTCGTCCCGAGGGAAAGGGAACTGAGTGAGAAAAGGGATGGGCGGATCACCAAGGAACTCCTGACGCGTCTTGGCCTAGACCCGTGATATGCTGGGCGTGTATGAAGGGCTTTGCTTTTTCTTTACAGGCTCCCTATCCTTACATACATAGTACGTGATGTAAGTAAGGCTCTCGCTCGCCAGCTCGCCCTGTCTGTCTAATATTGGATGACGCGGAGAATGGGGAGCTCCAGGGACGTGTGTTGCAGGTAGGTTGAAAAAGGCCATGAGGCTGCGGGGAACGAGTGTCCATCCCAAACACCCCCCGTCAGCTCTGACGTTAGCGTTAATCTTGATAGACAGCGATTTTCCGTCGAGCAACATCTCCTCTTGAGGCTGTGATGGTTGAACAAATTCGACAGACGCTCAAAGATGACGACAGTACTGATATACCTAGTACATAGCAGAGCTACATAGTACATACAATAAGTGATTGCAATAGGAGTTGCAAATCAGGGAATGCGCGTAGTAGGGTTTTCACCGCTCGGTAATACGGCATCAGAGGACGACGGTCAACAAAGTGCTGTGGTGTAACAAAACAATAGACCCTATCCGGGGTCCATTCCCTAGGTAGCTAAGGGCTCTGGAACCCCCGAGACTCTCTTTGCTTCTGGACGATGGAATTCAGACATGTGTAGCAGAAGACGTTTGCGGCCAAGAAGAACAATCTAGGCAATGCCTAGGCACGGGCTGTCTTCCTGGACCTTGGATCTTGTGAGATTTCGATATTCAACTTTGTTGTGCTTCACACGTTCTTTTTTTTTTCAGTAATGATAGGTCTTCCAGTACGAGACGGTATCAGATACGATGGGCTCTTCGGCCCTGCCGGTGTAACACCAGCGCATCGCCACCCACCACCCACGCGTACGCGGAAAGCATCGTACAGTTTACGAGTCCTGATGCTGTGGGTCAAATTATACATACACGGTGTAGCCCCACGCCGAGGCTCCGGGAGAACGCTACGGTGGGCATCAAAAGCAGGGGCCTTGTTGACTGACGGTATAAGACATCATCGCTGATTTAGCGTTGCACTACTCCCAATTCGGTATCGCATCCAATCTTCCACAGCAGGTTCCATGATGCGAAGAGCGGACGCGTCTCGGGTGTTGGTGATGGTGTACGGTAGGTAGAGATAAGGTCAGAAGCAAGCCCGGAGCGGCCGACCGACAGGAGCCGTCAAGTGTGTGTCGTCGATGGCGCCGTCCATTGGCGAACGAGATCTTGACACGACGGTAGCAGGCTGCGCGAGTTATGGAAAAGTTGACTGCGGATTACGTGGGGTACAGCTCCAGCAGTGTGGTGCAGTCTCAAGTCTGAAGGTTGTTTAAAGTTGCCGAACGGGTATAAGAGGAGTCCGAAGACTGCGATAACCAGAGCTGCTGAGTGGCTGGTGCGGATCGACCGGTCTGCGGATGGCCAGACCTCACGATGAAGAGGAGCAGTCCAAGACTTGGCAGAGTCCTGATCGAGAATCCGGCGAAAAGGCTATCTTGATGATGGTGGATTTGCCGACGACTCGTTGTCCTTCTCCGCCACGGACTAGTGTAGTGAAGTTCGGGGTGTGTGGTTGCGGCAGCAAGAAGGGACGGGCCAAAACTTGGAACAGGAAATGAGATACTTCCACGGATTGGGATTATTGTTGTAGACTTTCGCTGGACGGGCAACCTGAATGCCTACCACTCTGCCTTATCGCCTACCATAGTATACAAGCTACAGCCGGTGCGACCGGCCAAGGTATCATTCGATTCGCGATCGTGCCTTTCCGTCCTCGTACTTTTAGTAGAACAGATTACTCACCTGTGCGAACTCCGTCTCTTTTGCCGCTGCAGTTCCCCGCTCCTTGTTTTGATGTTCCTGCACATGTCGATACCTCCTTCATAATTAAAAGTTACACTGGAATATTTCGGATTTGTTACCGAATTGGAACCTGGAGGACTTTGCTAGTTTGCTGGAACGTTGATGCTTGAAGGCAGAGAAGGGAAACTGGGTCCCTCTTAGTCCCAGGTACCTTGCTGCTTTGCCGAAAGTGAGGATGGTGATGGATCCCATCAAGGTATCCACACGATCTGGAAGCATTTCTTTTTTCTTTCTCTGCTGACAATTGATGTTCCAGATGACCGGCTCAGGCTGTGCTGTGCATCTTCAATGCAAGCGTCTTTCATGACAATCGTTACGACTGGCTCTCCATGGAAATATCAGGATTGATCACCGCCGTAGAAACAAGACTCCGAGTGTTTGATAGGCATTTCTCGCAGAGCGCATTGTACACTAGATATGGATACAGCGGTCTGATGTGCAGGTGGTCGTTGTTGTGCATCAATCTCCATGATCAATCTGATGAACGAGTTTTTTCCTGTCAATTATCGGAAGCGACGGGAACTTGAAAAAAAAAAAAAAAAAAAAAAAAAAATGTTTTTCCCTCGTTGTTGCTGGAGAGAGAGACGGCACTTACCAGAACCTTCCTGGTACACTACTAGGCAGCCGATGCCCGCTCTCGACATGTTACTTTGTTCTATTTCGATCTCGTTCAAAGCCCCAACCACCCCCGTCACCGTCACCACAGCGTGTGTTTGCTACCTAGTCACCGCGCTTCTCTTCTTCCGCTCGCCGGCGGAAGTGGCTTGGCGGCATTCGAGGTGCCATGCAGTTGCTCGTCGATCGTGTCCAGTCCTCTTCTCGTCTCTTCACCGGCGCTGATAGGTATGACGCAGTGTGTGGGCCGCCCGTCTTTTTGCGCTATTCCCGAATTCCAAGCCTACAAGTAGGCTCAGGCTGAGGAGCGGCTAGCCAATGGAGATGGCCCTAGCTGCCTTGGCATTGGCAAGACGCGGCTCCACGCTGTTCCTGAGAGCCCCGCTTAATTTGCAGTTCCCTTGGTTGGTTCCTGCGCTTCTGCCTGTTCGCTGTTACCGCAAAGTGTTGAGGGCCACATGCAACCACTAAACAACTTGGTCGAGATCGAGATCGCGTCCTCGATTGGGGATTCGAGCCACACACCTCAGAGCTCTTATCAGCCCGCTCTCTCTTCACCGATTCTTCCTGTCAGATAAACACTCCCGGGCGCCGAGATCCTCGTTCCACCTGCGATGCGAGACGACCGCTGGTCGCGCGGTGCCGACGATGACAACGGCGACGATGACCTCGACACCGTCCATCGCTTCACAAGCCCGTCACCACAGTGAGCACGGTTCGAACCCATAATCTACACTGCACTAAAAACGATAGACCCCTCCATCCTTGCTCGTCAACCAGGCGAGGCAGATCCACGTTCCGACGTTTCGATGTTCGCCAAAAAGATCGTCAAGCGGCATCATAATCCATAGCAACAAACTCGAGCGGTCCGCTCTACGCGCTTCTGGACCCATGTTTCACATCCGGCCCGTCGGCGGCGGAACCTCAACGATGCAGAATATCCTAAAATGAAGCTTTTCAGGATCCCGGCGCCGTGCCAGACAGGTGTGTTACGGTACCCAAAAACTTTGTGTAAACAACAAGTAAACATCATGACCACCGCCATGTCGCCTCAGCCGCTCGTAGCACCTTCACGCGGGAACCCCCCAGGCGCCATGCCATGCTGTACACTTCAAGGGCGGACTTGGACCGTTCAAACGGCCAGTTTGAGTAAACATCAAGCAGGGCGCCTGGGGAAGCTGACAAGGACAGCAGTTCTCGCCGTAATACGCTTTCCGATTGGCTCATGATCGAAGTGTCGGAGATGAAGGTGTTTATGTTAGTAGCAGTCATCAAGTCCTGTCAGCATTGGACGGGCAAGCGCAACGGACCCTCCTGTCCGAATGTTCTGAACCCGCAACATGCTGTCATTGGCTTGGCTGTTAATGACCTGGCCAAGTTCGTGAGCTTGACACTGATATATTAAATATCCGTCACGCGGTAAGAGATGAAGACTCGACGACGGCTCTGCTTCTTATTGGTGCCAAGCAAGCAAGATCCAGTTCCGGAGTTGCAACAAGACGGACGGCGGGATGTCAATATATCAACAGTTACGGGCATCATCATTGTAGATGACTACAAAACCTCCATCAAGGCTAACATTGGGAGCGGCAAGGCATCGAACAAGTCAGTACCAACAATTGCAACAGCAGGATGACACGATCAGGTTACAATATTGCCGCGAACACCACACCACAAGCACCAACCGTAAAATGAGGTTTGCTCCTTCAATTATTTCCATACCAAGGTTCTTGTCTTCGTCAGACGGGGAATGCTCTCTCCAACCCATAATTACGCCATCTGCAGCCTATCGATAGTGCCTCCTCGTCACAGTTGTTTTCTCTGCCGGACCAGGGCGGCGTAAAGACTCCGGCTGGTTGAGTCGTGCCTACCCCTGAGAGGTGCCTTGTTCCAAGCACCGTTGCTTCTCTTGACTTTCCCTGTTCTCGCCAAGAATCACAGTTGAAGGAAACCACGACCGGACACGTAGCGGCGGAATCTCAGGGTAGGTCTCTCCCATCACACCGAGTAGACACCATTGGATTTGTATATGGGGTTGATGTAGACCCTCAGGAAGGGTTCACGCATGTCTCACAATATCATCCGGACGGTCACCGACCCTGAGCGAAGTGTTACTTGTACTCAGTCTCTCAGGTCCCGAACTTGGGGATTGGGATCTGGGAAACTGGGCCGGGACCCAGACCCTCGTTTTCGGGTCCACGCTCTCTTCTCAATGGCTTCCCGGCAAAACTGCACAATGCCCAGAAGAACGTGATGATGATCTTCGTCGACAGTTGTCAAATCGGTACGGAATCACGGAAAATGGGTTTATGCAGAAGCCAAAAAGTCCATGAATGTACCCATCTCCACACTGACCACGTCCAGCTGTCTCTCTCTTGGCGCCAAGTCCCAAGTTACTTTTGTCTTTGACGGCCGGGATGCTTCCATCACAGCTTCACGTCGAAAAAAAAAAAAAAAAGTGATCGCGTTCCTGTTCGACGGCACCCAGGGCACTCCCTGGTTTGTGAACCACAAAGTCGGAGCAAATTCAGGAACAACACAACCAACAGGAAAAGAAAACGTTCCGGATGGTACATACACTCGCTAGTCCCGATGTCCTAGGTAACTGCCTGTCCCTGTCTTTCCTCAACTTCTAGGCAGTTCCTAGTAGATATTAGCACATCTAAAAGATTCTGGGCAATGTGTTTTCGCATTGTCGTAAATCCTATAGGCCAAAGATCTCATCGGGTTTGTCATGGACGAGGCTACCACTCAAATAGTTCGTTTCTTCTTCTTTTCACAAGCTCTTCATCTGCCAACTTTCTCGGCAGTTGTCTGCAACTATTTGGTAAGTCAATCAGCAAACTAGGATTATACCTGTAGGGAACAGAAAGAACAAAAGAGAGTCAATTGCTTGGTTGAAATGGTTTCCTCGGATGCGCTTTTTTCTTTTCCCATCTATCCGGACAATCAACGGAAAATGTTGTTGTTCTCCATTGATCTCTGCAGGTATCATATCGCATCGTATCGTACACTAGCAGTGTAGTGTAGTATCATGTCAATCTTGCCCAGCTGCAAGTTCTCAGGGGCAAACTCCACGTTTTTTTATGGGGGGGGCACGTTTCCTGGAATAGAATACTTGCGCTTTTGCGCTGCTCATGGAAACCTACGGATCATGGACCAATTGGGGAATGTGATTGGCATTGATGGTGCATTGAGTTGCAACTACGTAATTTTGAAGATCTGAGCGCAGTTCTCACGGTTCTCACTCAGCTGCTTGTAAAAGGTGAAAATGTTAATATCGCACCCCAAAAATAAAAGAAGGAAGAGAGGATTCACGATCGGATTGTCGTTAATGTCAGGTTGCTGATGTGATTGATGTGATGCCCCCCGGCCCCGCTTTTGGATGTGCGGTTGAAGATGTCATGCCCGCCATGCTACTATGGAAGCCCAGGATCCGGACGGGGAAGATTCTTGGCCGGCTTATCAATGGTGATCCCTTTGAAACATGTTTCTAGTGTATATAGATTGTTGATCTTTTGAGATTGTCAGTTTCTTCTTCTACGCAGTAGATGTATCATGGATTTCTGATCGTGGGATCGTCTCGCCTATCATAGATTGATATCTGGGAACACAATGTTTAAGGCTCGATTTTAAACTGTCTCGGTTCCGCGGGTGCCACTTCTGCGCTGTGTTATACTGTGATGCTTTAACGGGGTCGTGAAGTTTGTTTGAATCTAGACGGCAGCGTAAGGCAATATCATCTGTAGTTGTTTTCGAACGTGGTAAAACAGGCAGAAGGCATTATACGGGACACGAGTTGTTACTGAAGGGCATATACAGATGTTTGATGTTCGAGGACGGAAAAAGCTGAAAGGCAGGGACGACTTCATTGGTGATACACATAATCGAAGATGGCTTCACGTTCAACTACCCACTATCTAGAACCGAATCCCACCGTATAAGCAGCTACTCTAGCATTCACATCTTCATCTTCGTCACGCATCTAACTTCAAGTTCCCTATAACTCCGACAGATGCAGGCATTCCCAGGCATACCGTCATCAAATCCAGCCCAGTCCAGTTCAATCTTCGTATGTCTCCTTAATCTGCCAATAGTCGACAATTAATATTCATCTATCTCTACCCATTTATTCCCGTCAATTGCATCTCCCAGTTGTACAGCAGCACGTTTCCCGTTCGTGATACCCCGGATTTCGACCGGCCCTTACGCCACCGGACGGGAAGGTGCTTATGAAACTGGCATGGCTTGCAAATGAGCTCGTGCCTCTTGTCAGCATCTGAAACGATGTGGCTTGCATGAAAGGGGATGGAGATGTATGACAGAGAAGCGGCTTGGGTTGGGTTGAATCTTTTTTGGCGATGCTGGAACAGAAACTGAAGAGCGAGGACATTGCCGGTTGAGTATGCGAAGGGGGCTGAAGCAATCTTCATCTTGGGCATGATTTGGGATGTAGACTCGTTGTGGTGATCGTGGTTTTGGTAGTTACAACTTGGCAAGGCCTTGATGCATGATCGTTGTCATGCTCTGACGTTTGGATGCCAGGTGTATTGAGGTATCGAAAAAGAAGGAAAAAAAAGGAGAAAGGAAAAGGTTTACCTTCAACTGGTTCGAACGCACCACCTTTCCGAAGGGGAGAAAAACTACTCAAAAAACAACAACCGCTCGTTCAGAGCAATGGTGAGCCGTTTGGTTTCTCCTGTCCACTGGAGCGTTCCCAGATACCATATAGGTAGACCGGCTACTAGGTAGTGAAGACCCCTTTTCGTATCTTAGCACACACCGTTCCCGATCCGGACAGATAATAGATTTTGAGTTTTGAGACTCAAACGGTAGATCACTGTGCCATCTGACCAAGCGGTTGTTGTTGGAAGGAAGGACCAACTAGGTCCCTTATATGGTCATTAGGGGTGGGTTGATATCGGATGAAGGAATGATGGAGCAAGGCGCCGGCAGGCATGGAAAGTACGGTTCGGCAGCTGCCAACAGGAATCGGAATCGGGACTCGGAGCTCGAGTAGATCGGTTGAGGAAGTAGCGATGGATTGTGCGCCATGGCATAGGTAAATGATTGTGATGGTTCTTGACGGTGTTGCTGTGGCACTTCTAGAAATTAGAGTACGGCATCAGGCGAAAGATGGTGTCAGTTCACATTTTCTCGCAACTGTAGGTTTCGTCAAACTTGAAGCAATTAAGAGACAGAGGCCAGCTGTATTCCAGGTAACAGACAGAACGGCGTTGCCGTGGTGGACACAAATTTCTCTGCTGTTCCAACGTCGAGAAGTGGTTTGGAGAAAAATTGTATAGCGTGGAGATTACCAGATAGCATTGATTCTATGGGTGCTCGATCGTCTCAAGCCAAAATAGCGTCCTCTTTTTGTTTTCGCAATTTCTGAACACATCTCAGCACGTATTCTGTCTGGGTTGACAGTGTTGAGGCATCCGTATCTCCCTTACTGCTTTCGCCTCCACGCCGTTGAAGCTGGTGATGGGGTTATCTGTTCGTTGAGGTGGACGAATGTTCATGTCGATTCCCTTGAAATCATGCTCCCTGGTCCCTTTTGCAGCTTTGGGGTCTTCAAGTCCCCCGTCTTCTCGTAAAAGCTTTCGGCAAGGGCGATTGAAGCGATCTGTGGAACTTCTCTTTCCTCCTCGTCGCTATCCCCGCAGCGTTTCCCTTCAGTCCACTGCAATTGCTTCCCCCAATGCCCCGGCTTTGGAGTCTCGGGGCGCCGTGCTCCTACTTTCTCCATTCAGTGGCTGGTTCCCCTGGGAGAACTCACTAGAACGCCTGTTCTTTCTGTTGCCTCTCCTCGCCCGCTGGTGGAAAATGACCCTCACATCCGCCCTTGCTGCGGGCCTCCCCCTTAACTGCGTCCACCCACAGGCACTCGCTCTCCGGCGGGCCTCCAAAGTGCTGCCAAAGCCAAAAGACGGCATTGCTCCCAACTGTTGTCCCAAATCCCCAACACAACAGTCCCGAAACCACCGACAACTCCGATCACGCTGGGACCTCGGCCGTAACACTCAAGACACTTGTCCTTTCTGTGCAGTTCTTTCAGGTTCGGCCGCAGCACTCTCTCAAGAGTTGCGTGCTGTGAGGTAATGGACTGCTCATCAGCTTCAGTGAGGCAAGCCGCATCTGCAATAAACCTGCGCTGCCACTGTCGAACTCGAAAGGGCGTAGATGACGACGTGGCACGAGTTGGTGATGTTGTTTTTCTTATCGCCAGACGAGAAACTTCTGGAATACCGGAATGCTGTTGATGCTCGAGAATGCGTTCTCACTCGCATTGCGTTGGGGTGTGGGCTGGGGAAGGGGCTGGAGGTGTGTGCATACTGGCAAACTTCTCGGAGGTGTTGAGAATCGAGGGTTCGTCACCCGCGTCGGATTGTCGGAAGAACACGTTGTTGGTGATGAAGTACTCTTTTCTCCCTTCTCAATGCAGGCCACAGCTCACATGTACGTCTGTGACTCCTCGTGACCACTCGCGTTTTCCTAACACGCTGGTCACCACAGCGGCTTGGAGGACACTCTGGCCAGATCTCAAAGTCAAATGCTTCCATGACCATGATTTCCAATCTCTTTTGCATACGCCGTGTCGTTATCAGCTTCTGCAAAATCAGGGCGATCTTTGCTCTGCGCTCGTTATCGTAGGCCTAAGAATATTTTTCGAAGTGGACACGTCGGCGAGCAAAGACAGAGATGGATGAAGGAAGACATTTGGACGTGAGTAGAGAGACATTTGACATAGTAGCAAAAGTTCTAGGAGTCGTTCTCAAGATGTTATTGGAGTTGGTCAGTGTGACATCTCTAGGAATATTGAAAGGAGAAAAGGTGTGGTGTAAAGCACTAGAAGTCGATGAGACATTAAAAGCTTAAGAATCCCAGACCTCTCTTACGCTTTCTAACACATGCTAATTTGAATGCCCACAGATGCCGGGCATTGTAAGCGGATTTTCCCTGTGCAGTCCGCCGAAGTGGGAGCCTGATGGCAAATTCGGCTCAGATTACAGCAGCAAGTGTCGCCCACCAGAGGTGAATGAAGTCGACTCTATATCCTAAATAGGAAGTGGTGATTTGTACACGGCAAGCATGCAGAATGTGCGTTCTACATTCGACAGGGTGTTTCCTCCCCTGGCACTATTGAGATGACTTGGAACGCAGGAACTCGCACACATAGGCTTCTCATTGGTCGATATGATGGAAAGAATCTCATTTGGGAAAGTTCCTCTGCGTCAAGAAGTGCCGGTAATGCAGCACTATGGTATTTACTTGCCTCTGCAGGAGTCAAGGCCAGAGCTCAGATAGCATCACTGAGGGTAGGTTGATTGTTGAGAGGCGTAGTACAGAAAATTATCCAATTTTCCGGCAGCGAGACCAGTAACGGAGGCCGGAAGGGGCTATGTTGGTGCTTTTCTGTAGGCCTAGCGGGTTGAAACCTGTTCATGCGCTATTATCATGAGGCAACAAGCATATGCACCATGCATCTAAACTCACAGATTCTACATATCAATTTTCTTTCTGAGCCGGGTGTCCCGAAGTTGCGGTGGTGAAGAAAATGGTGAGTGTCTTTTTAGACTTCCGCCGTCGCAGTCCGTTTATGCCTCCTTTTCCATGTTTCACTAACGTCATCTTCTTGGTCGATCCCAGTGCTGCAACGAGCTGCACATATATACCACATAACCAAACACGATGACAAGAGATACAGGGCCTGGTTGGTGCGAGATCCTACTCTTCGAACACGTGTGGCTTCAAACCGGAATCTCTGCCGCAAGTGTCTCCTCAAGCGGAGGCTACGTGGAAAATGCAGAAGTATGCTGTTCGCCCCAGTTCCTCGATGTCCGACAAGTCATCGTACCGCCGAATATTGAGTCGTATGCACTAGGGCCTTGGACATTTGAGAATAGGATCAGTGCTCTATTTGGAAAACCTACCTTTTGTAACCTATATAAGGCCTCCTCCCTCCTTGGTGATTCAGGCTCTCCCATCTTCTCTTCACTCATTCAGACATCGCCAACACACATCGCCAACGGTTTCTATCACTCAACCTGCTACAGCAACCACTCAGCTCTACCGCACTTTAAGATGTCTCAATTCACGACCGGCGACGTCGCCTTCCTCCTCGAATGGCACCGTTTCAACGAGGGCAAACAAGCTATGCTCGAACGCCTCAACCCAGCTCAGTACATGAAAGGTGCCTGTGGACATCCCGTCATTGTCCTGGAGAAGACCGCAAGCCATGCGCTTGTCACCACTGTCTCGGCCCATGGGGCGGCACCGTGGAATAATTGGCAAGCCCCATGGACCTCCGGCCGCCACTACGCCAGGGGGGCTGATCATTTCCGTTCCTTTGCCGGAACCCAGAGGCCGAACAGCCGAAGGGAGTTCCTTCGCCTTTCAAAGGGTGCTTGGCCCAAGCCAAAGAGTTCTTTCGTTCACGTGGAGAACGTCCTCCTTGTTCCTCTCTTTGCTTTGGGTGACTTCACGAAGCCCAAATGCTGGGAAAGGGATGGGACCATTCTCCATGTGTCCCCGACCAGTATGCATGATCTGATCATGCATATCCAGGTGGCCAACCCCAAGTGGCTTGGCCGACTCGAGTTCCTCGCGGTCAAGAAGCCAAAAGCCATCATGACGAAGCAGCACCCTCCTGTTCCTCCTCCCCCTCTTCTTCCTTCGCCTCCTCCCCCTCCTCCAGCAGCGATGCCGGCCCCCCCTCCTCAACCAGCCAGCGAGTCTGGCTGGACTGAGGTGGTGAAGAAGAAGAAGAAGAGGTAAACTCTTCGCACCAGCAAGACTTCGAGACGCGTGCGGTGGTGACTTAGCAAACAACGGGGGGGCGTGGTGGTCATACACTTCACCCCTCGGCTGCGGGTCACTTAATCGTCGTTGTCGTCGTCGTCGTTGTTGTTGTCAGAACACACAACAAGAATCAGTTGGTTGAAAGAAAGAAGAAGAATAAGTCTCACCCCATCTCGGCTTTAAGTCTGCCCTGCGGACCCTTCTTTCCTCTCACCATCTGTCATTACACCTACCTACCTCTACCATTACCATACGATAACCGTTCCGACCTCTCCATCTTCATCATCACGATCCTTCTCAACCACCCACCTTTACATCCGGAGGAATCACGATCCGATCGAGTTGAGTCACGAGTTTCAGGTTTTGGTATTTTTTTCTCTTTTTTTTTGGGCAGCTTGCCATTCAGGCCGGTTGCCCTTTTTTTTTTCTCTTTTTTTCATCTCGGAAGAAAAAGAAGAAAAAGGTCATGCTAGCTCGTTGGTTATGAGCATCTATTTCGACTCTTTTTTCATGAAAGAAGTTGGGATGGAAGGTTCTGGGTTCGATTCCCGGGCGGTCTTCATTCTTTCTGATTCTTATCTCGAGGGATTTGCAAGTCATATGTTATCAAGCGTTATGAGTTCGGATGGTCTGAAAGTTTATCTTTGGGTTTGGATGTGTACTGGTTTCTGATCGAGGCAAGGAAGTTGGATAATGTATTCGTGTGAGAGTATGGACGGGGCCTTCTCTTCAAGTTTTTTACAATCATGTAAAACTCATTGTCGATGCTCAAGATGTACCGAGTAGCCTGGGTAGTCAAGTGCATTTCCATCAACAGATACCTGACTCCCATTATAGAGACTTCCCTTGGTTTCGTTTTGGAGACCCAGCAGCACATGACCCAAGCGCATCCAGTGTTGTACTCTGTCGTCGCCGGATCCTCAGTAGCGGTTGACTTCCATGCTTCCTGCCATCGTTTTTTTTCGCAATACCAACTTCACTCCCGTCGCGATGTTCAAGTTGCCGGCCGACACGCACTTCAACCCTCACGGTGTCAACGCTGCTTGGTAGATTCAATCAGCGGCCACCGGCAGAATGAGGGCTACAACGGCCCCCAGATAGCTCATTTGAAGGGATATATCGATGTGTCCTACAGGAGGCAGGAGACCTTACCTTCGAGGCAGGTCAAAGAGACGATGTCGAAGTTCAACCCGCTCGAGCACCTGATCAAGGCGCTCGAGACCGTCACTGCCACTGCCAACGAGCCCGACATTGTCTTGCGCTCCCTCCCGTGCCCATCTTCGGCGCTTTAATCCGCTTGGCCAGACCCAGGCTCAAGCCCAAGCTAATGTTCAAGTTCAAACTTCGGCACAGGCTCCGGCTCCCACCCCGGCAGCCAGATACGTGGCCGGCGGGCCCACCTTTATAGAGGTCGCCGTTCCGTGCGCTACCCAGCAGCAACTGCTCACCGGCTTTACATTCACCGGTGCCCTCCGTGCTCCAGCCGATCCGGTCCGTACCCAGAGAGCCCTCAACAAGACGCCTTGTCCGTCCCGTCCGCTTGAGGACTTTGAGGCTGCCCCCAGCATGACCGAGTGCGGGTTGGAGTGTCATTTCAGCGTTGGACAGCGAAATTGAGAATACACCTTTCTGAAGAGTTCGGCGGACGGAAAAGGCAAATTGAGGATCATGATCACCAAAGGGAGTCTCGGCGGCGGATGTTTGGGAATTCGTTGTGCGACGAGATACGGCATCAGCAATAATATGAATGGACTTATGCATTACGAAACAATTTTCTTCAAATCATGCATTTCATGCAAGTGGTGCGGTTCTCGAGTCGTCTTTGAGATCTTCGTGAACAAATCGTGCCTTCCCAAGTAGATAATGTGACAGAAGTCCCAGCACTCACTGGTAGAGTTTCTCTTCACGGAAACTACGATGGACAAGGAACGCTTATCATAATACTAATTGTTTTGATTACGAGAGACGGATACCGTATTCTTGTCAAGAGGACTTGTTGATGTTCTGCTCATGGAAGATGTCTCGGGATTCACAGCACTCAACTGATATTCGACAACCGTAGCGACTGATCGAGGCTCCTTTGCGAGTTCTCCCTACGTCTTTGCACAACTTCGAGCATATCTTGTCGGTTCGGATGTCACTGTCTCAATACCGATGGGCTAGAACACTTTGTTTCGCCGAACATCGACAGCTCATGTGTACTGGTCAATGACAACGCGTCGAACACTCGACAGTCACAGTGCAACCGACACCTGGGCCACTTGATACAAGCCTCCCAAATGATCTTTGAGCTCTCCACTTAGTCATAAGAACCGTGACTTGCAAGCGTACGATGTCGCTCTAGTGATACGGACACCATTGTCATTCACCATAGCCATGGCGGCGGAACATCCGGCCTGCTCATGGCGATCCAGTTTCGTACTCCGTTGGGCACAAAGTCAGTACAATGACAAATAATCACGTTAGCTCGCGATCGGGGGCTGAATTGGGAAATATCTTTATTACCACCAGTATAGTTGCTGTGGGACAGGGAGCGACATGACATTGAATGCGAGTAGTACACACCGAAGGCCGTAATCACCCGCTCGACATCCACCCGAAATGCACTCGAATCTACCAAAAGCCAGTGTCACGGCAGATAGAAGACTTCGAGTCACCAATCGATCACTACCATGGCATCAGCGGATAATTAACCCGATTCAACACGCCGCTCGCTACTACCACGGTCCTGTGTTTCATTCCGTTCGGCGACCCAACCGGCTCGGCGTCTTACTCACACTCAGACACCATCAATCGCACTTACATTCACTATCGCAGCCACGGCTTGTGCTTACCTACCTTGTCTCCCCGCTCATGCAGTGAATAATTCTGATTGATTGTGAATCTCTTGACACTGCTGACATGTGGCTCTTCAGTCGGGGACCAGACAGTGTCCATACCATCGACTCAACAACACTCCCCAAAGCAAATACACTCTTATTCTTAAGCTAGATGGCGTAAGATTAAGAGTATGTCATTCCCGTTCCTACCACGGGACTTTTTTTATTTTATTTTTTTTATCCAGATGAACTTCGTTGAATTTCCCTTTTAGGACATATGGAACTTGCTGCACTAGCTGCTTACCTAGTGTACCTTGAGAGACACTGTCTCAGTGTTCATCGTATCGAAATATGCAACCCACGATCTCGATTGGCTGGATTGCTGACAGGAAGACTTGGTTTTTGTCGTTACCCTTACCCACCAATTGGTCTTAGTGTATGTAGTGTAGTGGACTTGCTAAGTGCTGACGGTTTTTTTTTTTTTTTCGTTTCGCCGCTTACTCACCGATTGCACATGGGTCTCGGACCGGGTCTGGAAACTTGGAATCTCACCTCACCTTGTTTGGGCCCACATCGTCGTGCGTGTTACGGTATTCACCGTGAGAAGTTTTCCTGTTCCCGAGCGGATTGATTGCCATCCGGTTAGGTTGGGAAGTGATGACGGACAGGTAGAGTCAGCGGAGAGTATTCATTCCATCACGGTTGATGATTGAACACACCAGCATGACCTAGTGACCGAAGAAACTCACTTGCACAAGCAATTTTCACTCATTCACTGAACTACCTGTATCAAGGTGATATGAACTCCACGACCAAACCTACCAATAACACCCCCAATCAATATCCGCCAGAAATAGGCTATATAAACAAACCAAATTAACTCCCCTGACACGGACAAGTCTCACCACAGACAGGCTCACAGCTGAGTGAGAGCTAGGTACGCAGCATGTAAAGTCCACCATTTACCTACCCTCCAGTAAAAAGCTAAACATGAAGGAAGATGTGAGACTGCTGCCTGCCCTGCCTGCTTTGCCTGCCCTGTCCTGCTCCCCTGCTCCCTGTTTCGCCTGATGATTTTTGTTACCAGGAAAGGATAAAAATCCACGGTTGATCCAACAAGACTCCACCACCACCAACTGACAAGTACACTGGGCGCTGCTCATCGCAATTATTCACATTCCTACGTTTCCCATTCTACGAGGCTCCGAAGCTCGTCATATAGGTAGGTAGGTACATAGAAATTCGCCTTGTTGAAAACCACCTAGTTGGGCTAGGAGGGAGTAAGAGGAGGAGGGTGTGGCGATGGAAGCCTGATCATAACTCTTTGTTTTATCAAGGTACATGTAGGTTTCGGTACTAAGGAATGGAGGTGATGCCCAAAGGTTACCTACCGGGGTGTTGTTGGTGGTCCGGCAAACGGATGTGTGACTGACTCTGATCAGCTTGATGAGTTCGGTCGGTTGTAAGATGATGTATGTGTGAACGTGGTGAGCTAAATGTCCAGCCCGGAAGTTCCACATCATCGATCCTTCATCGTGATCATTTTCATGGTTCTAGAGTAGAAGGGTTATAGACATGCTCACCGCACCCGCCCGGACCCGTGACCTGTCCCTCCTGCTGGGTCGTGCAGCATGCTGACCGTAAGGGGCCCACTGTTGCTGATGAATTGTCACTGACCCGCCAGTAGCGCCAGGGCTGACGAGTGAAGAACTCGACCGCCGCAGTTCACTTCACTGTACTGTACAAGTACCTAACCGCCGCAACACCTCCGGGATGGTCGCCGGATCACCGAGCCGCCCACACGGGTTGCCCGGGCAAGACGCTCGATGCCCTGCTCGGCAGACGGGGCGGGGAAATGCGGGATTGGGCAGGCTCGGCTGGCAGTGGAAGCCGGGCCACAAAACTTGTCCCCTAACGAAGCTTCCGTGTTGTGGGGTACTTGAAATTCGTACAGTTTGGGCTTTCCTTCACGAGTACACGACTTGCTACAAAAGTAGATATGCGGATTGTGTGCGGATTGTGAAAAATGTACACCTTTTGGCCATCTTCCACATATTATCCGCTGAGACTTTTGCTCATGTACTTTTGGCACGCTCGGCGCTGCGTGAAGAGCACGGAGAGCGCTGGCCGATGAATCTTTAGGTGTCCTGTCTTTGCCGAAAGACTCGGGAAACCTTGCCTTGTTTTGGCAGCGCTTTCTCGGCTTTTTTTGGCTCTACCTAGAGTGTTAGCCGGCGGTGATACTACACTATGCTTCGAGGAGAATTCTCGAACGAATCAGAAAAAAAAAAGACACCCACAACACAACACAACTGTGCGAAGGCAACGGATCGTGAAGTCGGCATTTTGGGACAAGATTACAGCCCCGGTCTTGATCGGACCCCACTACGAACCAGCTCTGGGTTTTCCGTCCCGAGAAGACGGTATTTGGTAAAAAGCCGGGCCTAGAATTGGGGTATGTATTCGTCATCATGCTTTAGTTCGGGACTTGGGATAATGGCTAGGGCAGGTTTCAAGTTGGTTGGAGTTTGTTAGGCTTGTGACTTGTCTACACCGCGATACGTGTACAAGCTGGTGGTTGCTTGGTTGGTGGTGCTGCCGCCAGCTGGGCGAGCTACACTAGCGGTATTGCAGGGTAGGGGGAGTTGGGAAAATGTCGGTATCGACAATGTTTCGTTGTCGGTGAGCAATGTGCATCGAGATTCTTTCCGGTTTCGGGTGGGTTTAAAGTTGGAAAACGAAATCCACATCATTGCTTCCGGGAGAGGTGGCCGACACCAATATCTACGTATCTCCGTATCCCGTTCGATACGGCCGAGGGAGCTGAGGCTGCGAGTCTATGACAACCCCCAATCGGGCCAACGTGAACTGCATATCTTCACCTTCAGAATCCGTGTCTTCATGCGCGAATCTCACCACTCAGACGGCAAAAAGGCTTTGATATGCCAAGTGGTAGCCATTGTGGCCCTCGGCGAGGCGAGTCCCCACTGAAAAGCCACTCGGGAGTCGAAAACCAGATGCTTCGTAGCCTGAAGCGTACCTTAGCTGAAGCGGTCCGACGTGCATGTGCATATTCGGGAGATGCAAAGTTACGAAGTTCTTCCCGTCAGGCTCGGGCTCGACGAGAAAGGCTCCCATCCATCCATCCTTTCAACCATCCAGCCAGCCCCAGGATGATCAGAGATTACAATGTGTTTGTGGGGTTTCTGCCTGTCCCTCCCCTCCCCCTCCCGGCGCTCCCGCTGCTGTCCGGGCCTGCTGCAACTTTGACAGACCGAACGGGAGGGAGTGAGGCAATCGAGTATCGGCCGGAACATGGGAGAGAGTTCTAGCCATGCCTGTGTTTATCAGGTTGCCTTGTGGAGGGCTCGGCAGTTGTCAGATTGTCAAAAGAGTTGTCCGAGGCAAAATAAGCGGTAATATCGATCGCTTATAACAGGCAGCGGCGGCAGCCTTGGAGGTTCTAATCTCCGTGAAGATCCACGCTGGATCTTGGAAGATACGGAGGCGGTATTCAGCTATTCAAGGAAAAGTTGTAGTGTAAGCTCACCGACGGGGCTGTTTAGGTAATAGCCGCTCCAGTGCTTGTGTAAGGCTTGTGAAATGCATAGCATTGTCGAACTTGAGAACTTTGATCAACCGGGAAATGCCGTTTGTCTTCGTGATGACCGTTCTATGGGACGACAACAAAGCTGCAAAGTTAGATAACTGTACGACGCGAGGATAATCTCTTCAAAAATGTAAAAATGCCGCTATACAGAACCCCATTCGACAAAGCCCACAACTTGAGTCTTTTTTGTTGCTGAGAAGATATCTTCTTTGTTTCTTCCCAACTTCACGACGAGTCGGATCTTCACGCATATCGATAAGTCGAGAAATTGGCCCGATGCGGAAGGCTTCTCTCAATCATCACAGGTCCGAAGCAAACGTCGGTAACAGGCGTTCTGTGTGTAAATTCACCCGGACAATTCCCTATCGTGAACCTCTTGTTGTTATCGTTGGATCCGCCATGGACGTCTCCCCGTAGTTTCCCCATGCATTCGATTGTACCGCAACAGCCGCTGCCACATGCTCCAGTTCTCCACCGAGTAAACAAAACCCAACGAAAACATGGATGATGGCTGTTATCACGAACCAGTAAACCGAAGTTCAAAACCACAAGCTGTTTACCTATCGGGCTGCTGGACAAACTGTAACACGTATGTACCCCGTAATTTTGATATCGTTCTCGAAGTCTGGGTCTCCCCAACCTGCCAAAATGGGGCCAGTCTATCCAGGTCCCAAAATTCCCACCCTAAGCATTTAGTCAATAAGTATTCTAAGACATCAGTACTTACTAATACATTCAGCTTTCTGGACTCTCTACCAGGAAAATTGGAAATACTTTTATCTTTTCACATCAAATACTGCTTGGAAACTCCTTTTCGCAACTCAGCTGGCCCAAAAGGGGGCTTTTTGGGTGAAATGCTGCATCCTGGGTTGCAGAGCACATTTGGCCGAGGGACATGTCTTGAGAAGAGAAGAGGTCTGTGCACTTCCTTAAAAGGGTAAGTTTTTGGGACCTGGATAGACTGGCCGCAAAATGACCGAGTTCCCCGGTTCCCGGGATTCTTTACATACACTACATACATCATTGCGCCCGCTGGAGTTTCGGCCGAATTGTAGCACATGACCGATGACTCTTCTATTGTGTGGTTTTTCCATGTTGGCGGTATTGTCGGTTGTTGTCGCGCTCTGCTTTTTTTTTTATTCAAAGGGATTAATTCCCAGACAGCTCTGGCTAATCACAGATCTGCCAGGCAGAAATCGAGGGTGTCGGCCTACAGCCCTTCTCAAGATTGATTGGCCGTAGAGCGTCGGGATAATTGCCATTTGAATTACCAAAACAAAAAAACAGCAGTAGCAGAACTCCATGTTGGTGAGACCTTGTGTCAAGACTTGGCGAAAATGGACATTTGGAATCTTCCATGAGACCTCTTTTTCGGGGTTCTCTGATGACTCCGAATTTGAAATAAATGGAGCTGAAAGCTCAGCTGGAACCGTGAGGCTCATCGCATCATCCGTCAGTGCAAACCCTTCGAAACCTGTTATTGGCTGCTGGTTCTTCGGGAGTCCAGAAGTCTAGCACAATATGTACCCCGATATTGTCTCGATAGCGAGTGACACATTGTTGATATGTAGGTGTGTCCGACATCGCTCTATGGTGCATTGTCTAGATTGTCTTGTCTCCCCTATCGCGGGATGAGGTGACGGCAGCAAAGTTGACTCATCTTGGTGGTGAATGGTTGAAACTGAATACCCAATTTGCGACGGCCACGGCGCGGGTGCGATATAGGCATGCTAGGAATGGGGTCTTACCTGCTACGATACGCATGAAGTCGAGGGGCTCTTGGCCTGACGTTTTGCGACCGACGGCAATGCCGTGCGACAGTGAGCAAGCGAGTAGTGTATGGAATCATCATCCTATGAGCAACGCGGGGAATTCCGATACCAATTTCATGGCGTTGTAAGTTGTCACAACTGGAAATTAGTCCAGGGTCTTCATCTTGATAGTGCTGGCATCTGCTCTCTCGATAAGTTTTGCGGAAGTGAAGCAAAAGGCTGGCGGTTATCTGATGGTTTTCCAATGTCTGTAACGCCATTTCTCGGTTTATTGGAGGTCTGATGTTTGTGCCACGGGACCGCATTTCCATGAATGATCATGGTGAACCTATTGGATTACACAGAATCATCAAGTATGGCTTGAGTGGGATTGGCCGTGAATAACATGATTGTCAGTGACCTCTTGCGGCTTAGGCGTTCCTCATCATCATGGTTCACAGTAAACAGCCAATTACCTGGAGAATTGTGGTCATTGACATGCCTACCGCTGGAACGAACCATGGTTCTGGTCTCGAGGGGCAAGAGGTTGCAGTCGTGTCGGGTGTCTCGGATTCACCCAAGACGAGGCCGAACGGTCTGCGGGACTGGTGCGAATCGGCCAAGCACGTCCACGACCAGCTGCTCCTTGGATTCACGATCTCACAGGGACAGACTCCAATGTGTTCAACTGACCACTGCGGGCATTTGCAGGAGCGTCAAAGAGGGCACTGCCCAGGTAAGTACGTGTTGCGGATTGACGGTCGTTGATGCTCTGGCACGGCCTGACACGCAAGATTGAAGCCCAAATCATGTGGGGAAGCCGTATAGCCGCAGCCGCAACCGCGTCCGCGACCGTAACCGCGACTTGGCGACGACGAAGATGTGCAGTCATCAAGGTCAGAAATGCATGTCTGTGATGAAACGGTTTGCAGAGTGGCAGAATCTCCCGGTGTTGTTTGAGCTGGCCGGAAGGGTTTGGTGCCAACACTGCAGTATGAAACCGGTCCAAAGAGCCACCAGCTGCTGGATTTACAGAGACGCATGTCGAGGTAGTAGTAATTACTTAGCTCATGCTGACCTAGTCACACTGCCGCCCGTAAAAGTTGGACATTCTTTGCAAACTTGACACAATCTTGAAGAGGATTTGCATGCTTCAGAGGCTGTGTTGCGCTTGCTGTGATAAAATTAAACCTGGCAATCGTCATGGCGGCGCGGCTGTGAAGGAAGGAACTGAGAAAGAGGCCTGCCGAGAATGCTTACCAAATTTGGCGATGCGTCACTCGAGGGAACAAAGGAAAGTGGAAGCAAGTGGAGACGGGAACTGGTTCGGGGTTTGGCTTTCTTTCAGCGGCCATGATTGGACAAGCCTGGCAGGAAGAGGGGCTGGTGGGGTAGGTATCCCGGCCTTGGCAGCTGGATTGACGACCCTGATCCGTAATTGTTAGTGCTTGTTAGTGCCTCGTGATTCACAGCAGTCGACAGTTGAGGGTTCACCTTCATCCACAAGATCTGTCTGGCGCTGGTGGTGATGTAAACTTTGACTCAAAACTTGCACATCTTGCGGCAGGAAGAGAAGGCGACCAAGTGGAAACTTTCGTTCAGCTCTTCTGTGGGCCTCACAGGCCTCGCAAACACGCAGTTCCATGTGAACATCATGCAACATTACCAGCGTCTGAGAATCCCGTCGGAGACTCTGATTTGCCTTCGCTTTTCCCGTCCGGCTGATGATGGTGGCCTGCTTTCTCTGTGGCAACGGCAACTCCTCAAGACATGGACATGTGTCGCGACCCCTCTTGGTTTGCCTGTTGTTGGGCCTGTACAACCGCACACACACTCTGGACGGAACAAACCACTCTTGAGCCACTTCAGCTGTGCTGCTATCATGGTTGTGTTCTTCTCGACTGGCGCTGTTGCTTGCTGGATGCAGCTTGAGTCACACTGCAAACTCATCCCAGGAGTTGGGAAAGGAGGGCCACCACTATCCGTGGTTTGATGGGTTGTTGGTCTGCTTCACGAGAATATTGAGCGAGACTATCTACATACCATCTACATAATACTGCCCTTAGAAGACACTGATATAGAACCTTTCACTGCCTACAATCCCATAAACCGTCGACATCTGGTGGTGGTGGTGGTGGTGGTGGTGGTGGTGGTGGTGGTGGTGGTGGTGATGGTGATGATGCAGTCTACGCCCCGCATCCCCCCCCCCTCCTCCAGCCCAAGCCGCTTGGTAGGGCCACTCGACAAGGGTGATATTCTGCTTCGACCTTCCTGTCTTGCCCGTGATGCCTTTGTGGTGTCTCTGGATGAATGAATCCGAATGAGCAACCCAGCCAAACCAGCGAATGAGTGGCAAGTCGTACAGAACCGCACCCCCGCCGACTTGCAGCAATAGCAGTGCGAGGGCCAATCAGGGTGTTGCGGCCCTGCAACCCTTCCCTCCTTTCTCGCTGCACAGGATTTGGAGTTGGAACTTGGGTGATGCCGCGCGATGTTAAGTGAAAGAGTGAGTATCTGGTGTCGGCGGCCGAAGGGAGTTTAAACTATTGAGAGAAAGGAGGAGGCATACAAGAGTTTGATGGCGTCCACAACAATGATAAGAAGGATTGAAGCGTTTGGAAATTTACAAAACCCTGGGCGATTTATCAAGTGAAGCAAATCCCTTGGAAAAGGTCAAAATCATGAAATGGAAAGTGGTAGATACTATTCAGCTGGATGGCCTTGACCTGCCCCATCCGCTTCCCGTATCAAATACCATCAGATAGGTAGCGACCAGGCGACCTACCTTGCAGCGGTTGCCCTGAAGTGGAGGCACTTTGTAGCTCTAGTGTATGCATGGAAGGTGATTCCCTTGCGTCAACGCAGAGCGAGCGAACAGGCAGAAAGGGGAGAAGTAGTGCGCAAAAAGCGAACCCGGTCCGCTAACTGCCGGAATTCCCCAATCGCACCAAATCCCACGGACGCACCGGCAATTTCTGTTACTCCATCGAGTACCGGCGACTCCCGCTCGACCTCGCTCCCGTCTGATGTGGGAAGGAACAGAAATCCGGTGGCAGCAAAGCGTCACCTCCTTCAAAACTCATCGACACCCACGCTTTCGTCCCAATCCTTCCTTTTTCTCTGACCAGCACAGCAGCCATGTATTCCTCCAAGATCTAAGACGATCGCGACTCAAGTTTTCCCCAAATTTGTAGTCTGCGTGATAGATTCTGGTGTATTTGCACGCCTCTTTTTCTTTTACGCCCACGTCGTCACAACCGCCATCATCGCCAACAAATAACCAAAAGCTCTTTTTAATCTACCAAAAAGTTTCCCACCCTCGCAATTGTTCCCAGTCTCTCCCAGGCCCCGTCCCAATTTGTGCGTCGCTGCCTGGTGTTTGTCTGAAGCCGTATTCTCCTTTTCTGTGCGGCATTCGCTGGACCCTGCGACAAAAGGAAAATCAACAAGGACCAAACAAGTGGAAGAGCCCAGGCCAGTCAGTCATAGATCGTCAGGGTTTTCAACAAGAGACACACCACCAAAACGACAACTGCCTATTCTCGCATTCATCACCAGACCGAATCGGTGATTTAGCGACTCGCTTCCCTCTGCTGAAGACGGCGAGAAGACTCACTCCTTAGCACACAACACCACCTGCCCCTACGACAAAGAAGCACGGCAGAGGCAAACAGGTTCTTTTTCTTCACCTGCTCCATCAAGACAATCACTGCCTCATTATTACTCACCGCAACGTCAATTGCCCACTCGCCACAATCGAGCCTACACTCCATACTAAAAACAGCCAAACGAGATCCATTTTCAGGCTTCCGTCTTGGGACGCTTGGTCACACCACTGAAAGTGCGCTGAAGGAAGCCGAAAAAAAGTGTTAGCACACGCACCAGTCACCACCCACAAAAAGAACATCCCTTCCCTCATCCACATCGCACATTGCACCAGGTGAACGCCCTGCCAGTTGCAGCCACCTGTTACCCTCCTTAACAAATCTCCGATCCGCTGTAATTGTCTTCCGGCGGCAGAGAGAATTAATCGAATCAATTCCCTTTCTGTTAGGTTAGGTTGCTAGGGCTCCCTCGCCACCCAAGCCAGCGCGTGCGAAAAAGGGAAGAGTCATCATCAGCAAGAGGAGACTGGGCACGACAGACCAGGGTCGCCCCCCATCCGGTTCCAATCAGGTCCCCATCAGGCCCAGCAGTGTCAGCGGTCCAGCGCAAGACCAACAAGACGGGACCCGCCCATCAGGTCTCTATCGCAGTCCAAGTCCAAGTCACTCACAGTGCCCGCAGGCAGCTGGCCGAGCGAGTCTTTTTGCTGTTCGCCGCCCCGATCCCAGAAGGATAAGGACACGCGCCCGCGAAGAGTCACCCCTTCTCGCCTACTCCCATCCGACAACGGGGGGTGCATCGTCACCACCACACATCGCCGTCCACGCCTTTTAAAACAAGCCGACCAGACACGTCGTCTGCCTCCCCACACCGAGCCAGCTTCTCAGTCTGTACCTTGCATATCCAGTCTGCACGGCGTCACCATCACCAACCCACACCGACATCACCATCGCATCGCAACCACCTCATCACACACGCTAACCGCAACCACCAACACTACCACTACCACAAAAACAACAACACTCCTTGCCTTTCCCGACTCGAACATATTCAACCGTCTTCACGCCTTTAACGACGATAAAGTCTTCAACGAATCATAACCACCTCGAAACAATATTGTACTTCCGACAACACCATTCCGAGTTGCGCATATGGTAGCATACTAAGCCTACCATAAGCACCCCCCCCTTTCGCCCCCGTTCAACCTCGGCGAAATTATCCACGAAACGATGCATCTTGCGCTTAAACACACTACTCCAGTCGCCGTCTCTGTCGTATCTTCCGGTCCGTTCTTCCATCGTAGAACCTTGAGATCCTGCGCTTTGCTGCTCTAGGATATTCTCCCTACTCTTCGACATACTTTGCTTTGCCTTGTTGGTGAAGCTTGCATCTCGATAGGTTCACGATCTGTTCAATACCCCAACGATCTAATCGGTCGATACTACAACAAGACGGCGACTGGAGGTACTTGGTTTTGCTTTCAACCACCATAAGTGCACCATGAATTTCAGCAGCGAACGTCGCGTGCACCCCCGCTGCAGCTCGCTTCTTCGAAACGCCTCATATCCCACTACCACCTCAACCTCCTACGCCTCCGTCGATTCCCTTTTCTCGGTCTCCTCTTTAATCTCGGTGCCGTCCAACACTACTTTGTCCCAAGACTCGGATGATTCCCGCTCGAGCGCATCCGACACTGAACAATCTTACCGCACCTTTTCTTTTCCCACGCAGTTTTCGAACTTGTCGCAAACTTCCATCAGCTCTGTCGAGAGCCTTTGTGAACCGTCCGTAAAGCATGTTAGCCACTGGCAAAAGAGTTGTGCTGAACAGGCCAAGGGCAACCGTCTTTTGAGACAAAACCCCCGGCGCACAAACCGCTCAGCGACCTCTCGTACTGGACATCCGCCCTCTCTAGTGAGACAAGATGACCGCAAAGTTAACTTCGTTGACACCGTTGTCGGTAAGGAGTATCTACTACTGGTTTTCGCGATGGACATATACTCAAATATCTTTCTTAGATGCAGCCACCTTGACCGTCGAAGCCATTTGGCCTTTGTCCTCAGCCTGCCCTCGCAACGGCAATGGAGCGAATCCGGGGCTTTCGCTGCGCCAGTTCATCCAGGAGACGCTCAAGCGCTCGCGTTCCAGCTATTCCACCTTGACGGTCGCACTGTACTACTTGATCCTGATCAAGCCCCACATCCCTGCATGCGACTTCACCATGGAACAGCCCCGCGATTGCCTCGAGAACCCGGGTCTCCAGTGTGGGCGCCGCATGTTCCTTGCTGCTCTGATTTTGGCCTCCAAGTATCTTCAGGACAGGAACTACTCGGCAAAGGCTTGGAGCAAAATCTCTGGCCTTAATGTCAAGGAGATCAACCAGAATGAGATGGCTTTTCTCTTGGCGGTTAACTGGAAGCTGCACATCCCAGACCACTTATATGAGCGGTGGACTGAGTGCATGGCCAAGCTCAATCTGTCGCTTCCACCCTGCTCTGGTTCTGCAGCCCAGCAGATCTATCAGCAGCAATGCGCCAACTACAAGACCGCTGTCCGCCAGTTGACTCCAGAGTTGGATAACGTCGAGGAAGTGGCCTCCTGGTTCCAGCAGAGATCGCCTGTTGTTGTGCCGACCGTCGCCAGATCGCTCTATACGCCTCCATTTGAGCGTTCTTCCCCTTTCGAGAGCAAGGCTGAGTGCCGCGCTAGGATTCCGGCTCCGATGGCAACTCCTGCTGTTATGGAACCAAGCCCTTTCGCTGTGCAAGCGGAGTGCCGCATGGCTCCGGCGCTTGGTCTGCTCCCGAGCCCCCGTCCCACCCCTCAGCTGCGTGCAATGACCAGTACTCCTGCAGTGAGCGCTGTGTCTTGTCTTCTTGCAAAGGGCTCGTCGATGGGATACGCTATGCATCAGGCTTCGCACGCAACGGCTGCTCAGGTCTCGGATCGGTGGCCTTCGGCTACATCTCCTCCTTATCTTACCCGCCGCTCGTCTCTTGCCAACAGCGTTTCTACTGCATCTTCCCCCGAATCTATGATTTCCGATTCGTCGCAACTGTCTCGGTCTTCTTCTTTCTCCGTTACTTCTGTGGAAAGTGCGCCGTCGTCCGACTCGGATGCTCAGGCGCGCTACCAATATGGAAAGCAGGATGGTGAGAAGTATGGTCTTCAGCCAGTTATCGTTTCGGCTCATGAAACCTATGGGGGCAACACCTTGACACTTTCGCCCGAGTCCTGCTACATGGATCCAGCGGGTCAAAACCTCAATGATTACAAGGTCGCTGCACTTGCTCTTCAAGACTTGCGCCGTCAGGGCAGCGATCTTCCGGCTAGAGCGGGAATGAAGCGTGCTAGGGCTCCTTCTACCGACAAGCCTTTGCAAGACAACGTTCGCGACCTTCTTTCTGGCATGGACTCTGTGAGACCATCTCGCCAGATGCCGGTCCGCTCCTTCTCTGAGGAGAGTTACAAACGGCTCTGTTTCTCGGTGGAAGACGCTCGGCCTGCAATCTCGTCCCTCCATCCTGCCATGGGTGGCATTGGTGGTCCCGGGATGTGGGATGGGATTCTTTGCTAAGCAGTTGCGATTATCATTCGAAATATCCTTTACGTTACGTCACGTCCGCATCTAGCAGCACATTTTTATCTACTACCTGCCTTCGTGACAAGCTTATAATTCCATATGTTCACTTGGGGAAAAATGGAAGGCGGCGCGCTGGAGTTAAGTTTTGCAGTCCAACCTTGGAAACATCAAGCTAGACGGCTTAGATGGGGCACCCAAGGGAACAGGCTAAAAGCACTTTTTTCATGCATTATCCTGGATCTGGGAAATGGCATTGGGATGGTTGGGCTCGTGCTTTGTTTTACCTTTTTGCGCTGGCGAACCGGTGGTTGTAGTTTAGTGTACGATGAGGAACGGTGGTTGTATCCGGTTGTTGTGTTTACAGTCTTTTTTTTTTTTTTTCCTTTCGTTTATCTGGCACGATGATATCCGCGTCTTCTGGACGCTTGGCGAATTCAGGGCATGGGAGGCAAGCACATGGAACGTCCTTTATGAACATAATGGATCTGAAGGAGCATATATCTTTACAACTGCAACCAGGAGCAGGGCGCAAAGGCAGCGCATACGAACAAACACAACAGAGAAACCTTGGCTTGGGATTATCCGATAACGGCTTTCACTCGCGGACGACCAAACCGACGAAGTCGAATGGCTTGCCAGGTTCCTGAACACCCTCGCTATGCTTAAGAAGCCATACTTGGCAACCCACACGAATAAGATTTGGGATCTTGAATTTCACACATTCCTTGGAACCGCTCTCGAACCTCCTCCGTCCGTCCCTTCGTTAAACACACGCGCACGCACCGAGAACATCAAAACCTTCGTATCATCGGTCGATCGTCGAGTTTTAGTTTACAAGCAAACAAAATGGAGCTATACAGACAAGCACACACACCCGGTTGTTTAACCAGCCGGATGGGTCTAGTTGCAAACTTATCAAAATCGAACACCTTAATAAACACAAATGTGTTCTGACATGCTTTTTTGCACAGATTCAAAGATTTTGCACACCGTGCCCGCTCGTTCTGCCTCATTTACGTGCCTGCGCCAACCGTTCGCAACCAGAGAGAAAGGAAATGTGAGCCAAATAAGAACAAGCCGAGCTTGATCACGAGACTAAAGACGCAGAGAGGCCTACCGAGCCGCAACGGGAATCACGACACGACACGAGATCCCAGTACGGACCGATCAATGAACGATGAGAATGACATGATGCCAAGCAAGTGAGGTAAGTGACTGGTAAGTTTGTTTGTCCGTTTGTCATTGTCATAAGACTTTCGTGGGTCTCATCCACTTTGGTTCTCACTCACGTACTCACTCATTCACTCACTCATCGTTCGCCATCCGGATCTCATGGAACAAACCTCACCGGAACGGACGGATCGCAAACCCCAAGTGAGGTTACCGTCCGACTTTTTTTTGTTCTTGGGATCTCGCGCCACGTGCTGTTGTTCTGTGGCACACAGCGGGAAAACTCTTCAAGCTCAAACCGTCGCCGTCGCCCATGTATGACTGGTTGGGCCCTCGAGCCGTTCATAGCCGGCCATTCCCTCCACTTAAGATCAATCAAAATGTGGAGGGTTCGAGCTACGGATGAGGCAGGCACGAAGGTGAACGCTCGTGAGGCATGTGAAACCTGACAGGCGCAGATTCCAAACGTTTTTCGCCTCCTCATTTCGGTTCATCGTTCACAAGATCCTCGCGATCCAATAGTGTGCTGTACACTAGCATGTCTAGTGGCATCTTCTGTCTCATTATACTTTGACAGTTGCTCAGAGCATCAGGAGCCCGCCCTCATTCGCGTCTCGAGTGGGCAAATGAACCATCCAACCAGTCATGCCTACCGGGATGGAAATGTAAGGGTCCCCGAAAGTTCGGAGCCACGGAGCTTCCATCCTGAACTCGAGGCGAGACAAGACAGGACATGAGACTTACAGAAGCACGCCATATTCAGACACAAATTTGTGCGTGAGTGGCCGAGTGAGTCACACCGTAAGAGGTCGGAACATCTCCGATATATGTTTTAAACTTATACACATGTGCACACGAGCACGCATGAGCCAGGAGTTCCTCCGGACCGGAGTACCCTGCGATTTATTGATCGCCACCTAGTCTGCCTGATTGAGACCCACTTAGTTGGTTTCTTGTTAGTTGATACTTGCCTTGGCAGTTGGTGGTGATGAAGATGATAATGGGGTCAGTTCGCGTACCGTGACCCTTTTTTCACTTACTTGTCTGTTGTCGGACCGTCATCAGTGGTGATACTGTGGTTGGTGAGACTGGGAATTCGACTTCATGGGCCCATCCTGGGCTGGCTGCCGGGTGGCCGGAACTATTGGGGTTTCTAGGGTCATTGGAATCATCGAATCAGGACCGGGACGTCGTGTTGCTTGCTTACACCACTGTGTCTTGTCGACACTAGGATACTGCTACCACTACATGACCTGTCATTGTTGATATTGTTCGATGGTTGTGCCTTAGGGGACTAGCTCGGTTGCTGGTTATAGTCGCTGGTAGCTGGCTCTGGGGACTAGAGTCCACCACCCTAGTGTGCATTGAAAATAATAGGAATGATAGTAATAATTCATTAACACCACCCTTCTTCCCATCCCGTTTCGATAGTTTCCTAAACAGGCATCTTGAGTTCCGGATTATCGAGTGTCGATGGCTGGCTTAGGGATGGGGGCATCATCTGAAGTTGCTTCCTACAGCTCTCCAAGACGACGCTGGTGCCTGTCCAGCCGGGGCTAGCCCCCTGTCTGGTCTTGTCTCACATTCACTCTCACCTTGTCTAGGTTCAAGCTGTCAACAAACGGAGCGATGATGGGCATGTGATTGATTGAAAGGGGTTGCAGTTGAGTAGTGAAGATAACCAGAAGAGAGAGAAGAGAAAGACACAGAGAGAACAGGCAGAGCTTTCCTGTGGTAAGAGACTGACCAAGGGGAAAGTGGCTGGTTGGCTGTGTAGATGGATAGTTGGGGAACGGTTTCAATGTGTTAATTACCTAGGTAGGTAGGTTGTTAGTTGATATTTGATGCTGGAACATTGATACTCTACTCATGCACTTGCGCCATGCACTACAAGGAATGGACATTAGCTGTGATATGAGTTGGATCTTAGTGTGGAAACTTAAGCCTGCAAAGTGTGGCTTTGCTTGGTCTCGTACTCGACCTATGTATCCGGGTTGCTAAAAAGAAGGGTAAAATTAGATAGATATCTGAAGGTTCGGTGGTGTACAGTCTAAACGTGGTCTGTGTTGGTCAGCTCGATGCCAGGTATATTGGGTCAACTTCCTTTGGCGTTTTGGTGTGTAATTCATGCCTTTTGTTCTTTGATTAGAACATGGTGAATGTTAAGGAAGCTGTTTTTGATATTGAATTTGTTATGGTTCTTCATGTCAATGTATTTCCGATCCGCACATGGACATTTGGAACTGGTACTTAATCATTTCAATACGTCCTGTACGGGTTACAATAGACCGGGGTGAATTGATCTCTCCTGAAATATTGGGTATATTCTGCTTACAGATACAGTAGGATTGGATTGGATTGTAAGTGGAACAGGCCAGAAAGAGGTACAAGGTGTCTACTCTGGTGGGTGTCAAGCAGTGTGAGGGCGGATGAGAGGGTTGATCTTAGTTGTGGTATGATGCTGTGAGAGTTGGGACAAAAAGGCGATGCGTAAGGTGCAAGTTGCCTGGGCGTTACGATGTCTTTGTTGTCTGCAGAAAAATCGAAGCCCAGTAAGCAGTTTTGTTTGATCCGGTCTGATCTGGCTGGGTGTCTTGTCGTGTGGATAGAGCTTTAGTTACTACGGTGGTAGTGTCTGTTTTTTTTTTGTTTTTATTTTTATTTTTTCTCATTTTGGTGTGGGCGAGAGCAGTATCTGTAAGTCTATAATGAGTTGCACTGCAGGATATGAGGAGATGTGAGGGCGAGGAAATGAATGAGAAATCTATTTGTCATGTGGCAAGGAAATATTTGAGTATGGCAGATATTCTCCAGGACGAAATGGTGATATACTGGCGATATATTGACCTGGATTATATCAGGCAAATCGGTGGCCCCTTTAGCAGCATTTCGAAATACTTGTTCTTGAGATCCCGTCTACCGTTCCACCGTTGTATGCCACCTCGAAAAACCAGTCTAGCTCACCGTGTTCATGATTGACTTCGTCGGATTTGTCTACTTCGACATCTTCAGGCAGGTCGGCAAAAATCACCTCCCTAGGGCCGAACAACTTGCCCAACTTTAAAGCTTTTCCCAAACGTGAAATGGTCGCCAAGGACGTCGAATTCGGACACTGCCTTTCTTCGACTCAAACACGCCCAATTGGTGATAAAGTGGTCGCCCATTATGAGTCCCAACGCATTCCAAGAGAAGACCAGAGACATGACCGTCAGCTCCAAGGAGTCTTATAATGAAATCGTAATGCCACGGGAACAATTTGACTTCTTTCTTGTCTCAGCGTCAATTGGCTTATCCGGATAATATTGTGTTGTGACTCTCATCCACGCGTGACATCCCGAATGGGGATGAGGCAACAAGCAATAACGTCCCTGAGTACCCCAAAGGTCCGCATAACCCGTATGGCGAAGTAGGCCCTCTATCTGGCGGAAACTGCCCGACAATATGGTGCAAAAGTGACTTCCATCGTCCATCATGACCGAGGTTAAGTACCATTGCAGTGCACTTGCAGAAACAAGTGAAAACGGAAGGAATCACCCCACTCGACACCATCATCCCTTCACTCCTTCCTCAAGAATGATGTGACATGTCCCACTATCCAGAAAACGACCCAAAAGAAGAGGGTTTCGTAGCCCTAAACGCCGGTCCCAGCGCTGCACTCTGCGGTGTCATGGGCAGAGGCGGGAGTGATTGCATCTCCATCTGCATTTGCTGCAACCTCCTCGCCGCCGGCGTTCCCGCTCGAACAGTGCTTATGTCTCTCGTCCTGGGACTGATGCTTCTTTCCCGTGCTCTGTCGCGCTCTCTCATCCGCACCATAGGTTTATCCTGCCCCTGTGATCTGGTGACAGGCGGCACGACGGGCTGAACTTGCTGCTGCTGCTGCTGTTGCTGCTGCTGTTGTTGCACATGTATCTGCCTCCTGACGATGACACTCAATTCGGCTGCGTCCTTGAGTCCTCGCGATATATTTCCAAGCTGCTTGAGCGTTTCTGGTGGTAATGAAAGTTTCGAGTTGAGCTCTGCCGTTTCCTTCCTCGCCCCCTCTGCTGCCGAAGCCTTCGACTTCACTAACACCGTCTTCAACAGACCCCCAAACTCAGCCCAAGCGGTGTATAAACCCTCACATACATCCCAAAAAGAAACCGATGCCGATCCGTGGCCCGAGCCACTCCGTGTCTGATTTCCTCGTGCACTAGAAGGAGGGGAGAACAATGCCGGGTCGCCGACCCTCAAAGTGGACAACCTCTCCCGCAAAGCTTCCGTTTGTTTCTGCACTTTGACACCACTGGTCAAGAGGACGGTCCAGGCCTTTGCTGCTTCCCTCAGTGCTGGACTAGAGTGAACCTGGTGATGGTAGTGCGCAAACAAGGAGTTCAGCGGTGGGATGGTGTGAAAGATCTGGGAGGTTGCTGACTTCAATTTCAAGAAAAGCACATCGAACGGCGCATCAGTCGGATCTGGTGCGGCATTATTAGACATATGTGAAGGGGTGAGCGAGGAGAAAGATGGAAGAGAAAACGAGGTGGCAGTGGGAGGTGGCTCTGGAGTTATCGGTATCGGCTGGGTATCCAGTTTCGCTACCCTTGTCGACGCTGTGGTAATGCCGATGCTCTTTGCAGAGGTGAAAGTCGGAGCCGAATCCGTCGTGGCCACTGCTATTGCCCGTGTTGGAGCGCCCCCTGGCCCAGGATAAGGTAAGTCCGTCCTGACTTGCATGTTGACACCCCCTCGAGCAGACTCAAGGCCACCCGGGGGTTTGGGGCTTTTAAAAGACGATAATGGGGTATGGTTCCTCGTTGAACCTCTTCTAAACGGCGTTAGAATTGTGGACCATGGTGTCCGACGTCGGGGTTTGAGCGTCGCTGCCGCGTCAATGTCAGGCGCTGGAGGTGATCCCATGGTTGCGCGGAGCTCCATGATGCTGTGGTACACAAGCATGAGGAAGGTTCGAAGGTACCTCTCATCCCCAATATCCACGAACATGTCGATATGGCCGCTAAGCTCACCACATATCTGGCTGTAGGCGCTAACGAGCCTCGACAGCGCCTGCTGAAGAGACCATTGATTCGGACAGTCAACACCACGTGTGCCAGTCATGAGATCCAAAGCATGGATAGCTTGTTCCAGCTCATGGAAGTGGAAACTGGCTTTCTCAAGAGCGGCTTCGAGGTTGGATCCAGCCCCATGGTTGACGACAAAATTCGACATGCTCTGAACAGCTGAATGGACTTGTGATATCGAGTAGAGAACACCGCGAGCGACCTCAAGAAGCGGATCACGGCTCTGAGAAGCATCTCGGCGCACTGGAAGGACTGCCAGTTCCCAGACGCTGGAGGGTGTTCCAAGTGTCGCGCTTTCTCGTCTGAAAGGGTTGGTGAACACCGGACTGTTTCCAACTCGACTTGCTCCACGAGATTGACTTCTGATTAATACCCTAGAGACCGGCTGAATCGTGTTCCCGGCAGCAATATTAGCCACAGGCCTTTCCTCCTCCGCCAAAGACATAGCCCGTCCCAACTGAGTCCGAGTCACATGGGCCCCATTTGGCTTCAGACCTCGAGAAAATCTAGGAGGCACCGAACTGCTCCTCGACCCCGCACCCTTGGATCTTTGTAAGGCAAGGGGTATCAATCCCAGTTTTTTGTTGACCAAGGACGGGCTTTGGGATACGCCCCTGAAGTGCGATCTCTGGGGAATGGGCGGTGGTTTCGAATCCGCGGGGCGAACCACGGCAACCGTAGATGTTATTGTCGACGAAGAACTAACGCTGGTGCCATTGACACGGATAGGAAACCGCCCGTTGCCCGTTGCTCGTCTTTCCATTGGCCTGTGTGCCTTGGGATCTTCGGCCAGGTTAGCATCGCAATCGCCATTGCTCATTTCTCCAAGTCCATATCGTCGAGTAGAGGTAGGCACCAAAGGCTGCTGAGCTTCCGCGGAAAGGCCCGAAACACCCTCAGGCGAAGTCACGATTGAGTCCGCCATCATTTCGTTCTCTTGTTCTGTTCGCGTTCATCCATGCAGTGATGACCGCTGGTTGAATCCAAATCCTTCCAGAAATGGTTGGAAAAAAAAAAACAACTCGCCGACGGAACTACGGCTATCCTTGCATGCTTAAATCCTTCCTAGGCAGAATTCAAGCCCCATCGATCCGACCTCACGATAGGCAGCCTGACGGGAAATTATAACGTTATACATGGTACTTTCTCTTTCCTTCCTTTCTGCCCAACAATTTTTGGTACGCGCCAATGAAACACTTGGTTCCATCCTGTCACCCCTCCATCTTGTGGGATGGAACCGAGCCGTGTGGTCAGCTTCGGTATGGTTAGTTCCCTATAGGGCGGCAGCGGCGGCGGCAGCGGCTTTACAGCTGACAGTGGCATATGTGGGAATCCATCAGATATAGTGTCTTAGGGTGACACAGTGACATTGCTTCTGCCTGTTGATCTTTTGTTTTTGTGCTCGATTGAGCCGTGGTTTGTGAGTAATCCAGATGCCAAACAACCGAGCCGAAAAAGTCTCACATTGGACGAACCAATCGCAAAGAAACATGTATAGGGAAAAACGGTGTGGCTGTGCAGTCGAGTACTGGTTTGTTTGTCAGCTCGAGACCTTGGGTCAACTCCCTAAGACGTTTTTATATCAAATCAATCAATTTTGTACCATGACCAAAGCGTGATCTTACCTTGAATATGCTCTTTGCGAAATTCAACATGTCTATTGAATTATGTTTATAGCTTTCTGGACCATACCTGGCCATTTACTTTATGTCTGTGAGGTTTAGGAGAACTCGGGACGGATCATGTCCAGTAGACCAGAAGTACCAAGTTAACAAACAAACCGGCATTAGATTGTAACTCGAAATTGAATATTCTAGCTGTTGGGTAGGTATGCACAGGCTGGTAGTACACGCAGAACGCCTGGCGTGGATAGAAGCATGATATAGAGCAAATAAATGATATCCAAGAAAACGCACGCCCGTCTACCATGCATCCCAGCATGGTATCAATTATAATAGTAAAACGTACTTTCAGTTCACCAAATTGTTCAGTTGCGTCAACCCATCTTAGAGATCCTCCTCCACGCCATAACCTTCATTCTTTCCATCCTGAACAACCACCCACCCCTTTTCCTTCTCAGCTTGCTGCTGCTGCTGCTGCTGCTGTTTCTCGCCCTCATCCTCGCCATCACTGTCACTTCCCTCATCACCGCCATCCTCAGGCTTCTCATGCTTCGGAGGAGGATGATGAGGTCTACCGTGATGCCCCTCCCACTCCCCCGGCAACCTGATCCCTTCCCACTCCTCCTTTGTCACCCTCTTCCACTCATCAACAGGGATCCAGCCAATATAAGCGCGATCGCCGAACCCGCCAATCCAGTACACGTGCGTCACCACCAGCCGGACAAAGTGCGACTCGTGGATCCGGTTGCCCGGGAGCCACCACTTGGCGTCCGGGTGGACCTTGGTGAAGCACGAGGCGAGTTGCGCGCCGATGGAACCTTCCTGGCTGCGGTCGTCGCCGCCTTCGATCTTTTCAACGTAGCCTAGGAGGGAGAAGCGTGGGAGGGCAGCGGGGGAGAAAGGGCGGCGGCGGCGAGGAGGAGGAGGGGGAGGGGGAGGGTGGTGAGGGCGCTTCTTCTTGTGGTCTTTGTGCTTTTTGTCTTTGTGGTGCTTTTCATCTTTAGGGTCTTTGTGATCTTTATGTTTTTTGTGGTCGTGGTCCTCATCATGGTCATCATCACCATGGTGAGGAGGCTTCTTGGGCCCATGTGGAGGAGGGCCATGAGGAGGCTTCTTGGGCCCATGTGGAGGAGGGCCATGAGGAGGCCAACGATGATGAGGAGGAGGAGGGGGAGGAGGGGTCCACTGCACTGCCAACGAAACATTGCTACCGGCGGCAATGTTCTTGAACGAGGTCTCGATGCTGATGGCTAGTAGCGTCGGGTTGCCGACGTCGTTGGTTGCATACTCGCAGTCGGAAATGTACTCCATCAAACCGTGGGGCATGCCGGCCACCTCGGCGGGTCGGTTCTCCTGCAGCTTTGGGTTTCTCTTTTCTTCTTCGGTCATGATGGAAGATGAGTTGGCGGCCGGGAAGATGGTGGCCAGAGTGCCGAGGGGAGTGAGCGCGAGGATGCGCCGCGCCATGACGGCAGACTCGTACGAGGTTGGAATCCGCGGCCTGGACGGCTGCGATGGCTTGGACTCATGTTCACCCGGCACGGCGACGGCGGCCGCGGCGGTGAAGAGTGCGCTCAAGGCGATGGGCTTCATGATGGGTGACGCTGGTGGTGGTGGCTGCCGAACAAGGGGCGCCGATGATAGCTCGAGGTTTCACAGTGTAAGTCCCGACTTTATATGGATCGGTGATGTGAAGCACTAATACCCGGAAGGATATAGGTCCAGATGGGAGGAGTGTGAAGAAAGAACCAATTTTACTCTAGAGGTATAAGTCCTGGTGTCGAACTGAAATATCAAGAGAGGAGGTCAACAAACGGGAGAAGCTCCAGTCCGATAGACTTCGGGGGCCTGGATTGGGGGGGCGACCTCGAAGGGCCCTGGGCCGTTAGTTGCGGGCCGCGTCTTCATTCCCCGCTTATTAAGTGCTCTGTGATGTGACTGGTCAGGTCTGAGCATGGTGGCCGGTGTAAGTGAGGTGGGAGTCGTCAGCACTTCAAACTTCAAAGGCCCTGCCAGGTCACTGTGAGGAATCAAAGAAGTGTTGCCCGTGCCGTTGTTGCCGTACAACACACTCCCTCTAGAGGTCGATGTGTGTACACATGACTGGCGATAATCCGGATGCCAGAGTTCGCTGTTTATCGTGCCGACGAAGGGATGCTGAAAGGATGTTTGAACTGTGACAATTTGCATACGACACTCACTCACGATTACGAACACCACTCATGATAGGGCTGTCGGCGTTCTGCAGCCAGGAAATTGGGCCCACATTTCTCCCAAGAGGACGCGCAATCATGTGCTTGCTTCCCTTCAGATGATAACGAAAACGATAAGAGTCCGCCAACTGCCAAGACGCCAAGAAATGGCCCGCCACAGCAAACCTACGCCTTCGCCACCTCACGTGAGCCACGAAAAATCGCTGTGCCGGAGAGGAGGCGAGAGCGCACGGTTTGAGCCCCAATGACGAGCCCCGCAGCTCCCACAATTAATCGCTAAATCCAGTCCGCCCAGGTCAGTATTCCTGCCAGTCTCGATTTTTGCTCCCCTTTTGACGGCAAGAGGCCTTACCACTTCGACAACCACAGCAGTCTTCTCGCGCCCACCGCAATAACCGAAAATGGGAAAGGTTCACGGAAGGTATGTTGCTTTGCTAGCCAGGCTTCATGCCGGTTTTCTTGTTGATGTGATGATGACGATGATGAATGATGAACAGCGATGCTAACGATGATTGAACAGTTTGGCCCGTGCCGGTATGTTGCTCTTCCCGTGATGTTCATGTTGTCCCATCACCATCATCACCGCCATCACAACCCCGCAGATTGTCATCGACGATGAAGACGACAATATCGAAAAGCACGAGATGATGGGTTTCGAATGATACGACCCCTGCCCACACCCAAACACCGAAGACAAAAAACCGATCTTGACAACCGATGAGAACACCAAATCTGACGAATCCGCAATACAGGCAAGGTCAAGTCTCAGACCCCTAAGGTCGAGAAGCAGGAGAAGAAGAAGACTCCTAAGGGCCGCGCCAAGAAGAGACTCACTTACACTCGCCGTTTCGTCAACGTCACCATGACTGGCGGCAAGCGCAAGGTCAGTTCCAATCGGCAGAGCAGTCTAGCCTGACAGATCTCGGGACCGCGAGAATCTCGAAAGCGGACATACAATCAGCGAACGGAACAAAACTGACATGATGGGCAAAACAGATGAACCCCAACCCCGGCTCTTAAATTACCCCAACCCGCAAACCATGAAGCTTCCGTCGCGATGACAACTTTCTTCTCTCCGGCGACAAAGTTAGCGAGCTAAAAGAATCCCATCAAACCCTTTTCTTTCCCCGCGTCACCACGATGAACGAACTTTTGACGATGACGAACCAACAACAAGACAACGCCGGAATGGACTGTACTGTGTGCTTTTATCTTCTTCTTGGGATCCCTGGAAACAGGGCGATCTCAGGATTAAGGTTCGGGGAATAAGGGCGAAAAAAAAAGCAAGCAAACTTTTTTCAGGGCGTCTGTGATTGGGATGGGATGCTGTGTTTCTGGGTGTGGTATGGGTGGACTTGAGTCTACGGACGAAAGTCTACTTGAAGGCCAACAATGTCTGAGAAAACGTAAAACAGAAATGCGATTTTCCAGGCAACACATGATTCTCGGTTCTTCGTGATTCTTTGAATGGGGATGTCACAGATAAGCATGTACGGCCGTTGTTTTCGTTCCATCATCTCTGTAACATACAGGTATGCGTAACTCACGTTGGCCTTTTCAATTCGCCCATCAAAGATGAAAGAAGATTAAAAAGACAACAAGGTTCTCATTCACTGCAAATACCTTCTCCGGATCTACCAAACCCCGGACGACCATGACGTAGCTTTTGTACCCAAACATATTGATCAAAGAGAAAACAGCCCACGCGATTCTCGACTAAGTGTCGTTTCGCTATAATATGCACACATAGATGCCAAAACTTCGAAATACCAATACTGTCATTGCGATGCTGACTGAATCTCCCCTTCAATCTACTGCATTTCCCTTTCCACGATTTTTAGGTAACCGCATTTTCGATATATGACTAACTGACTGTATGCGTATATCATACCGCTCTCTGCTTTCCATCCGAGGTATGTTCCTGCCCATTCCCCCCCCGTGACATTGTATCATACTACGACTATACCACGACTGTACTACAAACATACCACTTTCATCCATCACTCACCCTCTTCACTCACTCTCTTCACTCACTCCCTCAAACACCCCCCGCCTTCAAGCACCAGGCGTACCACTCCTCCCCCTCCTCTCGCGCTCAAACGTATCAATATACTCACTATGCAACTCCTTGACGGCCGGGATGATCAAGCTCTCAATCTCGATTTCCGGTTCGCCTTCGGGGAGAGACTTGGGGTCTAGCGGTTCGTCCTTGTCTGTTGTTGTTGTTGTTGTTGTTGTTGCTGCTGGGTTGCCGGAAGAAGTAGAAGAAGAGCCGACACGACGGTGCATGGGGACGCGGATCCACCGGTCTTTGCGGTTGGGTGCTACAAAGACTACTTCCCATTTGCGGGTGGAGCTGTTGGTTTCCGGGTTGGTTAGTTAGTTGGTATGGGTAGGAGGGAGGAGGGAGGAACGTGAACGATGTTAAGAAGGGGGGTGAGGGAGTACAAGGGGATGAATGGGAAGGGGAGAACATAAGGCAAAGGAATGAGAAGAGAATTAGAAAAAACATACAGCAAATTCCCAATAACCAAATGATGCTGATACCGGTTCAGCGAGTACTTGGCCTTCAGCGTCAAGATGCTCGGATCCGTCTCCAGCTTGAACGAGACAATCATTCCCTCAGGCGACCATCCCTCCACCAAGTTCTTGAGGAACTTGGGCACGGGGTCAAGATCGACCACCAACCGCTTACTCCTAGGCACGGTGGGGGAAGAATCAAAGTTGTCAAAGGTCTCTTCATCCACCACTCCCGTCCCTCCCGATCCATTCCTAGATCCAACAGAGCCAGGAGGGGCAGGCGTAGCTCTGGCACTAGGGTTCGCACTGGGCGCAGCAGATGTGGCAGTAGAAGATGACAATTTCTTCTTCAAATCCGCCGCGTCCGTGCTCTGGATCTTGTGCTCCGACATGCGGTCCGGCGGCACGAAAAAGTCGCTGACGGCGGCCGCGAGATACAAGAGAGCGTTGGGGCCGAGCGGCTTCATCAGCTGGGCGATGGACCTCAGCTCGTGCAGGTAGTCCGAGATGCTGAGGAAGGGGATGGCCAGCAGCATGTTGTTATCGCGGGCGTCATGATACTTGCGCAGGACTTGGAGCATTTTGCTGGCGTCCTTGTCGCGGGCAACGACAGAGCCGTCGGGCCCTTCCCGAAGGAAATCGAGGAAGCAATCTTTTGCATGCGAGTAGTGGCGCGAGAAGGGCAGGAGGGAGAATTGTCGGTGGAGGAAGAGGACGGCGTAGCCGGCTTCGAGGAAGTACTCGGCGGATGTCTTGGGATTGGCTGGTTAGACAGATCCTGTACGAAGGGGCACTTTGATGGTGATGCCCCTGACATATAAGCAAGCAAGCAAAGAGGGAAAACTTACAGCTCCGCGAGTGCCAGCCGAAAAGTTGTCAATGAAGCGCACAGTCTGCTTTTCTGTAATACGTTAGTAACCTTACTCAGTCATCCATTTCCCTCTCGTCACTGTTGAGCCATGTCCTATATTCACTGCCTCACTTTTCTTCCATCCCAACTTCACCTCTTTCTCTCACTCCCCTTTTCCCCAGTTTCTCTTCTCCATTTACGCCCCTGGCAACCCCCAATGAACGAAAGGAACAAGGAAAAGAGAAAAACTCACCAAGCGGCACAGTAGTTCCACCACTGGTAATCAGCACCAACCTCCTCCCCTCTTTGGCATGGAAATCGATAAAGTCTTTGGCCTGCTTCACGTGCTTCTCATGGTCCTTCGGCGGCGGGTTGGCAGAGAAGTAGTGGTCCTCGGCCAGAGTGGCCAGGTTGGGTGGTGGGGTCTCGCCGGGGATTTGGGACATCATTTTGTCGGTGTTTTCGTTTGAAGTTTCTGGTCGTGGTGATGGTGATGAGAAGATGATGTCCTGGTTTTAGTTTTGACGCTCTTCTGGTTGGTTTGCGTGATCACGTTGATGGTGGCTGTGTAGTTTGAGCGTGATGATTAAGATGAAGTCTAGCCCTCGAGAAGAACGGCGAGAGACTGGCCTGCTGTGGCACGTTAGCTAGCTGACTTCAATATCTTCAAAGGAAGGTGGAAGTGAAGTGAAGCCCAAAAGGTTGATGATGCGCAGATGAGAACTGATTCAGTCCGTAGTTTCCATCGCCATTTATGCCAAGACCCGTGAGTGGAAATGTAAAAACGTAACCTCGACATGGTCCCCTATTCCTTCCTTCTCCATGATTCCATTGCGATACGTTCGTGAATACTCTACGCCATAAAACGCATGACCGTACATGTACCCGTATTCGGCTTGACCCGGATCGGGAGCGCCCGAGAGCATCAGTGATGATCAATGGGGACCCTCATAGAGCCATCTTGTTTGGTGTTGGGTTTGGGCGGAGGAAGGATAGGTAAAGCCACTTGACTCGACTCAGTTGCCACTTATAATGGCTTTGAAGGCTTGCATAGGGGTTTGTAGAGGGTCTGTATATGAGACTCCATTGATGTAGAAACTGGATGGCTGATGTTGATGGACTGACTGACCTGGGTGATTGATGGTAAAGATGAGAAGTACTAGACACAATCCGCTTGGTAATCCGTTGCGAAGCCCAGTTTATATACCTGTCCCCTTAATTGACCGTGTAGACCCCAGTTATTTGTGATTATTGATCGTCTTGCTGAGCCTCTGCAGTGATGACCTGGAAGGAATCGGCAAGGGTATACAAAGTTTGATCGAGAACGGCGAGGCAGAGGCGCGGCGAATTGGTTATGTTCGCCCTTCAGCTTCGCTCCGTTCAGGTCGTTATAAGATTCAATTCGGCAATGTTGCGTCACCTCACGTTCTGGGGAGTTGCCGGTGAGCTTTATATGTAAAGCTGTGGAAGTAGAGTAGTGCCCTGTGATGTCGTGTGGGTGGTGTGAGGTACCGGGGTTCAATCGACGTCGTTGAGATCCCGGCGTGGCGGGGCACTTTCTATGGGTTTGGTGGGATATTGCGGGGAAGCTCCCCCAAATTGTCGGCGCCCCCCTTGGAGCATTCTAGCGGATTTACGGAGCATCTCAGGCTCAACGATCTGGCACCGGCGACCGGACCACTACGGATGAACGGGAGTGAATTCGACCATTCTAGCCATTTGCCTCTGGATCGACGTTGGGTTGCACGGGGGTGACAACAGACGATGTTTTCCCAGTGTGTTTGATATTTGTCTATATGGAGTTTCACTATCATCACGATCACGGACCTAAACTAGGGCAACGGGTGACTTGAATAATGATATTGAACCTGCCTCGAGCCTGCCTATCCTAACAAAAAGCGTTCCTGGGTGTCTCCTCCAGGGCACCGATCTATAACGCTTCTCTAAACCTCTACCTAGTAACAATGATGAGTTGAGATAAACTGTACTACTTAGTACATGGAGAGATCAAAAAGAAGACAGCGGGTTAACAACCCTACAACCACCTTACAATAGACAAGCACAACAAAACAAACAAGGCAAAGGACCCCCCTTTTTTTTTTTAAATGTCTCAACGCCGTCCGTCTAAGATGCATTTTGCCGCCATCATTTCTCTTTCAAAACAACATGAAAAAGGGGGACTCCCTTCATTCTCCTGAAACGCCAAACGCTCTCTGTCCATCACGCAACCCAGTCTGTTCCTTTTCTTTTATCTCAAGGCATTAAAACCACTTCTTGCTGGTGGATCTCTTTTGCTGCGCACTCTTCATCGAGTTGATCCTCCTCAACCTCTCACGGTTGCTGGGATCAAGCAGGACGTCGGTGCTCTCGTCACGGAACCAGTGGTTGGGGGCGTTGCGGTTGTGCAAGTCGCCCATCTTGACACGCTGCACCTTGCGGAGCTTGACAAGGCCGTACCAACAGACAATCAACGAGGCGACCGTCGAGACCGAGGTGACCATAGCAAATCCCCAGTTGGTTTCCTCTATGAAATTCTCCAGGTTCATCCCGTACCAAGACGCCAAGAAGGTGCCCATTGCGAGGCCGAGAGTGCCCACGCTGAACTTGAGATCGAGCAACATGAGCGAGTTACGGTTGGCGTCAAGAATGGCGCGGATACTGTGATAAGTGGTTAGCTGTGTGTTTTTCCTCAATTCCAAAAATGGTGTAAAAAACTCACATTTCCTCCGTGTTCCTGATGCTCGAGACAAGGTTACTCGCTTCCTCCACAACTTCGTCGCAAATCTTGTTGTAAGACTCCAACAAAAGCTCGATTTCAGTGTGGTCATCCTCGCCTCTGTAGAGATCATGCGTCTTCTCAGTCAAATACATGGACGCAAGATCATCGTCGGCCTCAAGCAGCTCCTCGATGGCATCACGCACGAGCTTGGCCTTTTGCTCGAAAGTGCTAACCCTCTTGGACAAGACGAGCAACACCCTCAGCTTCTCGCGGTCGATATCGTCTTCGAGCTCGCTGAGAATGCGAATCACAGGGTCGCGGACGGCTTCGAAGTCAGCCTCCAGCTCGGAAGTGACCGACATTAGCACGGCTTCGAGAGCGCGGAATTCGTAGGGCAGACTGTTGGCTCCGGACGACTGCTTCTGCTGCAGTTTGCCTTGTAGATCGTACATGAAGGCTGACTGGGGGTATGAACTCTTGGAGCCGTAGACGTCGAACAGAAGGACGCAATCGTGTTTGATCAAGACCTTCAAGTGTAACAGGTTGAGCAGAATCGCCGAGGGACGGATGAGGATATGGGGAAGGTTGGACGAATCAATCTTGCGAAGATCGCGAGGCAAAAGACCGTACTGTTGTATTTCGACTGGTCAGCAATGTTATCACAGCATCTCTTCATCTGTGTCAGATCACGTACCTTTGCAATAAGCTCACTCTTTTTGAGCTCACCGTCCACCATAACAACATTGCCGTTCTCGTCCACTTCGGTACACCTCAGTCTGGGATCCATTGCAGCCTTTGCGGTCAAAGCCCTGCGCTGGAAAATAGAACCAGACTCTTCCTCGAGTGCTACTCTTATGTCGTCATCGTTCAGCCGGGTGTCTGGTGGTCCCTTCTTTTCGCCATTGCCGAACAGCCACTCTCTGAGTTTGGGCCTCTTGGAATCACAGTCAGAGGACTGGTTTGACGAGAACCGCAACGAGCCAGCCGGCGGTGGGAGTGCGAGGAGGGACTTTGTGGTGCGCTGTTTTCGAAGCGACTTGGGGAGAATGGCCTCGAGGTCGACAAGACCGGCGCGCAACTGGGTGCGCTTGGGCGGGGTTGCTGTACTCAGCGATCTCGTTGTCGTCGAGGAAGAAGGCTGTCTTGGTGGTCTGGTTGAACCGCCTGCGGTACAGACATGGCGACACTGGAGAGCTGGATGGCGCTCAGCAGCAGCGCGACATGTTGGCGCAAACGAGAGCCCTTCGGACTGGGCGCGAAGATACCGAAGGAGACTCCGTGATGGCGCTGCTGGTCTCAATGCCGGCGGCATTGCAGCAAAAAATGGTCGTCCGTGGACTGACTGACGATACTTGCTCTCAGTATTCTCCTCTCGGTCGCAAAAAGTGGAAGAAGAAAGGCGCGCAAATCAAACAGAGAGAGTGATTCGCGGTGTTTGTAAGGCCTTCCTGCCTTTCCAAAAAGATGGCCGCAACGCACCTCGCTAAATCCCAGTTCGATGTTGTGCCTGCAGAAAAGTTAAAGCTTTCGACGGATGGAACCACGCCGCGCGGTGGTGCTAATAAACAGCATTGGCGGGAAAAGTTCGCTGTGGGAGGGGTTCTCCAAGTGCTGGTGGGAGTGAATGCATCAAAAGTGGAATTCGCCCATGCATGCGGGCAACTCCATTCGACATGGAAGTCGCTGCGTTTCCCCAATCACCGTGTTCCAGTTGATAAGAAAATTGTTAGTGCATCCAACGCCTGGACAACTTCATCGGAATGACATCTTTCTTTGGTGTTGACCACTTTTGACAGTTCCAAGTGACCTCAGAAGAGTGCGAGATATGCATCCTTCTCCAAATACGTCTTAATTGGCTGGGTGAGAGATGTTTCCAAACAGATCTCTCCATTGAACAACATCCACTGTTGACCGTTACCAAAATTTCCACAGCAGTTCAACCTTGCACTCTCGAGTCCTTTCTCCATAAATCCAATTTAGGCCCTCATCCTCTCTTCAGACGGAACCCACTTGCTCAATGTGGATTTCACGACTTACACGACGCTTCAACTTGACCACTTCAGCCGCTCCAGTCTCCTGCACTTCGGCAGAATGGTAAACAATGAAGCTGACGCCCATCAAGATTAGAGGCCGCGGCCGCAAACAACCCTGGCAACCTCCAAATCCGGAGCGTTTCAGGCGCAAGTACCTGGATGGTGACGAGGACGAGTTCGACGAGGAAACTGGAGTCATTCCAAGTCAAGTCGACAAAAATGGTGTTAGACGACGACGTCGCGTCAAGACGAGAAAGCCAGCCGCTCTTATCGAGCAGCTGCCGCCTGAAATCCTTGAGCGCATCTTCTCCATGTCCGAGAACCTCAACTTTCCTAGGAGTAGTCTTCGCATTGGCTACATGCTTTCGGCCAGGACCTTCCTTATGCAGCTGATTGTCGATGCCTTCTCTCCTACGTGGGACATGTGGTTTGGCTGTCCCAGAAAGGATATCCAGTCATATAGGGGTTATGAGAAGGATGGTGAGAGAATGCCTGGCAATCCAGATTTCCAGGTCAGTTTGCCTCGTTGAAATGCCGAAATGGGTTGATGAAAAGAGTGCTATCTGAACCCTTTTCACATAAGACTGGCTACTCACTTCATATTATCGACTTCCCTCTCATAATAATACTCCTGCCATAAGGACCGTCAACTGACACCTTCACAGACCGCCATCCTCTCCTCCAAATGGTTCTCCCTCTCTCTCATCCTCCACGCCCAACAAGTCTGGATCCGGCGTCACGGCTCTGCCTTCCGCCCCTTCATCCACACCGAGAACTGGCTCATGCTCGGCCCCACGCGCATGGAACTTGACCGTGACCTGATATCAGGTCCCCGCCCTGGTGAAATCCAAGACTACGACATGGATGATGTCCGAGATGTTTATCCTCACCATCCTCACCACCGCCTGCACTTCGACGGTGACTTCGTCGACGACTCCGGTGCCCCTTCCTCGTCCCAGTCTAACACCAAACTGGACGTGGAAACCTGCTTCGAAGCCGATTGGTCCTGGTTCACCACCATTTTGTACAAATCCGACCCCCAAGGAGTTATCTATAGCCTGGAGAATCATGCCTTGCGCACGGGGTACTGGGATATTCACCCGGCGACCAAGATCCCTAATCATTTGCTGGCGAACCCGGTTGCGAGTTGGGATTCCGTCAAGTTGCTGTATTGGTTGGTCAGAGGTGGTGCGACGTTATCGAGCGAGCAAACCTGGGAAGTGAGTAGCGCCCAAACCTCTTCCCTTAACCCTTTTCATGAACCTTCACCTCCCCAAACTTCTTCTCTCTCCTAATCTTGACCTCCTTAACTTTCTCCTCTTCAACCTCCTCCACCTCCACATTATCCCTCAATATTTTCCCTTGATCTTTCGCTTAACTGTTTTGTCTCTTAAACTTTCCTCCCCTAAACCTCCCTGACTCCTCTCCACACCCATCTCACCCAAACCTCTTTACAAAACTAACTAACATACCAACCAGCTCACCAAACTCGGCTACGAACGCCTAATGTCCCATCCCGACCATCCTTCTACTACCATCACATCCTCTTACACCCCCCATCATTCCACCCTCCCCACCTCTCGCCCTTACATCCCCCACGCCAACCTCCCTCCCGACGCCCGCCGCGATGATCTAGATGAGGACCAAGAGCGGGAACAAATGTCCCTCATCGCCCTTCGGCTCTTCTCCATCCTGCGCGTCTTTGGCCCCAACCACTGGCCCCATTTTCTCATGATCGAGAAGCTGGAGGAGATCAGTGTGGAGCGGCAGACGCGAACTGCCTATTCTGACTCGCAGAAGCCGGCCTGGAAGCTGTGGCTGCGCGCCCAGTCTGTTTTGCGGCATTGGATGCAGCAGAGGGGAGAGGAGCATGAGGACTGAGATGGGGATTGAGAGAGTGTCGGAGAGTAGGGGAAGAAATGTCATGGGTATCATTTGACTTGTTAACTGGAGGACTCAGCTTGCTCAAGTAAGGAGAATGCGGTGGCGATGATGTTAGAAACATGGCAGAGGAGATTAACTGGAGGTGGGTAGGCATCCAGATCCACTAACCCTCAAGGCATTGTTCATGAATAAAACACTGCTTCTTTAGCAGGCGGCCTGACAAAAGAATCCACTGCATCTTGGCCGTCAGTGAATCCGCCAGCTCAGGTCTCACCGTATGGCACTTGATACTTCTGCAATCAACCCATCAAGGCAGCACGAATCATGCCCACACACTCCTAGAGGTCACATTTATCACGATTAACTTCAGGGACAAAGGATAGATCGTCAAGGTCTTAACTATCACCCATTATGGACTAGCTCTCAGGACTCCAAGCATCCATGATACCAATGGAGATCCAATACCTCGCCCCTAAATCCGATAACCTTGCACGATATCGCCATGGTCCAAAGGGTATCCTTCCAATATAGCCTCCCTTCAACACCTAGACGCCGTTGCAAAAGACCCATCAACCTGCTGCTAGTCGGAGAAATACCTGACGAACCACAAGAATCACCACGAACTTGTGGGAGCCCAATCCGGAAACAAACCTCAAACGCCTCCGTCAGATTGTGCTCTGTCTTGTGCTGCCATCACCAGTCATTGGCAACAGGCACAGAGGTATTGCCGGCATTAGTTACCAGCACCCCAACCATCGCCGCCGGCATTGTCGCCCGCATCATCGGCGTCACCACCACCACCCCAGCCGTCACCAGCATCGTCACCATTAGCATCATCGCCGCCGCCAACCTCCTCCTCAAAGTCGGAATCGGCCTCGAAGTGAAGATTCTCTGTGTCCTCGGGAATGTACTGCTGGAGGAAGTCCGGAATTTCCTGGCCGGTCTCGAGGAGGGTGCGAGTGAGAACAGAAGCGATATCCTCGTCACGCTCAGTGTAGAAGGAAGTGGCAAGACCTCTATGGCCGATACGACCGGTACGACCAATGCGGTGAACATACTCCTCAATACCACCATACATGGTGGAGGGGAGGTCGAAGTTAATGACATGCAGAACGTTGCGCACATCGATACCGCGAGCAGTGACGGCGGTAGTGATCAGCACAGGTGATCTTCCGGCACGGAAGGCGCGCATGGCAGCCTCGCGCTCCCTCTGAGTTCTGTCGCTGTGCATACTGACACAGGGGACTCCCTTGTTGAACAGAAAGTCATCGAGTTCGTCAGCAGCGCGCTTGTTATTGACAAAGATAATGGTGCGACCGGGAGGCACCGTGTTGAGCAGATCAAGACAGGCCTGCTTCTTCAAATAGGGTTCGACCCAAATGACATCCTGCTTGATGTTGGAGTGGGTGCTTCCAGCGCGTCCAACGCGAAGGCGCACATGATTGTCGGCCAAGTGGGTCGTGGCAAGGTCACGAGCAGCCTTAGGGAAAGTGGCCGAGAAGAGCATATACTTGATATTACCCTCTTCCTGGTCTGTGGAGGGAAAAAGTATTAGCCTGAGCTCACCAAACAGTTTGGGGAAGCAGGAAGATGCTGTGCAGAGTTAACTTACCACCACCAGAGAGAATCTGGTCGAGCTCGTCCTTCCAGTCGTCATGAAGCATCTCATCTGCCTCGTCAATCACCATGTAGCGGACACGGCGCAACGACAGGATGTCCGGGCGATCCATAAAGTCGATAAGACGACCAGGAGATGCGACGAGAATGTCGCAGCCTTTCGCAATCTGCTCCATCTGCTCCCTCATTGGGCCGCCGCCGTAGATGACGCAAGGGCGCAGCATGGAGCGATAGCAGAACTTTCTGGCCTCGTTGAAGATCTGAACCGCCAGCTCACGGCTGGGGCAGACGACGACAACCAAAGGCTCAGCTCTGCAGGGCTGGTCGATTCCGGACTGATAGGTGACAGGGTTGGGACGAGGGGCCGCCAACTTCTTTGCCTTGCCCATCAGCTTGTTGATGATGGGGATCATATAAGCCGCTGTCTTGCCAGAACCTAGAGATTTGTCAGTGTCAAGGATGCTCATCACAGGGGCATCTGAAGATGAACTCACCAGTCTGCGCAATGGCAATGACATCATGGCCCTGGCTAATCGCGGGGACACAGTAACGTTGGATAGGGGTCGGCAGATCATAGCCCGCAAGCTCGACGTTGCGGAGCATGGCCGGGTGCAGGCCAGCAGCTCTGAAAGAGTCGATAGGCTCGACTCGAGTAGGTCCCTCTTGGACCAGCTGGAGCTCAGCGATGGCGGAGAAGTCGATTCCCCTGCGGCCGCGCTCCTCGACGGGGCCAAAGAGTTGGACCTCCAACTCCGGGAGCTCAGGGCCAATGTCACCCTCTTCGCCATCCCACTCATAAATGCGGGCCTGGCCATCCCACTCGGTCTCCCGATTGGCAAACTCGTCGTAGTGGTAGGGCGTCGCCTCAACCCAACCCTCGAGCTTGGGAGGGACGGCCTGCTCGACGGGAGCAGGGCCGCTGTGGCCGTTAGTATCGGAGAGAGCCGACTTAAGATCCGCAGTGCCCCAAGGACCGGCCTCAGCCTCGGTGACAGCGGGGGCAGCACCCCAACCGTGGTCAGCCATGACGCGAGAGTGGCTGTAAGCGATGGATGAGTTAGAGAGGCGACCAGCTAAATGTTAAGCGATAGTGAAATGAAGTCTTGAAAGGAATCAAGTGCTTCCGTGGGCTCAGGTGGAACTGAGAGACGGCGAGGTGACGCGACCCATGGAGGTACGGCGCGTTCAAAGTGAAGATGATGTCGCCGAAGAGGAGAGATGACGAGATAGAGACAAAGAAAGAGGAGAGACTTACTTGTTACGAGACGACGGAAGCTATTCGCGGCGAGAGCAAGATACGGCGCGCAGCACGTCGACGTGTTGACGAGTCCTGCGGGTGGGTGTGGTGGGTGAGAGGGAGAGGAAGAAGTGGGAGAGGAGAAGAAGAGAAGGGTCGAAATGTTCTGACTTAAATATCAGAGAACGCACAAACCACCCAAGCTTTGTGTGCGAGACGGGGAGTATTTGTTACGTCAACAAGGCAACTGAACTTTAAGTTTCAAACGGAGGAAGGAGCAGCTGCGGAGAGGGTAGCGGGGCAGAGGCAACTCCAGCCCTGTGAAGGGGATGTATGAAGAGGGAAGGTATGGCCGGGAGGACTTCTTGCCTGGCAGCTGAGGCGGTGTCGGGTACGAGCTGTTGGGGATGGAACAAAGTGGAAGCGTGACGGCAGATTGAAAGTTGAGTCAACGGGTAGCAGCTGCCTGCCACCGGCATGACGAGTTTAGGCGGTGGTCTTTCAGTCACGAAAAGGGTTCTGATGATGGGGCCATGTGTGGCGCGGTCAAAGGGAAGTGACGAGACGGAGCTACTGGGTACCTCTACGCTGGGCTGGAATCAAACGATCAACGTACCGGAGGCCATTTGGGTCAGTAACGACAATGGGGACTGCAGTGTTTGTGGAATTGGATTCTTTTTGTTTACAAGTATTCGGTCTTGACATATGGATTATTCCCTTGAATAATACAAAGATCAACTGGAGGACTTATCTGGACTTACTCCTGCATACACTCGCCTTTCTTTCGTCTTCTGGCTGTCGGGACTCCAGAGCATCTGCCACCAGCTACAGTATTACTTAGAGGTATTGAACCGCCTCCTCCATGTACCTAGTATTGTCAGCCACACCACCACTTGATCTGATTACGAGCTTGGCGAGGCGGACAGACTCGCTCGCGTTGCCACTCGATCTTCCAACAACTGCCCAGTGGGCCCATCTGCCAAAGGCCGACACAAAGGCGGTATCCAGCTGGAATGGACGACCGTGCTGCTATCAGCAGGATAACCACTCAATAAAGTCTGCCTTTAATGCGGTTGGGAGATATGGACCAAAGCACAGAGTCAGGACCACGAGGCAGTCAAACACACCTTGATAATGTACCAAGGAAGGCAGGGAACCCTTTGACTAGTCATGCATCTTGTAACAAAGGACTACCTATTCAGAGTGTAGAGGCTGTTTTGGAATTCTAGATGTACGCTTTTTCGTAGCATCGGAGTGTCCCATCTGTCCCTTTCTCTCCGTCATGATTCGATGCCTCTGCCGCTTTGGCTACGATAACGCGACCTGGTTCCCAGTTCTATGCGGACAGCGATCAACAACCATAAGACTCTTCCACAGACGGTCATACAAAAGGGGACCACGACTTCGTAACAGATAAAGACGGTGCAGCAAACGAGGCCTCGGAATACTACACGGGAAGGGGTCAGCCAGCGGGATCTAGACAAAAGAATATCAGTGAGTAAGCAAAGTAGCCATCACTAACGCCCTCGAAACCTGTGACGCCAGTTAACTGCATGCTCAACGGGTAGCGCATTGAAGAAAACCAATCTCAGCATAACTTGTTGGTGGTCCGAATAAATGGTCGCGATGAACGGACAACCCAGAGAACGAAAAGAACAAAACTGGACGACACGAACGGGCGAGCAGGCGAACAGACGAGCGCACCGGACAGGACGAATACTTTTCGTCTACATTTCAAAGTCGAACCAGATACCCCTTCTGTCTTACTCCCGAGTGACCAGGGAGCCAAAAAGACATCCGTTGGCACAGGAACAGGCACTGAAGGACGCTAGATTACACCTTTGCAATAGCAAGCTATTGTAGTAGAAGAAGAGCAAGCACACAAGAGACTAGATCGCTTGTACAAGTATGGAAGTTCGAGTTGACACTTTCATATGGCGGTAACATGGACATAGATTGTACTACAAAAAGAACCGCAGTAGAGGAATGCAGAGCCACTCCAAAGTATCTACAAGATCACAGACACAAGGAAACGAACCCAAGAAACGACGGAATGGCTACGCCAACAAAGAACAAGAGGGAATCATAAACCTATAAACCGAGAGAACCTGTAACGAAACAACAATGGACCCTATCCTTTCCC